TTTTTTTTTTTTTTTTTTTTTTTTTAGAAAGGGGACGATTTTTTACAGAACGCATTGGACTTCGATTTTTGATTACATTCCAAAAACAAAAATATTACACAATTTATAACCTTGTAAAATTCAAATTCTTATTGTAGGAGTTCAATATATAATTTTTAAAATTGAAGTTCAATGCGCCCTGTAAGGAGTCTTTCTCTTTTTAACAAAAAAAACCGTCGAAATCTGATCATTCTACGAGGCGTGAGAGTTTTTCCTGTAAGACATGTTTTAGGTAAATTCTCTTCTGTATCCAACCTTCCCAGCTTTTTACCTACAACAGTGGCTGCACCCACGTGCAAAATATGTCGGTCTTTTTTTTTAACATACCTAGGTGCTACTTTTTGCACTTGTGTATCACTCAGCTATAAGGTTTATTCGAAAGGACTATAAAAGATTCGAAAATATTTTGTCTGAAAAATATTTCATCCTAATATCGTATTTTATCCAAACATGTTTCTTAATTTAGTTAAGGCTTTATGCGTGTAAATGAGCTAGGTATCACATTAGGTAGGTACCTATCTAATAATTATTCAATATTGGCGCTTTAACAGTTCAAGGATTTTAGTATGTGACATCTGACTCAATGAGCTACGGAACATTTTCAAGTAAAATACGTCTTAAATCGTAGATGTTGCTAACTGCTAAGAGCTATCTATACAGCTGTTAATTCGATTTTGGAACAACACGATTTTTGGCTGGGTAGGTCTACAAGTCATACACGTTTCTCGGTCTCAAATCCATGTCGATGTCGTGTGTACCGACTTCTCCGAGGCTTTTTATCGTGAAGAACATTCTGTTATCTTTAAAGTATAGACGAGTTGGGACGAGAGTATTAAACGTTTGCTTTCATGGGTCTACTCCTATCTGTCAAACAGATACCAGTACGTGAAATAGCATGGCATTAAATCTGAAATGACTGTCTTTACGTCTGATGTATTACAAAGAGGAATTGTATCACCCATACTATTTCATTTGCATCGCCAGTGCTGTAGCGTGTAATGTTGCTCATATTTGATAATATCAAATTGTGTTTATAAATTCGCTCTTATTCAGACCGCGAACAACTATGAGTACCTACTTTAAGCTGACCTAAATGGTCTCGTAAACTAGGGTGAAACACTTAACTTATATAGCGTAATGTTGCTAAATGTAAATTTATGTCCTTTTCACGTTACTTTTATTACCCTAATTTCGTTTATATCATTCATAGAGCTGTTTGAACTTGCGCTGTTTCTATTCGTGGTTTTGGGTTTCGCTTGAAATATAAATTCAGTCTTGATCTGCATATTGAAGAAATTTGCTGCAAGGCACTGAAAATTCTTGGTTTTATATTAGGAATTGCGCGTTTATTTAAGTTTACTGTCTCTCATAAAACCGTCTACTACTCCCTTGTCAGATATCTGCTAGATTGCTGGAGTATGGTTCCCATATACCATTTATGACTGAGCGTGTGCAGAGAATATCTGTTCGTGATACTGCTTTTATTCTTAGCATCCCATGACTTACACATTTAAGCAGTGGCATGGTTAACATTTATAAACCATGGCGCACAGCATACATTTTAGTAAATATCCACTCTTACCCCCTAAATATATAATTGTTATAACTAAATGTGATTGTTGTGTTATACTATTGCTTACCTCAATGTAATCATCCACCTACCCACCCAAATTTCTTTTACCATGACGCCCAGGCATCATAATACCCCTTTCACCACGCCACTGCATGTAAGTAAAGTGCTGGATTTATGGATTTATCTAGTTTCGTGGCTTACAGTCGATTTCTTTCTAAAATAGGCACTGTATAACTCTATTAATTCTCCTGGTCTACTGTAGAAGTTGGCTACAAAGTTCCTACTCGTTTAACCAGAATCACTACTCCTTTTCGTATTCCTATCTTCCCCTAACTACCTGATAGCATTAAGAATTATGAGCATTCTCTGCCAGACTAGGTAATATTGGTGGGGCAATCATTAGCTCTATGATCACTTTTATTGTAGACATAACAACGCTGTATTATACGGAGTGATATCAGATGCTAATACAACGATTGTGGAAATATTGACGGACTTCCCCAGGACTAAAGCAATCACTATATTTACTACAGTAGTTACGACATTTACAATAATAACAACCGTAAAAGTGAATCAAAAACTGGAAGTATGAAAATCGCAGCTGATGGATAGTGCTAAAAAGAAAAGTTTAGTTTTAAAAACCGGAGTAATATCTAGTGAAAATCATCATTTAAGTAGGTATATTTTATTATTTGTTTAACAATAATTTTATTTTTTATTTATCCCTATAAAACATAAATCAATTGAAAATTGAATACAAATAGTTCTTTGTAATGTTTTAATAATTTAAACGACAAAAAAAAATTATACAATGTTATTTGAGATTTTGAATGGAGAGAGGAATATCTTGGTTTTACAATGATGTTTATTTTCTTTTTTTTGTGAATATCTTTTTTACCAGAAATTTTGCTTTGATTTTCAAGTGTAGTACTTTTTCTGAAAAGAAATTTGACTGGGGTGGTACATTTTGGATACAATTTTTTGATTTTCGCAGGGTTTTTCATAATACACAGGAAATTGTACAAAATGTATTATATTTTAATCGTACATATTACAGCCTTTTAAAGTATGTATAACTGAACTACAGTCAGAATCGTTTTTTATTAGCAATGATTAACCTGTGTGTACAGATATTTATATTCAATTTTCTCTTTACCTTCTCAACTTTTCATCTACAACAGTGACCCACCCATCATGCAAAGGATGCCCGGTTGTATTTTTATTATAGTTCAATCTAAGACTGTTTTATTATATGCTTGATCAAACTTTCAATTTCCAGGTTTTAAATATGATTAAGGTATGTAATTGTAATGTAAAATATATTTTCAATCAAACATGTTAAAATACAGTTTCCAGTTTTACTAAATTGAAATAATTATTTATTTGCTCGAGTCAATTTTTCCATTAATTCTTGGATGTTCTTAAATAGAAAGTAAAATTTTAAGCCAAATACAGTAGTATTTTTATTTTCTATACATTCATTATCCCTAACTTCAGATAAATTAGTATAACAATTTAAAATACTGAATAAAAACTTAATGATTTGTGTTAAAAACAATTATCTAATTTAATTGGCATCATAGATTGTATATTGTACATTTTTTTTGTAAAACGAAATATTAAAATTTGTACGTACGAAAGATAAAATAAAAATTAAGTAAATTGACAGATACATTTAGGAAATTTTGATTATGGTTTACACAATACAATTAATATTGTTATTTGGCCAGACATTAAATACAGATTAACTACATTAACACTTTGTTAACACCACTTTTTTAACACAAAATACATAGATCTTATACTAATAATGATTCAAATTTGAGTTGTTATAATAGTCGATGACAGTACATTATTTGTAATTATTTTTTTAAACATTAACTGTCTCAGTTTTTTCAGTAGAAAATAATATAGAAAAATCTTGGTTTATATTTCTATTATTGGGTGTTTTAGATGAATTCAAATTACCCATTGCTACATCAAAATTTTAGATTTCAAGCTATAAATTTTATGACATTTTTATTTGATAGAGAAATTAATTTAGAATTTGTGTATCTATATATTATGTTTGTAAATTGAAATATTTCCATTTTCACCAAAAATTTGAAAAAAAATTGCATCCAATTATAGACTAAGTTTGCTTCTATGAATATGATGATATTTATTAAGTACTTCTACTCAAATTGTAGTCAACTAAGTCACGCAATGAGTAATTATTATTCTATTCCGCCCTTCTGTGTCTAATCGCATATTTCAGAAATACGAAACAAGATTTTTGTATATTTTTCATAAAAGAGACAGATAGTACATACACACAAGTTGGTCTAGTATCCTAATTAATATACTTTGTTGTTTAACCATGAAATACAGAGTGCTTTAACAAAGCCCTTTAGGTGATACATTATTTGTGTAATGTGAATTCATGTTATACCTTTTCTAGTACGGATCTCATTAATGTTTTGGTATTAAACATTTTTGATAATTTTTTAACTATTGTAAAAAATGAACATAAGAATATAAATGAGATCTAATGAATAAACTCTGTTATTTCTAAAACCCAGTAGCACCGAGCATATGGCGTATTTGTTCAAAGCTCATCCAAAAGGTTAATGACCAGGGAGCCATTCTGATCCATACCGGTAAAAATCCTTTGTAAAGAGCGAAAAATCCTTCATTTTCAACAGTCTTAAATAAACAGTCCATAGATCCTTTGTATATCAATCCACTGGAAATAAAATGTTTAAAAACTATAATAATAGATTGTAATTTAGAAATGTTTTGTAGAGGCCTGCAAAGGCTGAACATTTCTGGTCCAGTAAGGTAGTAAAATAATTTGGCTTGCCTCGGTTTTTTTGTGTGTGTATATAAAAGGCCGGTTTAAATATAAATATATATATTTTTCAAAACCCGGATTTTTCTTATAATTTTCTAATAACTGTATCACACTGGTCACACTCTTGTAGGACTGTTGGTATTAGGTTAAAAATAAAAATGTAAGAAATGGTCAGCGAGTTTTTGTAAAAAAAAACCTAGGTTAGACTTGTCCATAATAAATTTAAAAGCCTAGCCAGGCTCACGTGTAATTGTAAACAAAAAGCCATACTCGGCCCATGCAGGTCTTTAGTATTTAGTATGAGGTCAAGCTGCTTACATTCCATTTTTGTCAGTTGGTTGATTCATCACACGTGTTTTTACAACGTCTGCTGGAGTCCCTAATGTTGCTGCCACTAATCCAGCACATATACTAAAATACATATAATCAGAAAGTTATAATAATTTGACATTGACAGACAAAAATATAACTACACATCAATTCTACCTGGAAAGACAATGTAAAAGATGTGAATCAGGTAATCCAGTTTTTTGCATTATTACTTGTTTAGCTGTATCATATGTTGTTAAATCACCAAGGTTGACAAGAGCAGCACGTTGGACGTTAGGTATTGAGCCTTTCCACAAACCACGGATACCACTTTCAGATACTATTTTTTTGAATGCGTGTGCTGCACTTAACACTCTTGAATAAAATAATATAATAAAGTGTGATGATAATAATAATAATGAATTTAAAGTTAGGTATGACTATGACTATAAATATAAATTAAGGTTATCTGGTGAGAAGGGTGTAGAATCTATACTATGTTTATAGATTATAATATGCCCTTTATCAAGGGTATGCCTCAATAGTCAATACTACCTTGGAGGCTCTCCCATTAATCGTCGTTTTCCTTCCATTTGTATTTGTACCTTGATTAAGTCAGCTGGACTTGCAAAATATTGAGCGATAACACCAGACATGACTCCACTTATGGCTGATTTCCTAAAATTATAATTCGCTAACTACTAATATTACATATTTTGAAAGCTATACCTACCAAATTGGAAATGATCCATCTTCATTTTTCAACAATATTTTATCACGCATTTTTTCATATGATACAATTCTAATGCCAGAGTATACAACATGTCTGTAAAGGGCAGGTGACACACCTTGCCACAATTTTAGTGCACCTTCTTCATTTACAATACCAACTGCAGTTTTGAACATACCCCTGTACTGGGTAGGATTGGCACTAGTTGCTTTTTCACCTTGTATTTGTAAACGTGTTTTAGTCAAATCTAATGGGTATGTAACTGTAAAAGAAAAATAATATGTATTATGTAAGTAAATTATGTTCATGTTAATTTATTATGATGGTTGCCACTATATCCCAGTATTAATTTTTCCTGACTTTTCTAGAATGGATTACCAGAGTAAATAAATAACATGTATTTTTGTTAGTTTCATTTTTTTTTTTGAACTGAACACCTTAAAAAAAATGTATGAGATGTTAGGTGTAATAGGTAATGAATCAAAAAAATATTTTTTATTTGGGAGACACCCATCTAATATAGATTTTTTATTAAATAATTTAATACCATTGATTAAATATTTAATAGTATATTTTATCAATGTTAATATTAAATTAAATTGCAAAACTATTGAAGGTAATAGATAAAATGGGGATTTAATGAAATCTGTGATAACTTATTTCACTTAATTTATTCAAATTCTAGAATTTACTGATTTTTTCAATTTACTAGAAAGGGAAGAAACCATGAATTTATACAAATTAGATATCAAAAAACTAATCGGTAGGTACTTACATACTTCTGCAACACTAGCGGCTACTACAGAAACAATGTATGTACACCAAAATGAATCAGCATAATTGTATTCTTTGTTGCCTGGTGCTTTTTCTTTGATAGGTACCACTTGTGTATACACCATTATTGGTTAAGTGAAATGCTGTTATGATCATCAGACACGTAACTGCAAAGTAAGCGACCGGAAACTGCTGCTACCAAACAAATAATGAATTTAACATGAAGACTGGTATCTAAATGAGATTTATATTATTTCATTTTAATTAAAAATTATAGATTAGATAGGATTAATTCATAAAATATAAATCATCAAGTGTTTGAGAATTAGATACCTACATAGGTATTTGCACGACATACATTCAACTTCTAAATTTCATAGCTATGTGTTAATATAATTTAACTGAGTGTCTATACTTACCATTTAGAGGATTTGACCCTGTATAGTTATTGGTATATTATTTTATAGTGTAGTTAACCCGTTTGACATTCAAAGTCGAATATTATCATTCTAACGACATCAAACGATTTTGGGATGAATACTGATAAAGACAACCTGCAGATGTTTTGATCATATGATTACGGCGTTGATAACAGTCAACTAACCGACTATTTAACTATACGATACAATTTTATCTCGATTCTCGATAATATCCGAGATCATTAATTTATTAACCGTAGGTTCCTACTCTTTATTCATTGGCTATATCTAAATTGTTTGATCTAATACACTTACCCATGTAGGGACCTATCTATCTTTTTAATTGAGATTTTTTCGGAGGGACAGGGGTTCTGAATTAGGATTAAATCTCCTAAACCCCATCCTCCGCATCTTCAGCACTAAATTGTAATATTAATAATATAATGATCTAATATATTATAAATAATATGTCCTCTAAAACAAACGGGCGACTGGACGAGCATTTATAATAAAATAGGTACAATCAACTGTCATCTCTTGCATCTATATTATGTTGGTAATCAATCACTCTTGTTATACAATACACACACTAAAATCGCGTTATTTGTTTAGGCATCCATCTAAACAAATAGTTTTTTTTTTTTTTTTTTTTTTAGTTTCGAATATTAATGAATTGTTTGACAAAATGAATAAATTATCTACAGATTTAATATACAAAAGTATATCGCATAAAATAAAAACTATACGCACTTTCATTTCATTTGATGAGGTGGTTTTAATCTATATAGTGTGGACAACAGATGCATTTACAAAACAAATACTTCCGGGGTGAGGGGCTTAAGGTTGTACACTTCCATACTCTTATTAAAAAGAAGTTTACATACTTTCAATTGTAGGATTATTAATTTTTTTATTAAAAATGTCAATATTTTATGAAATTCATTTTTAGCCTTTTAGGTAGGTACCTATCACTAAATTTTATATTTAATATTTTTTTTAGTGAATACAGTCTAAATGATAAGGTAATTCATATAAATCAACTGTGATTATAATGTGGACTATGCAATATCGCAGTATCAGTTATAGTTTTCTAAAAGCAGGAAAACCACAAAAAATTAGAAATGACAATAATAAAAAACTCACTATCTAGTAATAAAATAAAAATAAAACAAATATTTTATTTATTTTCCTCACTTTGACTTTTGAGAGCCACTTTTGAGAATCTATTAAAAATCTACTTTTATCATAATTTTCATGAAATTTCGGGGCAGTTGAATCCCTAACCCCCCGCAACTGGGGGGGGGGAATTTATAACATCCCGTTTGACGTAATATAAATTGAACGAAATCAAATTGGAATAAATCGGGACCGTTCTTAGGATTTACGAGGCTTAGTGCGAAATTTTAATTTTTTTTTCATATTTTATTATATTATATAATTCGTATTTTTTTTGTCGAACACGAGGCTCAGGCACCCTTCTAAGAACATCCCTATATCGAAGACTCATATGCTACATGGCTACATATAGGTATATAGAAGGTTATAATTTGTTTTTCATTTAATTCACATGACTATAAAATATATGGGTGTTTGGTAAAAAATACCAAGGAAAAAATTATTTTATTTCCAATTAAAGAAATTTGTAAGCACTTTGGATGTTAGGTTAATAAACGAGGCTTTTGTGGATTTCTGAAGGTTTTTTTTTTATGTATTTTAACTAAACAGTTTAATGGTTTTAAATGACGAGTAATGATGATTAGAAGAATAAATTAGGTAATTAATTATATTTGATTGCGGTCTTTAAAAATTGATCATTTTCCTGTTGCCGTTTTAGTAATCTTCACATAGTGTTTTCAGTCTTTCTAGCATTTTTTCATAAATAATTTGTTTTTGGTTCATATTAATTTGAGCCAATTTTGTTCATCAAACGATACTTTATTTAGGTACTTCACACACACATATATATGTAATATGTATGAATCTAGGACAATAATTGTCCAAGTTCAATTATTGGCCTCCACGAAAAATCGCCGTATGCGGATAATCAGTCAGCATTTTAGGAAAATGTTTTTAGACGATTTCTGAATACATTTATACTGAATAAATAATTATTTTACCCAAGTACTAATTTTAATTTACTTGTACTTTATTGTATTTCAGTTTTTTAAATCTTGTTTCAGCAAAAACCTCATCGTACAAAAACTAACAAGGCCGACTTTTGCATTATTATTTACCTAGTTTGTTTCCGATGCACGTACAATACAAAATAATACAATATATTAAATAGTACCTATGCGACTTTGGGATTGTACGTTTCTTTTATCAAATTTCGTTCCGGTTAAAATTGTCAGATAAAAGGGTTCTGTATTTTCTGTACACTATCTTAATTCCAATTCAAATGTCCAAATCCGAATAATTCCCATGAGAACTGTATATTGGTAAATTACCATATAGTTTTGTGGCAGCTTTGTGTGTGTTATCGCCTCTAGGTCGGTTTAACGCGAGTTTCCGGAACAAAACTTGGTTATTAGTTTATCGCGTGTGTCTTGATAATTATTATGCATGGTCTACGTGTGTATTATAATACTGTAAATTACGTAATTGTATATAATACATGGTTCAATCATACAAAATAGCGAAAATAGAAAATGGAACACAAAATATTAAACACAAAAAAAGTGAAACTCATTAGCGAAAAAATAATAACGAATAAAAAATATTTATGTGTAGTATAAACTAATATGTTAAGTTTTAGGCAATTCCTTTTAAAGAAAAATTAAAATATCATTTTCGTCATACGTATTTATTAATTTTTAAATTTGTTCAGCTGAATTCCTGGTAGATGTTGCTCTTTTTAATTTTTTCCAAATTAGGTTGTCTTTGAAGACATTCAAAGATCTCCTGATTGATGAATGATATGATGCATTATAAATTAAATCATATTAGGTCAATTAGTTAATCAATTATTAATTTAATTTTTAACCAAACAAAATATACTTATTAATAAGCTGAAACCTCAATGCTAACCCTCAATAGAAATTAGTGGTTTTGGCCCGTTGGCTTTTAGACATTTCGCAGCAGTTTCATCACATTATATCAAAATACGGTGATTTTAAAATATTTCTTCTTCCCTGACATCCAATTCATGTATTCTCGAAATTTTAACTTAATTAGCGGGTGAAGAAAATTTTCATTTTCACGCAAAAACGAAGATTACAATAATTCTTCAAACTCGTGTATGACATGGTTTAACGGCACAAAAGCAAAGGCTAATATTATTGTTATATTCAAAGAAAAATGTATACTTTGTTGGCAATCATTGGATTTGTCGAATGTAGACATATATAAGATTGTGTAAAATTGAAATAGCAACCATTTTATTTTATATTTGGAAACATTATTATACTTGAATGCGTTAAAAACATACGCTATACGTTCGAAGTCTGTCATAGTTATTGATTTTGGATTTGAATCAGTCGTAATTTCTTTTAGTGTTATTAATAAACGGATAATAGTATACGATTTTTCAGTTTCGTTCGGCTGTTAAGCATAAACAGTTGGCATAACGATGTTTTCGTAAACTATAATGCTGCGTCCACACCTAACAAACAATTAGAAAAACGTTTGTCGAACGTTCGCCGAACACAAAAAAAACTAGCAAACGTTTGTCGAACGTTCGACGAATGTTTTTCGAACGTTTGTTTGACGTAGACGTGTTTCCAAACAAATTTGTTTGTCAATAATCCAAACAAAAATGTTCACTCACTAAGCGAACATTTTGAGTGTTTGTACGTGTATTCCGATATACCTTTATTGNGTTAAAAATATATTTGAATATGATAAATAATAATATGATATACAATACGTATCAATACGTGACAGACTATAAACAATACACTGTTTTATTTTTGTAAATTATGTGTTGTTTTCCAGACTATAGAGAGACTAGAGAGATAATGTCATAATATCGCGTTTATAAATACATACTTTGTTGTAACTGATGTATAATTTCTATAAATTCAAATCAGTCTGCGCGTGGCACCACACACGGAGAGTGGTATTTTTTATTTATATAGTTTTAAATAATATACCGACCACTAAATCACAAAATGAGTGAAAAGTGGTCCAAAGAAAAAATAATTAATTTAATCGAATTATATGAGTACGCCAGTTGTTTATGGGACACAAAATCTTCCGATTATGAAAATAAAATAAAAAGTTTCATTTTTTTTTTTTTTTTTAATGTTTTATTACGCATTATAACGAACGCAGCAGCGTCAACGCAGCATGCGACTTGTTCCGGATCTGAAATTTTCACGACTGTTGGCAAACATATAGCGAACAAATAAATTATGAAAAATCGTTTGTTGTCATGATAAAATGTTTGACAAACGTTCGATAAATGTTCGGCAAACGTTTGACAAACAATGTTTCCCCAAATGTTTGTTAGGTGTGGACACACCTTAATACATGCATTGCATGAGTTTGTGAATAAATAAAAGGCGAACCGATCACGATAACGGCCCATTATGTCTATACCATCAGCCGTAGAAAAAAATATTATTCCATCATTTGATCGACCGTAATTGTGCGCCATTCTTTGTTTTTCTAAATTGTTATTGAAAAAACATTTTGGATCAGTAGGGACGCAGTTAGTCGTTCCTTTTACAATTCGGTGAAGTGTATTTTCAATCGAATTTATTGTTGGCATAGCTCCCACCACTCCAGGTGGTATTTGTGTACAGCGCAAATTGTTTACTGTGGTAATTGTTGTGTGTGCACAGTTTCGTTTTTTTGTTTTTTTCGATCCTTGTATGGAGTTTAATTGTGTTTGCCACGTGCGAGTGATCTGACGGCTCTTTGGTAATTTACTAGTTTTTAAATATCATTTGATTTTTAAATTGATGTTCTGTGCACCGTAAATACATTGTGTTTCGACAGTTTTTTCTCTCTGAATATAAACCTATACATCCATCATAGATAATTTATTTTTTATTTTTAATACTGATAACGTATTTCGCATAAATATATATTATAGGTATTATGTAATATATTATTATACACGATACACGGACACTAATTGATTATTAGTGAAACATGACACAAATACTAACTGATAATTTAAAAAATAAATAATTTTATTGTTCGTTCGCTTTAATCGAGAATCGTCCAAATGGTTTTTGCGATTTTTTTTTTTTGCGTTATTTTATTTTCACTATTTTGACGGGATAACACAATGCTTCAAAATATTGAATAGGTATGGTTTAACGCGAAATTGCGAAATAATATTATACAATATATAGTATAAATAGGGGTGGACTGGAGAGTACTCGGTTCATTGTTTTAGAAAATAATCGGCCTCAAAAAATCTAGATTGAGAGTCAAGGCCGTAGATGCAAACAAACACGGGTAGGGATGGTCCAATATTTTTATCAGTTAAATGATTGTTTTTTAAGCATTTTGTCAACATTTTTCTATTTTGAACAATTTTCGGGAGGGTTCAAACCTATAGAAGCCCTCCCCCAGATACTGGCCTTAGATCCGGTCAATGTTATCGAAATTTTGGTACATAACCAACAAAATTTTCCCATTAACCATAAAATTCATCATGTCCTATAATGCGATTTTGTTTTAAAATTATACATGTTGACATGGGAGAAAGATAATAATTTTGTATAGCAGCAGTGGGCAAGTATTGTGAAAATAGATCCCTCACTGCTGTCGGTGCAAACAGAAAAAAAAATGATAATAATTTTGTTTTATGGAAATTTTGTTTGAATTCTTACATCAAACAATTTTTAACACTGGTCTACTGTGCTACTGCAGTTCTATACGGCACACTATGCATTAGAGGTGGCTTAAATACAGTTACGGTGGTTCACTGAACTAAACTTAACTTAGTTTAGGTTACCTAAGCAATTGGGTCTTTGAGTCGTTCAAATGTTGCAGATAATGTGCCATGAATTAAAGTCCACGAAAAACTCTACAAATTCTAATGATTTAATTCTATAGCTATGTATATTTATCAGTAAAATAATCACTCTTAACCTTAGAACATGGTGTACATTGAATTTGTACTACCGAGTATTGTTTATATAGATATATATATATATATTTTTTTTTAATAAATAAAATTAGTAGCACACAATTAAATATATAGGTATATATAAAAAAATGGTTATGGAATGTATTATATTTGCCAGTATGATGTTGAGTGGATATTATATTTTATACCGTAGGTACTTAAAAAATCAATCAACATTTTTCAAGCCACTCCTGAGTGCCGATACAACGTGAATAGGCTTTCATAATTAAAAACCCGCACAGTGTGAATTTTTGAGTGTAAAACGACGCAATGCCAATTTATAGTCGTTATATTTAATGTGTAATATATGTATTATATGTACTTATGTAATTATAATGTTCTGAGGTTCCTAATAAGGGTATGCGATTCTTATTCGTTCTGTTGTTTACGTTTCTTCTCGTGTTTCTGTCGTTAACTAGGTAATTATGTACTATTAGAAATGTAGTAATGTTATATTAAATTATTATTTTCCCCTTTTTTTCCTAATTCGCGGATCTCTGCTATGAATAGATTTTGCAATTTATAGACAAATAAAAATTCGTAAATTCGTACATGGTAAATAATAATAATATCTATTCAAAGATGCTTTGTCTAATTCCGCCGTACAGTTATTGATTTGTTTTTTTTTTTCACTTTTAAACAATTTTTTTTTTAAATCCAGAAGCTCAGTATATTGTGTTATGTCGTACGCAGTTCATATTTTATACATTGGACTGCTGCAGATAAGTTCATAATTTGCGCATTTTCGGGAATCTAGATACCGTCAAAATATCAATAGTGCGATCAATGTTAAATCCAGTAAATTTCTCTAACGAGCAAAGGCTAATTCTATACTTATCTGTACCTATAACAGTGTTGCAGCGACCGAAGCTGTTTCGATAGCCCCATTTCCATACAATTTATTCGTCTGTACGATAGAAATCGTGATTTAAATTTTGAAAAAAATCCCAGAAAATTGTAGGTACAAGAGTATTATTATTAAGAAGTACTGAATTAGGTATACCACTGTAGTAGAAATCACGGGGTTATTGAGATCACGACAGGTATTTGAAACATACGGAATATGAACAATTTGATATAAAGTATTTTTAAATTACTTTTTGTGAATGTAATTTAAGATTTACAAATAATTATGTGAACATTGTTTTTAATGACTTTTTTTGTATTGCAAAGTCGTTTTTTGGCCGGAACGTCGGTAAAAATTAAAAAAAGAAAAAAGGAATTTGAATTGAATTTTAAATTGAGCAAGGAACTTTTATTAAGCACTCGAAATAATCATTATGAAACGCATCGTTTATATTTAATAATAATAATATAATTATTATATTTAACGATTTAATGTTTATTTAATGCAAATGCATTTGATTTGTTTTTTTTTTATTAACCGCGCGTATTTATAAAAAATGAGTAATGACTAAACTTGACGTGTTTTATTGAAAGTTGCGTGGGTACCTACCTAATATGTATATATATACATATTTAATAATAATTATATTTTTTTTAAATAAAATCAATTGTAGAAAATTAAAACGTCAAAAAGAATCTTTAAGAATTTTAAGGTCGTCGTCGAATAAGCACCATGTATAGATATTTTATCTTCGACATTTTCGAGGCTTTTCGATAATCCGTTAGACGTGACGCGCGTGTCTACTCAAACGTTTATAACAATACAAACATATTATAATATATTATGATAATACTGTATAGACGTACAGTGTCATAACATTATATACATACCTTTAGGCGCGCATTGTGAATATTGATTGTGATTTAGTAAAAAAATCTATCGCAACGCGTATTTGTTTATCGCACAATTTATGCCTGCGCGATATCATGTGAATTGTGACATGCAATAACGGTTATTGATATTATATTATATTATTGTGACATTTAAATTGCACCTATAATGACTATATTATAGGTATCACATACCTACATATTATTATTTATACTATATAGTTTAACTGTCAGATAATTAATTAATTAATTTAATTTGTTGACGGCCAATGGTGATTTTTTTTTTTTGTTTGATAGACATCATAATATAATATAGTATATATAATATAGTAAATAGTTTTTAATGCAATTATAATAATTATGAATGTTGTGATACCGCTATAAGCTAATGTCGGTCTGTAATAATTTTGTATACTAATTTAATGAAAATAATATAATATAATATAGACTGCAGTGGCGTTCCCTGCAAGATTTTCAATAGTAAACACAAGTTTTTTTTATATAATAATGATTTTTTTAAGAGCGCTCATCCCATTTGCATGGTTTAACTATGTATACGAATAATTTAATTTGAAATTCTGATTTTTGGAATTTATAAGTGTAGTTAAAGACGATATTTTCGAATATTTAGATTCAGATTTTTCACAACATTTAAGGAGTGTCCTGTGACGATCCTAAATTGTTGTTTTATTTTTTTTTTTGGCAAATCGTGAATCAAAGAATTTTTTTGAAAATGTTGAAGTATTGTAATCGGAAAGTTTCTGAGTTATTCTATTTTAAATATTAACGGTAATAGTATATTAAATACATTGTAAATGAGTACGTGTTTGGTAATTACTATTATAGGTATGCAGTATTAAATACATTGTAAATAGTCACTACATAGTCAACTATATTCAGTTATACTGTTCAGTTATAGTTATATAAGTATATTCCAATTTTTAATGTTACGAAATGCTTATGGATTAATAACTAATAATACTTTTGGAAATTCAAAAAATTATAATTCGATTATATGCATAATTTAACCATACAAATGATGTGAGCGTGTTTAAAAAAAATCACCATGTATGTATATTGTATGTATATTTATACGTATATTATCTATATAAAGTACTTTTCTTGAGGTTATTTTGCCAAAAACATAATTTAAGGTAATTGTATAAATAATACAATTATTTATATTTAGTTGAAAAAAGTAGTGCAAATACACTGCAAAGATTTAAAAGATTATTATTTTATTAGTAGAATAACAAAAAATGTTCAAGGAAATCTGTCTGATGTTTTTGATAAATGCAGGATTATCATTTTGACCGCGGTGGTTTTAGATGAATTCATTCATTTATAGAATAAGTTTTCCAACGCTATTAATTTTCTATTACCTATCGTTTTAGCTAAAAAATCACAATTGAATAGCGGTGGCTTAAGCGAGGTGAGACGCCCATTTCTTGAACAATGTCCGCGCCCAATTTGTATTGTCTGCAAGTAGTTTCTTGCGCCTTTATTTTTTTTGGTCTGCAGGTAGTTTCTTGCGCCTTTATTTTTTTTGTTTGATGGATATTATTTATTATTAGCGTTTTCGCTTAGTATGATTTTGCGCGCAGTTTGAAATCATTCTCAAAGCGTTCTTTTTCCAATGGTGTTTTAATCGAAGCAGTTCGCTAGATAGATTAAAAGAACAATAAAGTTAACAAAATTTTAAAATGCCACCGCATAAAGTTTCGTTCACAGTGTCTGTAGTTAAAAGAAAAAATCTCTTGGCAAATAAAAACGCTTTATGACGATAAATTTTTATCTTCTCTTATCGTTTGTTTGCGGTTTTATAGTGACGTTAAAACTTAACTTAACCAACAGCATGCCAAAATTCAAAATGAATATATTATTTTTGAATTGATTATAAAGGTAGGTGATATAAGCATTACAAACCATAATTATTACAGAAATAATAGATAACTATAAAACTTAAATCATAGTATTTACATATTATACATATATTATTGGGTTAACAACTTCTAACACATATACAATAAACAAAACAATAATAAAAAAAAACCTTTATTATATAGGTAATTGAAATAATTTTAAAAATATTAAAAAATTAGTAAGAAGCGTTTTTTTTCTATATTGTTTCTATCGTTTAAAAGCACTCACAAATTTCATATTTGAATTTTTGATTTTTTTTTTGAAAATACACTTGTGGATATGTGTTGTTCCTTACTCAATGGAAATAGATGCGATAAGTAGATACGATGATATAAACAAGAAAATAAGGGTTTGGTAATTTTAATACAAAGGCGAAATTATTTAAAAATCATAGAGGGAAGATTTGGGTTTTGTCAGTGGCTATGTAATTACAAAGTAGAAAACATACAACATAAGAGGGAAAAACGAGAATGAGCATTATTTTTATTTCTTTGTGAACTATAAAAATAAGAAAAAAACCACTTTCAAATCTCATGTCGAACACACAACATACATTTCTATAGCACTCTGCTGGATTTAATGACACGCAAAAAAAATAATCAAATAATACTATAAGTCCCTAACCATGATTATAATTACTATGTAAATACTAATTTTACTATATCATTATAATAAAATAAAATGTATTAGTTTAATTTGGTTATAATCACGATACCCTATCTGTAATCAGTTAGTTATCTATAATAATTTATTTTACATAATATCATAAATGAATCATATGTTTGTATGGATTTCTAAAAACTAGAAGTTTAGAAACTAATATTAATCTAAATATTTAAAGAATTTTGAATATTTATTACTATAATAATATTTGCGAATTTACGTAAACATTAATAATGATTTTTTTGAAATACCAACAAAGTTCAAATAAAATCGAGAAAATTGATAAATTCGTTTTAAATTACGTTAATTGTTTTATAAAAGAAAATATTTGACTCTTAGTCTATTAGGTTCGTAAATATTTTGATACACGCAGTTTAAATGTCTGTACAGATATTTTGTTCCAAATGTGTGCATACCGGGAGCCTTCCATCTAAAATACATCGTCCCTTAATACAGCTTTTTATCTATCTGCCTAGTTTTTTTTTATTTAAAAAAATATTTTAAATGAAATAATATTGTGGTACGAGTTTCCATTTAGTTTTGAAGATATTCGCCGCGTTGGTTTAAAAAGAATCTGTTTATAATTAAAAATAAAAAAACCGGATATCAGTGTAAGAAAAATAAAATAAACTATAATAACTGCAGATTTATATTCACCGATTAATTTAAAAAAAAAAGTAGTTTCTTTTTTAATCATTTTCCTCGAAAAACATATAATTATTTCCGGAGTGTTTATATACTGTTTATGTACATTGTCCACATAAAGGTAGTATATTTATATACATGTTTTGTACACAGTAGTTATTTTTAATTTAATTTTAAGATTTATTTATCTAACCTGAAAATAATCATCAATCGTTTCCAATAACTGTGATCGATCATTTTTTTTTCCTCAATATTTTATGTCCACATAGTTTTCCACGTATACTCAAGGTTTAAAAATAAACATTTTAAGTTTTAATTCACGATCTGAGCAACCAAGTATAACCAACCTACCTATATTATGCTATACATCACTTCTCGTATGTACTGTCACACACCGTACATAGGGAATCTATACCCCGTCTGTCGGGCAATATAGCGAAATACGCCACGTGCATAACTAAAATCGTGGCGTCTATGTTGAATTATGATACAGTCAATATACACCCGATATAATAACGCAAAGGGGCAAATGTTTTTAAGTCGCTGACGCGCAGAGTTCTTTTCGAAAAATATTGATATCTCCATTATACCATCTCACAAGGCCATAAAAACCGACAATATTATTTTAGTCAGTTGATTAAATCTTTGGTCCCAGGGAAGAAATTTTGGAATTTGTATTATTATTTTGTCGTATGCGATTTTTTTCCCTTTTGTTTTTTTGGTCTAAGTGGCATAAGCAAATATATGTATGCATTTTCAAAGCTAGTGTATGTAGTGCATAAATTTATTTTCAAAATGTATTTTGCTTGTATTGAAAAATTTAAAAAATTAACTTCATAGTCCTTTTTTCCTGGGAACAGTAGACCTAATCGATGTTTACTTTCTTGATATTTTGCTGGTGAAGGAGAGGGGCGTGGAGACACCATAAACACTCCTTTGAAAATATCATTAACTATGCTACGTCAATATTCTTTGAATGGCGGATATTAACGTGGGATTCAGATAATCTGCAGACGTGCCGTATATACGATTTAATAACTTTTATATTATTTTATTTCAAAAAAAAGTTTATTGTTTATTATAGTATGTAATATCAATGATACCTACACATTTTTTCCATATATATATATACATTTTTGTTTTTTATCTAGATCATGAAAAGAGTGTTAAGTTAACTTATCAGTTAATGTTATAAAATAAGTCATTATTTCGCGCGTGTTCAACAATGTGTACCTGTTTATGTTATTTGATGATGTAATATTTCGAGGTATTAGAAATTTTTAATCGGACGAATCAGGAATATGGAAATCGGAATATGGATCCTACTGCCGGATGAGTCAAAAGTGTAATCGAATAAGTTTATAGTTTAGACTATTATTCGAACCGAAAAATTATGTTCAATTTGCGAAGTGAGCCGATATTATAAAAATAAATTAGTCATAAACGTTTATTTCATTGTAAACCATTGTTTAAAGTTTGATATTTTATTATCGATAAGTCTTATTTGTCTGTAATTGATATAATCGATTTGGGGATATTATAAAGCCATATTAAACATTTATATGCGTCCACCTTATTATTATAATATAGGAACAAAGGACGGAGGGATTTAGAATAATGGAGTTGCCTTTTAGTGGGTAATTTTTGTTTTGTTTATTGTCGGGCGTACCGATAATTTATATACATAAACAAGCGTATTTATTAGGTTATTCGATTCAAAACAAGGGCGTACACACGGGTAGAGGGGGGGGGGGTTGATCCTCTCATCGCCTTTTTTTTACTGTCTTAAATATCGTAAAACTTTAATATATTATTCAATTGCTAAATTTTACGAATTTTTTTTACTTATGTTATATTGTTTTCGTTATAACTGTATTGTCTTCATGGTTTTATAGTATTATATTTTGTTCAATTTAATTGATGTTTTTGGTTTTGATTGATAAACATTACTGAAAAATGGAATCTTATAACTGTTGAAAACAAAAGAAAAAGATAACTCTCAAAATATCTGGGGAATGCGAGAGAATGATGATAATTTGTCCTCGAGGGAAGAGGCTTTCCCCTTCGTTAGGTAATCGTCTCTTGTATCCCCCCTTTCATGATTACGTCACTGATTGATAATGCGATTTTTTTGTCGATTATTGCGGAGGTCATTATGAAATCAATAACTCTCGTGACCAGTACCATATATTATAACTATCACGTGTTTAGATAAGAGCGCGAACGCTATGACGGTAGTAACAAATAATATTATTAACATGATATCGTGTAGGTTGGGCGTTGGCTAAACAAAATAAAATCGACTTATTATTGCATTGTGTTACAAACTCAGTAGTGACATTAAAGCACCCCGAGATGGAAAATATGTTCAGCCCCTATAATAGAAATAGAAATTTTATGAATTGTCACTAAAACAGTGCTGTGATTGTATTTTTAACAGAGTAATTAATTTTTTTTTTTCGAAAGGATGAAGCCAATCACACCTTATCACATTAAAAATATCTTTTTATTTTAAATTAAATAAATTTACATTTACACCATACATATTTGTACTTTTTATTTATATCTATTTTTATGAAAATCTGAAATACTTTGTACAGCGATTGTTCAAGTATAGTATACCAGCAGGTATACGCGGTTATAGTATTATCTGCTTTATCAGTTTATCACAGCAGGTGACACATGAACCGCAGTTAATTAAATTGGCCATGGCGTGAACAACTAGCCATTAGGCTAGTTCACATGCACGTTTATATCGATTCAATTTTTCTACCAAATATTTGATAATCATCAGTGTCATTATCACACATTTAAGCCTCCTTCCCCTTAAAAAAAAAAAAAAATGTATTCTCCGAGGTAATCGTTTCGGTTGTCCCTGCGGTAGCTACGCCACCGTATAAACTTTATCCGATTTTCGAATGTATACGAGTTCGAGTTGGTACATATAATAGCCTATAATATAGTCCGAATTTTACTTTTCGTATTTCTACGATTGTTATATGAGACGAAAATTAATAAAGTTATTTTGTGTCTTGTTCATTAGTAGTCTATATTATATTCTATAAATATGTTTAATGTTCTATGTCGGTACAGGTATACTAAATTTAAATATTAAGACTTGATATAATGTGTACAGATCCACAGGTTTTTTTTAGTATAATCTACTGTTATTAATTAAACTGCATCATTCCGGTATAGTTATTAGGAAATTATAATGTAGTTCATAGTTATTAATAATAATAATTAATTATTGTTAACTATTAATTGTATTTTTTAGTTGTATGCGCTATTATCTATTAATTATTATATTATACCTACTATATATATAAAAAACACTATTTGGTATATTAAATTATGTTGTTTCAAAGTTTTAATAAATATTTTATCGATTTTGTTAATTTATTGTTTGATAATTTACGCTCCGTTCATTAAGATTATTAAAAATGCAAAAGTTCTTACGTTATAATAGGCGGTCTTGTTTGTATCTTGTGTTTAAAACTTAAAACTTCAAAGTAGATAGAATTACGGTTTGAAGTTTCCAGACGAATATATAGTCCTATTATTATAATCGATCACGAACGACTAAATATTCAATACAGAAATCTTATCATTTATCACTATAATATGTTAGGTATTACAATAAACACAAGGTGATCCGTTAGACGTTTAACATAATGTATTATTTGATCAGGAAATGGTTTTTTTTTCTCATAGTATAAGCTATAATCGAACACCATATAATTTCATACAATTTTTTTTTTTAAACTGGTATTACTGGTTGTTTTAGCTAATCAATTTTAACGTGTACCGACACTTAGCATTATTGGACCTATTGTTTTTACTGAGCATCCCATGAAATAAATACAAATATATTATTACATACTGGCTTTATATGAATATAATTTATGTTATAATAATATCATAATATAATTTATTATATTTTTGGGATTTTTGGGCATCTCATGGAATTGGGAAAAACCAGCGCCCATGAAAAAATTGAATCAATAGTTCATTATATTTATATAGGAAACGTAATTTCAATTTAGATTAGAGGTGTCGAGTGGCAGGAAATAATAGTTTATACAGGAGGGTGACATTTGAAGGACATTATTATGCTCCATAATACTTATTTAAACATTGTAATTAAAAAAAGTGGGATACTGCTGACTTTCACGATTTATATTAGAATTTGAACTTCTTTTTACTACTATAAGTCGTAGATAAGAACAACTTATGATGAACCAAAAAATTTAGTAACGTAGATTAAATAAGTGTAAATAACAGTAAAACTAATATAATAGGTGATAAATGATAAGTTAAAAGTCAAATGTTGATTTTAAGAATTTAAATGTAATATTCTAAAAATATATTTTAGATATTGACAAAATTACAAAAAAAATTTAAGTTTTAAAACTAGTGTAGTTTTAAAACTACACTCGTGGATTTGAATGGCCCCATACCCAGTGGCAACCGACGTGAAAAGTAAATAAGTTGACAAAGCCGAACAATTTTCCCAGTTGAATGGTTGAATACAAAGGCAAAATTATTTCAAAATCATATGGGGAAAAATCTGAGTTTTTGTCAGTCACTTGAGTCACTTATGTAATCTTTAAATATACAAAAAAAAAAAAAAAAAACAGAAAAACTAGCAAAAAGCTTTTTTTTAACCATAGAAATAAGCAAACAAATTACTTTATAATTTTCGTATTTGAGTTTATTGTAATATGACATTCATTTTCACAATACTCTGCCGGATTTTTTTTCAAGTCAAAAAAGTAAGCAATTTCTATAAGTCCTAAACCCTGGTCATAATATTAACATAGTTTTATACTGGTCGTTAAATATATAATGATTATAATTCGTTTTAAGATCATTTTTTCCATAAGGTACATTGTAAGACGTAACTGTTATTTATATTTTTCGTTTGAATGATTTTATAAAGTATATCGAATAATAATATTTTTGATGAGGAAATAAATCAATTTAAAAAATATTTGAAAATGATTTAAAAGTATAATAAATATTTTATTATATCAGAATACTAAAAGCGTATAGAAAGATTTGTAACTGCAGGATATAATTTTTTAAATGTAGAGTTTACGTATAGATTTGCAAAACTTTTGGTGCCTACTTATACATAAGGGTTAACTTAAACTTTTAAATAATTTATGAATATCTGTCCATGATCCCTCTTCCTCAAGTGACCCCATAAATTCGTGAATAATATATGTACAATAGAATATCCTAGACAATTTGAAGAGGAAACTTTACATCTTTTATCACGTTCGATTTAGACGTGTATGAAATTCCAATGCTTGTATAATATAATGTATGTATAATACAGGCTGTAATACGAAGATCTGATACCTGAAATCATGTTTTTTCAAAATCATGTTGAATGATGAACATGAAATCATGTTCAATATTTTTGAGGTTTTTTTTTATCGTGTCATGATTAACTATAGAGCCTTACTCTATGGCTTCTCTATTTTATATATTATTTAATAAAAAAATTATTTTTACAAAATTCAATGTACCTAGCCATTTTATAAATATACATATTTTGAGAAATATCGGTGTACACATATTTAATAATTGTTAATTTTCTAAAATTGTTTGATGCTTAAAATTGTTTAAATTGTTTGCACTGTTATGACTAAATTATGTTAATCGATTCATCCATAAAAAAATAATTTTGTTAATAGTGTTTGTAAACTTCAAAACATTGTAAATACTAGAATAACACCAATAATTTGTTTCCAAACAGTCATTTATAGAATGACTTATTAAAAGAAAACAATCTTTTAAATATTTAAAAAAAAAATAAAAATCATTTCTGGTGTCAGATCATCGTGTTACATCTGTATATGTTTTATAATTAAATTCATTCTAACATTTTAAACAAGAAATTACGCTAGAAATTACGTGAGATTTAATTTTGTTTTTTATTTTTAAATTTTACTCATATTTAAAATAATATTAACCTGCTGAACCTATAATTAGAGATTTAATAATTAATGAACACAATAATAATTCATTAGCGGCGGATCTAGACATTTTTTAAAGGGGGTGGGCTCATTATTTATATTTTCAGTTAATTAACTATAAATTATACATTAAACTAATATACATATATATAAATAAAATCTGTAGTTTATTGACAGGGGGAGGGGACGTGCTTCTGTGCCCCCTTGGATCCGCCACTGTAATCCATTGAAACTATATACGTGGTATACTAACAACGCATACGGGCGTTGTTGACGTGTACGTTAAAAACATATTTTATACGAATAAATTGTCGGAAAAAAAAAAATGTATTTTATACCGTTATTTCTATAATATATCGCTGATCTATTGTCAATAATGAATTTCAAAATAATTTCGCGCTTGTATTACATTTAAGGGAAAATCTCGGAATAAAAGATGACGTTAACAAAAAAAAAAAAAAAAAAAAAAACATTAATTATAATTATGTCACACTTGAAGAGCGTGTGTAGAATATATATATATATGTTTTTGATTACATAAAAAAAAAAAAAAATTAAGGCCGGTTGTTTTGTTTTACGCTTTTATAATCCTATAAATTCTAATACCTATGTATAGTATCTAAATATTACTATAGTAATGAGCTGAAAAAACAAATAACAATAGTATATAAATCGTAATACTAAAATAATAATGAACGCACAGTTTTTAAATGAAAAAACGATTTGAACAGATTTAATTGTATAATTATTATATTATTTATATATTTTTTTTAAATACATATATATATATATATAGCATTTTTCAGCCAAATTACGTTTTAATACCACCGTGAAAAAAAAACATAACAATATTAAGTTTTAAACACAGTAAACTCTATACATTCTATATTGTATTTTTTGACAATGGATTTTTTTTTTTCTGCGTATAGAAAACTTTTTATTTTTCACATTTACAAATACATTTTTAGAATTTATTTTTACACCGAACAATGAATAAATTAAATTATAATAAATATTTACAGAGATCTACATCTACTTATATATTAATCAAAATAAAAAAAAAATGTAAAAAGTTTTAAAATTATTGTCTTGAATAAAACATTTTGAAACTTAAAACTCTAAAGCAAAATAAGTCACTTTATTGTTGAAAATTTCATCGGAAAAATCGCGCCAAAAGTTAAGACAAAACGTGTCTATGTCGTTTACATAAACCTATACGTTTTTTGTTTCCAGAACGGTTTCATTTTTTAATTATTACGGAATTGACATTTTTTCTGATGAAGTCACGGTGTCCATTATTATCGCCGATAATTAAAAATTTGAACGCAATTCATTTTGATTGTTATCATTAGAAAATCGGTGAATCAGGAATGTTCAGTGCCGAATAGTTACGAGTATACTTACCCACGGTGCCTAATAGTTTTCGTTCGCTTTCTATGCATTTGCAGTGGTTTAGTTTGAATAAGAGCATTTCTATAAAGCAGAAAAAAAACCGTACTTATGATCATTTTTAGACCCCGATAGATGTAAGCGTACATACGGTACCACTTGCGGTCGATACGCCGAATCCGATTTACATTTTCGGGGTCAAACTGAATCCCATACGTTAAAAAAAAAAAAAAATAAATAAATAAATACGAATTCGAGCGCATTTCCCTACTCGCTCTTTGAATACGCTTTCGTATTGTCTAGCATAATTTGTTCGTAATTGTAAACGTCATTTTATATTATTTAAGGCTCCGGGTTTTGAAATAATTGTTCTCCGCGATTATGGAATTCGGATTTATCCGACTGTTGCGCCAGTAGCGTAATATCCGATTGTATTAATTATTGTATTGTATCGTTGCACCGAAATATTCTAAAACAAGACAATTAAAATTCCCGTCGAAAACTATAAATTTATGTACATGTATTTATACTAAATACTTAAATATCTATCGGATTCACCGGGTTGTGTTAAATATTATAGAGACGTGTTCAAAAAGTGAATTTTCGAAAAAGCGAAGACCGTTATCTATCCGGTTGTCGCGCCAAGGTCTTCGTATCCGTTAACGACGCATTAGTATTAAAAAAAAAAATATTTTTTTTTTTTTTACAAATTTTTATTACACGTATTTATAATTAATATAAAATATACTATTGTAATCGAATACAATCCGTCGAGCTTTCTATCAAACTAAAATGTATTATTCGAATTATATTACAGTTTCGCATTAATTTTATAGTAAATCCGCACGGGACATTTTCAGTGTAATAATATAATATTTTGATAGATATAGTTTTTAGTTGTTTATCGTGAATTTCCATTGGAAAAAAAAAAAAAAAAAAAAACCAATCGAATAACGCGGATATATATTAGCATCATTGTTGTGCGCGAATCGCTATGAAAATGCCATTTACGGTATAGTCATAACCGGCTTTTCCGAATTGATTACTTTTTTCGCGTATTGATCCAAACACGAGCCGCGTGCCAGAGCTTCGAGGGACGCCCGTCGAGCGTTATAGCCGGTCTGGAACGTATAGAGCCATTTTTTTTTTCCCCGCAGATTCGGTTCATAATAATATGCGCCTGTTTGTTTGCAGGGACTCGGCTTGTTTGCGCGCGACTCCCGCGCGTATACTTTTACCATACGTACGCGTAACGAGAGACGAAAAAACGGAAAAAAATATAAGTTTCTACAATGAAAATTCCGTTAATAAGTATTCGTGTTTAGAACGTAACAACAACGCGATCGTAGTGGTAGGTATTTTTTTTCCAAAGGTTCTATAATATTTGGGCGATTAGCGGGCGCGTAACCGAAGCCGAAACCGCGCGCAGGCCAACGGTAACAATCGCGTGGCCAAAAGTAGCCCGGCGTTCGGGGAAAAAAAGCGACCGGATTCGATTTCGCGCAAACGCGTAAAACGAAAACGAAAAAATATACACACGTTAAAACTGAGCTAACTTATCGTTATAAAACACTGCACGCGGACTACACTAACCGTTATTATATTTTTCACCGGGAAATATTTTTTCCGTTTTTACACGTATTTTATACATTTGTTGACGTTTTTCGACGGAAAAACCGTTTTGGACCGCGCGACATTCCGTTCGGTCCACGTTTCGACCGCCGTGATCCCGCGATATAACGAGTACCCGTGCTACAGGTGGCTGACGGGTCGTCTGTTATATGACCCAAGCGACTTTGGCGGCCCTGTCCGTCGACAGACGGCTGGGCCCGATCACGCTGACCGAAGCCGTGGCCGCTTGGGCCTCGGGCCCGGGTCAATCGGGGTCGTATTTGCAATCGATGCGCACCAGGGCGACGGTGGCGCACAGGGTCAGCAGCGTCAGCGATATGAGTATGGCGGCCAGCACGGCGATCTGCCCGGACCGGAACAGCGACCGGGTCGAGACGTACAGCAGACAGGCGTGCAGGACGCAGGCGGCCAGCCACAGCGACGTGAGCGCTACCGCCGACCGGACGGTGGGTCCCAGAAACCGGAACGGCTGCAGTCGCGGGTCGCACTGGTGCGGCCGGTAACCGTTGAAACCGTGGCTCATGTATATGCTGCCGGCTAAATTGAATGGCAAACAAACAACATACACGCAATCAATGTGAATTCCATTTACATAGACATAAGCGGGTACCGCGGACCAAGATATTATACAGATGACAAGACCGGAAACGACAGCGCGGGTGGGGGGAGACTGTCCGCAAAAGTCGACTGGTCGTGCGGATCGGGCGGGTTATTTTTTCCTGTAGAACGAGACCCAGCGTTATCATACAGCGGATTCGTTCGCAGTTAGATACTTCGCCATACTCAACGATAGTGTGAAGCGTCTAGTTCCGAAAATATCCGCTAAGACGGCGCTGGGGCTTATGAAGGAAATGGTACCTCGCATTATGCGTTCGGTTTTCCGGCCACGTTGTCGGTGCAATCGTTTCCAGTCTCGTAGTATATTATCTCCGGCCGTGAATAACGGCTATAACAATCGGTTTTTATTACCTCGGTTGAAAACAACCGCAATTGATTAATGGGGGAGAGGGGGTTAAAATAACAAGTTATAGGAAAACCCGATCCGCGAGCGAGCACAGTTCCCGGTTTTTAAACATACCTGTCTTAAACAATAAACTATAATTCTTTAAACAATTTTGAAAGAATTTGGTAATTTAGTAGAGTTAGGAAATAGTCGACGGGTCATTTTTCAAATTTCTAAAGTAGTTAAGGAATTGAGCTGCTAATTAAATATTAAACTTTGGTACTTATTTTTTAAACGTCGGCTAGTATGAATTCGTATTTAATTTTCATAGTCAAATTGAAAATGATAATAATATAATATAATTATGTTACGAATAATGTAATGTAATGTTTATTTCCTTATCAACCAAATCAACAACCGTAATTATGTGTTGATATTTACACGGACGGACCGACGGACGAACATACGTAACGGGGATATTAGGTGTTCTCAACTCATGTTTAGAAGTCTATTATATTTTAGAGGAAACCGTAATATTGGAAATAAAATTGATGGTGGAGCGATGGATATAACAAAATAGGAGACCTAAAGAACTTAAGGAGGAGATTAAAATCGCGAAAGATGAAAGTAACCAAGATGTGGACAAAAATGAAAAAATAATAGTTGTATACTATATAGATAAGATAAAAAAATAATAAAGAACGGTTAAAAAATGATTAGATTTAAGTCACAAAGAAAGATTATGCGATATTGCTCTTTAGAAATGTTTGTATTATAGATTAAAAATGTTCTACGGATGATCTATGTATTATAATTGGCAATAAATTCACAATATTTGGGTATTTTCAAACTTAATCAATACGACATTAAGCACAACAATCTATCCTCTCAGAAATAGGAAAAAAGACAAAGAAATATTATAATAATTTTCTTTTATTTGAGCCTGCTAGCGTTTTCATTGAACAGTTGAATCGTGATAGCTTGAACCTATCGAGGTTGAATTTTTGATTTTGTCCTTAAAATTCTTATAACACTTAACGTGTATTATCAGTCTCGTATAAAATCGTGACAAATAGTTTAGCCGAAGTGTATTATTATATTATGCGGATATTTCCGTGAACACATTATGACTTGTTTAATCACGACTCCACCGTATACAATAACGATAATACATATATACGAGTAGAATGTAGTTAGAAACTGATTATTAGCCCATGCACAATAAAATTAATAGGCGCTGGTTATAGTGTCAGTGTTCGAAATGGAAAATTTTACAATCCGGAAGGCTTATAAAACTTATGCCGTACATAACTTATACCTATGCCATATTCTACTCGTAAACCAGTTTTAGTGATACGAAATTATCAGCTACAGAAAGTTTAGAGTTCTCAAAAACCTACAAAAATGGCTGAATCCGAGTTGGATCCCGGACCCTAGCGGTTTTGATAACACACTAGTTGGGTCCCGATGAATTTTGGGTACTACACTGGTTGGGTCTTGGCTTTCGGTAGATAATATACTAGTTGGGTCCGAACGTTCAAATGCAATCCACAACGCTTTCCTTCTAAATTTTACAGATTTAGGATCTATTTTGCCAGTGATTTTTTTCTGTCGTTTAATCCTTTAGGCATTTTTCTCGTTGTAAAATACAATTTTGTTTCGTTTTATTTCCGAACTTCTCATTTTCATGTAAGTTCTATTCGGGTACTTTTTAAAAATTCTACCAACTGGTGGATATTAAGATGGATATATTGTGTTTTATTTTTCTAAACTTCTAAACTATTACATTACCTAATTAATATTAAGGTAATAGACGAATAACTACTAAATCCAACTAGTGTAGATTTTTGAACGCAGGACCCAACTCGGATGTACCGACAATAATAACGATTACTTACATATTATTTTTACACGATACAACGGTCGTATTTGGAGAATATATGACATCGTTTTGTTATTAATAGAATTGTCGAAAGAAAATTCTATTAATTATAAAAATTTGTATTAATCATTTGAATCCTCCTGATTGTGATACTCTCGGAAACATCTTACCGAGTGACAATCGTCTTAATTTCTTCAACGTTAATTTCATATTTTTACGAACAGGAATTTTAAAACTCTAATTACAACCAACCAGAACGAATCCAAAAGCTAATATTATTACAAATCGGGGCGCCGTTCCGTTGCGTTCCGGTCCATTACGAGCAAGAGTTAGTGTGTGTCTACCTTTAAGTGTCGTACGTCTATCGTAAGTATTTTTGTATGTTTAACATGTCTCGTAAACTAAAACTACACCATTTAACTATAGCAGACAAAGTTCATGCGATACGGTTGGTGGAAAAAAACAGGACACCGCGAAAGAATTTAATATTCCACTAAATACGCTGTAAATATTTTTAAAAAATAAGGTGGATATTTTCATAAAATTTGAAGGCAATAAAATATAAAAGATCGACATTTTGAGTTTATATTTCATTGTATAACTAGAAGTTTTGATTTAATTTTCATAAATTCGAGCTAGATATCTTGAATAATATGTATCTAGAAGCGATCTTTTTTACCCCTCGTCAACTTCGAGTTATCGTGACTCGACTGTACAATTATCTGGTTGTGGACAGGACCTGTCTACTGGATATGTTCTGTTATCATTTTTTTTTTTAAAGATTGATAATAATTACGGTAGGTGGGTAAGCAATAAAAAGAAAACTTGCAACAAAAGTTGTACGTATCTATAACATTCAATTATACTCGCAAATTACATTTCCTAACCTAACTTAATATATATTGTTATTATATAATATGGTTTACCGAATTTATTGACAACGCCGTTAATTTGTTTACCTACCTACTGTAAACTGTTGTAACGATAATATTCGTTAATAATGCATAATGCAAATTTAATACGACCCATGAAATATTAATATTAGACCTCGTCTGATATAATGTTGTTATGTATTATAAATGAACTTTAATGCTACAGACTACAGGAGCCAAAATCAGAACGTATAACTATTGAGGCAGGTGTTTAAACTTAAGAGAAACAATAACAAAAAAATCCTAATAATTCCTAATATTAAAAATTGTTGTTATATAAATTATTAAATTTCAGACGCAAAACTCGAATTGAAAAAATGAAAGAAGGGGGATTGTATGGGATTAAACAAAATTCCTTCAGAAGAATGATTGAACTCAAAGGTACAACAATAATTGAAAAAATGTTGGGGTACTCAATTCCCCTGGATGTCCCCCAAATGGAGCACTGAATTTAAATATATAACAGGTTATAAGTATGTATATTGTTATAATGTACAGCTATTTATACAGAATTTTGAATTACCAATATAATAATACCTATATAAGCAGGGCAAAAAAAGGCGAAGGATACTCTGTGATTCCTATTTTATTTTGAGTGCTCCATTCAGTGTTGTCCCGAACACCAAATCATTAATGGAAAGGTTCTTCATTAATTTGTCAAACAAAACAAATTTTTCTCGATTCGCTTGAAACTGGCATTCCTTTTTTTTAAATAAACAATATGAATATAATAGTAACATTCTTTTTTTTACTTATATCACTGTCCATAATAACTATTTTAATGCGTTTGTATAAAAATTAATGAAAAGACACGTAAGAAAAACTAATAACAGAAAATTTAATATTTTTCTTAAAACTTCATTGTACATAATATTTTTTTAACGCTAACATAAAAATTAACAAAATGAGGTGATGGTTGTACCCGTAGTCGTAGGCGAAAATTTTTTTTTGCTACGCATAGCTTTCAATGACCTTACTGTTCAATTTCGAAGCATTTCTGTTTGGTCAAAAAATTATATCTACATAGTACCTACCAAGTAAAAATTACGTAAAAAACTCGTGAATATAAAATGCCTATATAAATAGCTCAAACATATTTTCACAATATTTTTACACATTTTACCACGTCTAGAAAAGGTCAATCTATCAAAAATTCAAGTTTCTACGAATATTATTAATTGAATTACAACTAAAATACAAAACCACTTGACATATTTCTCACCACGAGCAGGCTATTATTTTAGAAGTTGAGAAGGTAGAACACAGAGGGGAATATAATTTATATCTGTACGCAACGATTAATCATTGCTAATGGAAAACGATTCTGAGTGGAGCTCGGTATAGCTTTTTCAACAATGTACATTTTCACAATAATGATTGTTTAAAAAAGATTAAAAGATTAGAAAACAATAAAACTTAACGACAAAAACAAATAAATGTAAACGGTTGCCAATGACAATCTTATTTTTAATATTTTAATATTTTTTAACCTATTATCTCGAATATTAATGGAAAATTTCAAAAAAATGACCATTCTAATGTATCAACTAGAGTCAAAATGCAACAAAAAAGGTCTTTTGTCATGTTTTGACTGGAGCAAGATTTCTAGGAGGAAAGTTGTTTACAGACAGAAAAAAAATGCTCATTATAGTAAAAAAAATAGATCCTTCGCTATGTTTTCAATCTTAAATAAATTTGAATAACAGAATATGCATACAATTACTCATAATATATATTATATTTTCCTTAGTATGTATGGATGTATGTTCTTTAAGACTAACATTACTAACAACTACGTCATGTAAAGCCACAAAATAATAATAATACGTTATGATATGTATTTATTGTCGGTTTACACTATACACTATAGAATATAGATAAAATTTAAGCCATGCGAATTGTATTATTTATCAAAGATTTACTTGAAAAATATTATCTAAAATTATTACATTTTCAAAATAAATAATTATTTTAAACGGTAGTTAAACTATTTTGATTCAATTTAAAGGACTATACGAATTGTACCCATAGTGCCTATGGAGAATTTGTTAAAAAGGATTCCTTTTAAGTGCAGTCAAAGGAAGTGAAACTTAGTTTCCTTGCGTCCCCTCACTTTAACCCTGTAATATAGGTGATACACAAATACACAACTATATGGTTACTGCGCTAATATACGAATGTAATATAAATGTTACTCAAAATATTAGAATACACTATATATATTTGGTTCCAAGTAAGAAGGGTTTAAGTCTGTTTTGTATGGTTTTCAATACGAGCAAATTAAATTTTTAGTATAACATGTGTTAGAATACATACATAGTTGTACATCTGTGTCATTTAGACCAAAAAATAAATGAAAAATAATTTCAATAAGCCAAAAATTGACTTAAGTTATTTTTCCCTGGAGTATAATAATGCCACTCTCGTAGTTTTAACTCTTTGTTATTGAAGTTAAATTTTGTTAATTAATTGCAAAATATTTGTTATGTTTCGAAAAATAATTATCGTAAAAATCTGTTAGCTATTTAATGAGCAAGTTTTATTATTTTTTTATTTTAAACTAAAACAAGGGTATTTGATGTTTTTATATTGCTGTTTAACATGTTTCCATGCAATATAATGCATCGCACAAACAACACCCCTTGAAATAAAATATATAATATACTTAATGTTTTTGTGTCATTTTAAATTCTGATCAGAACGAAGAGTTATTACTTTTCTAATATAATGTGTTATTGTTTGGTATTATTATTATTATTGGTGTCTTCAAAAAACTTTTGGTATAGTAAAAATATTCGAAAAGTTTCATATAAACTGCAATATTATATATAATAAATGTAATTTGACACACGCGGTACATTGAAGGGACATTTTTTGAATTTCCGAATTCAGCGAAATGAAAACATTGAAAAATCAGCGAGAGAAACATAATAAATTTGTAGATATTAAAAAAATAATCTTGAAAATACATTTTTTTTTTTTTAACTATTTGATTAAAGTAGTTAGGACCTGTGTTGATAAACTCATAATATTTCAAAGAAATAAGTTTCTTCTTTTTTTTCGATTTAGACATATATATATACTTATATACCTTTATATGTGCACAGGGTGGAAAAAATAATGGTTTTTCATATAATATTCGTACTCAATATATACCTATTTTAAAAATAATATCTGTATTGAAATTTTAAATTAAAGGAAATTAATAATTTAAATTACACGAAATGAACAAATATTATACCTTACTTGATATTAATTGTGCTTATTTGTAGATCTGCTCACATACTATCTCAATGTAGATATTATAACGATTTGTTGCGAAATCCTACTCTAAAATGATTTATCACACGATTTTTTGTAAATTTGTCACAATCAATTAACATCAACCATCACCAATCACTTGAAAAGATGATTAAAAGTGCTAAAATAATTACACATATCATTTCATATTAATATGCGGCGAATGTTTTTATGGTGGAAGTAATTTTTATTTATTATAAAAACTTGTTTAGTTAAACATAAACATTTTTTTGGCTAGGTGTGAAAAAAAAAGTACCATCTTAAAAATAAGTATTCTGAGTATATTACCGTTTGAAAAACCATCTTTAGGTTTTACAATGATGTTTATTTTTTTTTATGTCAACACTTTTTCTACCAGAATGATTACTTCGATTATTAAGTATAGCACCTTTTCTGAAAGCAAATGTTTTCTTGGTAGTACTTTAAAGAGGTTTTTTTTGAAATTCTTATTATAATATTTGAGATAATGAAGAAAACCTGGTTCTTTAGTAGGATGAAAAAGATTGAAATATTAAAAATAAGGTTGTCATTGGCAACCGTTTTTATTTATTTTTTGTTATTATTAAGTTTTTATAAAATCATTGTTGTCATAGAAACGCACATTATAAACTTTGTTTGCTATATAAAGTCCAGAAATAGCATTTTTTTTTAAATTTATATTTTTTCAGATATTTAGTGATTTTTATGTTACTAAATTGAGAATTCTTCAGGAAAATATTTCCTGAATTAATTAAAATAAATAAATAAATAAATAAAAATACACCACATTTTAAAGCTTAATACCACCTTTTTTGATCTGATTGGAAAAACGAGCGTACTTATAATACTATGTTATATATTATTATTAAAGACCGGATTTAATTACATTTAAAACACAAAAATTGCATATTAAAATTATATAATTGCACCAAATAATACCTAAAAATTGCATAATAAATTGCACTATAAAAATGCAAAAGTTATATAAAAAAAATTAGATAAATGATACTTTTTTAATTAAAATTGATAATTAAATACATTTCTAAATTATTTTCATTAAAATTAAATCTTCTACTACTTAAAATAGGTTTGCACAAAGAATAATTGCGTTGTGCGTCTACATTAATTATTGGTGAATTTTAAAAATAATTTAATAAAGTAGGCGTTATATCTAAATTAACATTTGTTTTATCTGGCATGACTTCATAGTAAGACTTTAAAGCTTTATACTCTTCATTTTTTTCAATTAAATACATAAATTTTTCTTTAACTTTTTTACCATTTGGACCAGGAATATTTGCTAAAATATCTTCAATTTTTCTAAATATATCCATGCTTTTCAGCAGTTCACTATTAGATTCTTCCAAATTTTTAAGATTCATGGATAACTCAGATAAGTGCAATTTTATGAATGCCAAACTACATTTGACTGCATTATTTTGTACAAGCTACTTCAGCTTTCCGACTTTTGGAGTATCATCTGTTAAACTTTCAATCACTTTTTAAACTTTTCAAAATTATTTGCATAGAAAAGTGCAGCGCTTAACCATGTCCCTCATCATGTAATAATAAGTTCCGGTGGTAAAGGTATACCTGGCATGACATTTCTTTTCTGTATTTATTTGTATTTATTCTCGATGGTGCCACTATATATATATATATACAGACACTTGTCGCTTGTTGGGCTCTCTAGGCTTCTAGAAAACTCCAGACGAACGATAAACGTCTATGATTTAAAAACGTGGAAAAATTGAAAAAAATTGTATTATAAAATTAAATAGGCAGAATATTTTTAGTATATATCGGCTATATATTTAATCAGATCCGATTTAGATAAATCTGTATTGCAAAAAAAGTTGCAATATCAATTAAATCCGGTCTTTAGTCATCATACATTATAAACACTCGAAATACATTTTTTTATTTATTTGTTTAATACTATAATAAATGATAATAATCATCAATATAGGTAGCAATTCTAGCGACAAATGCGAAAATATGATTGAATTCTAACCATCGGGTAATGACTAATATTTAACTATAATTGTTTGTTGTTTATTTGTAGTATACACAAAGCCGGTCATTGTAATTTATTTATTCTGAATAATTATTAATGATGATAATATTTGTCACATCGCTGGAATTTTACGGAAATATTAACGACTATGACACTGTGAACAATAATAAACTGCTGAGATTATTATTGGTTTTTGTTTATATTACTATAACTGTCTTTTGTATTAGCTTAAATCGCGAAAAAATGGAAGACAGTTACTTAAACGAGACAATAATTACGATTAAAGTCAATTTATAATTGGAAAACTGCATAAAAAATTGGTCTACACTAAATTATAGTCTTTTGGTAACACAGAGATGAAAGAAAAACATTTTCGAATTAAAATACTAGGACATTCCAATTTACCATGATCAAGCGATTTTTTTGGAGCATTTTGAATAAATTTGATTTCTGTATGAAACTCATGCTACCTCTTTTAAAATATAGATTGGAGGAGAAGGAAAAGGTAATAAACAGTATCGCCGAAACTATATTTTTATGGTGTAGCAGAGTTTGAAATTCTAAACCACCACCCACCTCAAACACATTTACCCATATAAATTTATACTTTTCTACCCCTATAACCTACTACCTTGAATCTTTATACCCATTCTACCTGACTATCCTAAATCTCATTTATCGGGAACACACACCTATCCAAAATATTCTATGTACACGATTGCTATACGCGAAGTATAGTTTGGGCACCACTGGTAATAAACTGGTGGCAACCATTTTCAGATGATAACCCTTCCCTACGTTTCCGGTCTAAATTTTAAGAGGCTATAATTATTTTTCTGTTTGAAAATCCAAAATATTTACTTATTTAAGGTTTAAAGAGAGTACGAGAGTATAAGAGTAAAGATTCGAAAATCGTGTTGAAATAAATATTTAAAATTCCACAAATATAAAAATATTCCGGGAAAATCGATGGATCTTGACAAAAAAAATCATCCTAAAGTTGAAAAACGTTTATAAAGGAGATTGTATAATTATATTTTATTTGTCGTAACAAGAGAAATTCGTAAATTTAAGTCTAATTTTATTTTAAATATAGTTAATTACTTTATTTCATTAACGATTATTAAGACAAAAAACACTCGAGAATATTGACAGTGGTTGTCGGCTGGTAAAATTTAATTAGCATTATTCATTTTCATGAATCAATCTTTTGGTACAAAAGTAACCTATACAATCAATACAATCAATTATGAGGAAACAATAATAATAATTTATAATTTAATAATAATATTGTTTACAGCAGAAATGGATATAGTAATTTCTATGTTCAGTTTGGCGTTATAAGCGACTGTTATTATTTATTAATTTCTTATTTCATTTATTTTGATCGACGATACGTAAACTAAAGAAAAACTAAAGAAAAACGTAGAAAGAACGAAGGAATAGGAAAGTTTTGGTTTGACAATATTTTAGAAAAAAGCAGTTAAGTCCGAGTATACTGTCCTCGAAAATATTCTCTTCTTTTTAAATTTTGTTACTTGTGTTTTCAACTGTAGTTTTACCCTATAAACGCCACAAGCGTTAATAACCTTATGTTTTGTGCGTAACATAGTTCTACTATGTTGCCCGTGAAAATAGACCCAGATATTGAATTCGGGTGTTGTGTCCTCTTAATTAATTACCCACGTAGAATGGACTACAACTTATGTATATTTAATCAATATACTTTATGAATTCATTTATTTTTTTATGTACGATTTCTTTGCAGTGATTATTGAATATAAAACAGGCGGCAAACGCTTAATTAAATTCCAAACTATACTACATACTTCTAAAATATTGTATTTATAATTAATGAAACTTATATTTGAACATTTAATTGAGTTTAAAATTTAATTTCATTAACCAATAGGTTCTTATTCGTTATATTATGACTGTTAAATTTATAATATGGAAACGAGAAAACATAAATTAAAACTATAATCAAACAATTTTGTTTTTATTTCATCAAATTACTTTATTTATACTATTATATGTTTATTCACGAGTATTAAACATTTTAATAATTTTGATTTTAGTTTATTATTTTATTACTTTATATATTACATTTAAATGCTTCATCATAATTTGTGAATAGGTCACGCTTTTCTTTTGGGTTCAGTCCGCAGATGTCCATTTTAAAACGGGATAATTTTTTGATATTATTCGATTGCCTCATAGTATAAAATGTGAGAAAATAAGAAAAATACCGTTTTAAAAATTGTCTTGACTTTCGCGACTCGTGTGCAGAAAACTAAATGAAAAATCGTGTTTTATATACCGCATTTAACGCCGTCGTCGAATTAATCAACGGTCAAAAGCCCAACGCGATGATTGGTCAATGGGGTGGCTTGAGAATACGTGAATAAAATCGAAATCACCAACATGTAGTACCTATTATTATTTTCTATACCGATTTCCTATCACATATCATAGTATGGTATAGAGCGTATCATAATGTGGTCTATATTTTATTGTAAGATAGTATCCTCTCCCTCCCCTGACTCTTCCACCAGAATTAAAAAAACGGACAGTATATACAAGGTATTCAAGGTAACATCACATTCAAGGCCCATGTTCGATATAATATTTGCGAATATTCATGAGCGGTCGTCGTGGTCATTAAAATTGACTGTTATACAGTATACTCATAGATATTATTAGATAGGTACAAAGAATAAATTCTGTAGATTGTTTTGAAAATTTTACTGCGTCTAGAAAGTGCTATATTCAGGTTTTTTTTACGATAAAACATTATCAAAAATAACGGAAACCGTTATTGCGTCCACTTTACCGTTTTTCTGACGAGTTTTTTGTTAAGAAAACTATAAGGCAACATAAATTTCAGTATTGTATATCCCTTTAACAAGGAATACAAACCGCTCAAACACAAACCGGAGTAATCAAAAGACGATGAACTAACCAGTTTCAGTTTGATACTCCAGGGTTGATTGGACTAATTGATTATTTAGATTTTATCCACAAAGACCATGAATTAACCGGTTTCAGATCGGACTCACAATAAAAGAGAAAGTATTGATTGTGACTACTCAAAAACAGAACATGAATATACGCTAAAGCATAAAAGACCTTGCATTAAAAACAAACACAAATAATACGCTAGCCCCTCTAGTCAGCGTACTCATACGTAATCTAATCAAAGACTCTGCCGAACTCCCCTTTCGCCTCGGTTGGGCGGCTTTAAATATAATTTTTATCTTATTGTCTCAGAATATTTGCTTCACTAGCCTACTTAATAACATTGGTGACTAAACGAATGTACAATGTTTATATATTTGTGTTGGCATATACAACACTCTGTAAACTAACCAACCAGAATAAAAAAAAATATCTTCCGGTAGATAACATTTTTCTGAAGTCGACGATTGGAGTAAGGTTTCTGGTAGAAAAGTCGTTAACAGACATAAACATATAATAAATTGTTATTATTAGTATTATACGTGTGTGTGCGTATATATTATTGTTTTACAATACACACACGTTTAATATCGTGTAAACAAATAATATACTACCTACTTAAATAATAATTGCCATGTACGGAATTTAAAATTTACAAATCACGAAAGTGCAACGATTTAAGTGCAATAATTAAACGATAATATTATACTTAATTATTATAAAAACTGTTTTATTTTAAATGCTTTAGCTATTATAATGTAGGTATAATAATTATCATCGAACCCGTTTGAACAATAATAATATCTCATATCATCATAATATTTCAAAATGATAAAAATAATTATGAAGTCGTTAACAAATCGATTGGTAATAATATTTATTTGAACTGCGGTTAGTACGGTTTATAATATTGTATTCTGTTAAGTGTAATAATATGTGACACTCTTAACGTCTTGTTTGAAATCTAAGTTACGCTGCAGTAGCAGCGGCTAGGATTATTACACTACTATTAATTATTAGTTTTGCTATTCATAATTTAACAATAAACTAATAGAACATGTTCCGTTAGATTTGAAACTCTATATAATTTCATGTGAAAAAAATGAACAAATTAATCGTGCCTTTAATGGTTTTCATCTGCAGTAGCCATGTCGAAAACATTGTGGGCATCGATCCTTTGCATGACCAATACGGACAACTCATATTTACAACACTAGTATGTATATTATATATAAATTACGAATATAAAAATTAATGTTATTTGCGTCATAAACTATAGTTGACACATTATTGTATAACAAAGATTGTGATAACGCGCACTGTGATGAATGTACCTATGGGTATTAAACCGTAACACGTTTAGGTAAAGCTACCCACAATTTGACATGTTTCCGCAAAATTAACACAACTTTTGGGCACACTATATTTCTTCAAAAATAACACGACAGTATGAAAACCCGGACGTCGTTCGTTTCCGCCTAATATATTTCTTTCTACCTAAATATAGTTTAAGAACCCCATTTAGAGTTATTCCGGAGCCACCACAAGGAGGCGATCCTCGTTGATCCTTAAACATTTTTTTTTTTCAGCATCTAGTTATTTGTATTTATATCATATACGTATGCATTATATATTCTATATTAATTATTAGTTTGAAGTGTAATTGTTATTGTTAAGTAAAAAAAGTCGGATAACTTTGCACGTGGGCGTAGCTACTATTGTAGGTGAGAAGCTGGGAAGGTGGTAGAGAGGCACTTTAATGTATATCTGTAAGCAACAATAAATAGTTGCTAACGAAAAAATGATTCTGAGTGGAGTTCAGTTGTAGATAGTGTTGCTTTGTCACCAATATACATGTCATATTATGGTAAAATATAAAATATAAAATGCTTATTACATAAGCATTATATATTTTCATTAATAATATTTGTTTAATATTGTATCCATTTTTCCGTTTTTCTTATGGTTTTTTATATTTTTTCCTGGTTTTTCAAATTTTTTGGGAGAAATTCTGGGAAAATCGAAAAATTACGTTTCTAAAATACCTCCCTAATTCGACTTCAGAAAAGGTTCAACATTTAAATTTCGAGTAAAATTTCTGGTAGAAAAGTTGTCCACAGAAAAAAAAAAAAAATAAAAATAAAAATAAATGTTTTTAAAACTATAAGCGTCTTCACTTCACATTGAATCTAAAAACGACAGAAGACATAATTCGCACCATGAGTGAGCAACTTTTGTAAGTGAGAAATTGGTAAGCTAGAATACACAGGGGGATTTAATTTATACTTATACACAACGCGCGATTAAATATTGCTAATGAAAAACGATTCCGAGTGAAGCTCAGTCAATATTATTGTCTTTTCAACAATGTGCATTTTCATGACGATTTTTTAAAAATGATTAAAATATTATAATAATTAAAACTTAATAAAAATAATAAAAATAATAAATATAAATATAATAAAATAAAAATAAAAATAAATATAATAAAAAAAAAAAAAACTGCTGCCAATGACAATCTTATTTTTAATTTTTTTTCACCTAAAGAATCAGTTTTCTCTTATTATCTAGAATATTAATGAGAATTTCAAAAAAATACTTTTGTAAAGTATCTGCTAGAGCCAAAATCCATTGAAAAAGGTCCCTTGTAAAGTTTTTACTGAAGAAAAAATTTAGGAGAAATTTTGTAAACAGAAAAAAAATAAATATCATTGTAAAACCAATAAATATTCCTCGTTTTACTCAAAATCTAGAAAAGTTTTGTATTTCTTGGTCACCAAAGTCGCAGTACTTAACTACTGAGCCAATTAACTCTGTTTTCGAAAGAGGTCGAATATTGAATTTTGAATTCCCTACAAGTTAACAATTTGACCGGCTTCATGTTATGGGTAAGATGGACGTCAAATGCACGATGTTCTTTTGAAAACTTGTAATGGCACTTATTTCCCTACTTAAAATATTTGTTTTTGCCTCTATTCCCGTGAAACACTCGTGAATATTATAAAATGCTGTATAATTTGAAAACACCGACGTGTATAACATAGAATGCATCCTTCCGTTTCCATTTATAATATAAACCAGGGGTTGGAAATGAGTTTCACAGAGGGACCGAATAATTTGAAAAAAAATTTTCAAGGACCATATATATTTGAAGTTGAACAATGAAAACAGTTCATTCTCTACACATTTGGTTTTCTGTCTTATTTACCACTTCCAGAAAAACATTCATTTTTACGTTAATAAGTGTTTTTATTTTGTATCAAAAATACAATTATTATATAACATTATTTAATTATTTTATACAATAAAATATATACAGAGTGATTCCTTTAGTTAAATTTTTCATGTATTCAAATTCAAATTTTTGAAATTTTTAAGTGTAGTTAAAGCCGATATTTTCGAATACTTAGATTTTTCACAACATTTAAGGATCATCTGTAGTGATAGCAACTGAGGTTTTTCAAATGAAACTTGTATTCCATAAATAGAAAGAGTATTACTTTAAATAAATTTTGGTGTCAACATTTTTGAATTCTGCCAACTCGTTAACGAGGTATTTCATTTTTAAGTTTTGGTAGGGCGAGAGTAGTGGAGTATCATTAGTGTGGCGGTACGGCGCACGGCGTTTTATTAGTGATTCACTATTCTTCCCCTAAACTTAAAAGTGGAATATTTCGTTAATGAGTTGATGAAAATCAAAAATTTTGACACCAACATTTATTTAATGAAATACTCTGTCTGTTTATGGAATTTTTAATATAGGTTCTCATTTGAAAAATCAAAGTTGGTATCACCAAAGGATACCCCTTAAATGTTGTGAAAAATCTAATTATTCGAAAATATCGGCTTTAACTACATTTAAATATTTCAAAAATTAGAATTTGAACACACTCAAAATTTAACCAAAAGGGTGAGCACGCTTAAGGAATCACCCTGTATACTATTTTATAATAATATACAAATATACCAAATGTATCATAAATATAGATTATGTTTGGACGCTTGGATATTCCTTATCTATACAGAGACATATAATGAACACAAAAAAACAAACGTTAAAAGAAAAGAATTTTGGCGGTCCGTTTATTCCTCTCCGCGAGTCGGTTTCGCCCGCGAGCCACCAATTATCTACCCCTGATATAAACGTTTAATTTTTAGTATTGATGTGTGATTACTACACGATCGATGTAATTTAAATTTGGTTGGTTGGCGATACTTTTAAAGGTATGTTTAGGTTAGGTTACCAATACCACTATAGGGTCAACATAATAATATTATGATTTTCTCAATAAATGTGTGAGCTGTTTTAATTGTATCTCATAATAACCTAATCACAATAATTGAGAATTAGCGACGTATTAATTACTAGACGTAATTAATTGATAAAAAGCTATGAATCAGTTGCGTGATTGCGGATGAATCATATTTAGACTCAGTGGTTGAATAATAATGCAATACCTATACATATTTTGTTTTTCAACATGAAACATTTTCAATTTCAATTCTAGTGTTTAATATTTACTACTTAAAATACTGTGGTGATATTGTTAAAAAGTACATTGAAAGAAAACGAATTGAGAACCTTCTCCTTTTTTGAAGTCATGACTTATATATCTAAGACACGTGTATTTCTATTGTCACTCGATTTTTTTTAATTTTGCAATATACGTCCGTATTATATCGGGCGTACAAAAATAGTTATATTGTATTATGTAGGTTAGATTTATTGTAAAATCGTGTATCACATCTTTTAATAAAGTTTAGAGTTTTTGCACGACTAATTATTTTATTGTATATAAGTCGCAATAATTGACATCGATAACTCATAAAGTATAATAGTTATTAATTGTTTACATATTATTTTATTACAGACGTTAATTAGTATTTTTATTCTTACACAATACACATATTTTCTAAATTTTTTAAATACACGGGTTTTACACACTATTCACGAATATTAGGTACTTGCCTACTAGGTATTTTTATTTTTTTTTTGGAATAAAACTTATTATTTGTGGAGTGTTCCTGCGTCGTATGTACGTAAGTACTAAATAAACATTAGATTGTCCCGATAACAGAATAAAACCTATGTCATGTGATAGGATATTAGACGAATATAATTACATTTGCTGTTATTCGGTGCTTCATAAATGATGAAATGATGCATATTACCTATAAAGTGTACATTTTGAAATATTATTAATATAAAAATTATTTGATTTGGATATGAATTCTTACACATTTTTATTCCCAATATTTTAGATTCTGAGTGGAGAGAAGAAGCTATGGTTTTAAAAAGATATTATTTTAGATTCCGAGCGTAGCGATTTTTTCTTTTTTCCATTCTTTGGACACGTTTTTTCCTAGTAAACTTGCTCCAATGTATTAGTGTAGAATTTTTTCTGAAAGCTCAAGTTTAAATTGTACCTTAGACAGATCATTTTTTAATTTTTTAAATAAAAGCACTTGAGTGGGAAAAACCGTAAGAAAACGTACAATTTTACGATCTTTTTTTACCAGAAAAAATGATTTAATAGAAAAATCAAAAAAAATTATTTTGGTGCCTATTTGATTTAATTTTTAACGGTATCATTGCCAAAACTTCTGAGCCACTTTTGAGGTTTTAAGGAATTTTAATTTTCGGGAGTTTTTTTCCTGTAATTCGATAGACAACTCATGAGGCATGCAACTTATCTAGACGTGGTAAAATTTCCAAAAGTCATTCGATAACTTTTTTTTTTTAAAAGCGTTTTGAAATCAAATTAAAAATGAAAATCGCAAAAAAAAATTACGGCACTTTAAATTATTGAATTGCGCTCGGAATCGTCTTTTGTCAGCAATGGTTTATCTTTGCTTGCAGATATAAATAAAATAACTTTATGTATCCTACCTTCCCAACTTCTCATCTACAGTAGTGGCCACTCCCATCCCCATCCCCAGTATCAGCTCTCTTTTTTTTATTGTTCTGTGGACAACTTTTCTACCAGAGATTTTGCCCCAATTTTCATTTGTAACACCTTTTCTAAAAGAAAATCGGTATGGGGAGGTACTTAAGAAGGTCATTTTTTTATTTTTTCAATAGTTATCTCAATAAATGTGAAAAACTGAAAATAAAGTGAGGAAAAATGGGATCCATTTTAATTTTGGAATTGGAATAATTGGAATTTGATCTTAATATAACATGAATATTGTTGACAAAGCAGCACTATTAAATAAACTCCACTCAAAATCGTTTTTTCGTTAGCAATGGTTTATCGTTGCTTACAGGTGTACATTAGATTACTTTTGACAGTGGTTGCACCCATCCCCATTTTCTTAGCACGTTTTTCCTTATTTAGGTAATAGATAAAAAAAAGTAATATAATATTTTAAATGTTTTACCAAATAAAAGTTTATGTCGTGTTCCTATAAACATATATATTGCAATATAATAGTAGTTTTCGAAGAGTGCAATCAGGTATATTGTGTAATTTTATCCTATTTTAAATCATTTATATAAATCTAAAATTTAACATTGTGCAATGGCCATTATTAAAATTTTAGATAAAAAAAGATGCATTTAAATATTAAATATTAATCAAGCATAAAAATACTCGTAGTTCCATTTGAAAATGTATGTATACATTTAATGCATATTATATATAAATCTAATTATCTATTTAAATAATTTCTAGGTATATAGACACGGTGAACGGTCATTTGAAAAAACTTATCCTACCGATCCGTACGCAAATGTATCAAAATACTGGCCGATGGGACTTGGCGGATTATCCTTGGTGAGTATACTGAATTCATTATTTTATTAAAAATATTAGTTAGAATACATCATTATAAAATATTTTCCAAAGAACATTGTTCATAAAAAACCAATATATGTATGTATATTTGGACCGTGACGAAATAAAACTAAATCTATTATCTATACAGTAGTCCATAGGCGTAGCCTTACCTATAATGGGGGGGAATTAAAACCCATGACAATTTCACGAAAAACAATACTCAAATTGTATATTATGAATTATATTAATAGTTTAATATAGTTTATTAAGCTATACTTCTTACCTATTATTAAATTAACCATTATACAATTATAAGTTCTAGTTGAAAAAATGCATACATTTATAAATATGTCACACCAATTAAATTTTGCATGTATTCAAATACAGATTTTTGGAATTTTTAAGTGTAGTTAAAGCACGATTAATGAATCACCCTATATATCATGTACCCCATAGTAATACGTATGTATCAAGAGTCAACATACATACATGCATACATTATGCAAACAATCATTACAAATTAATATCACAAAGATTAGTCAATCCTACGGTTCTGAGTAGTAAAATTAATAAATATGTAGAATAGAGGTTTGAAAAACGATAATTTGTGGTTGCACTTCTTAATAAATATGCGATGGGAAATAAAAAATTCCCTCCCCTCTCCAAAAATAGAGGAAATAAAACATATTTGGGGAGGAGACTATAGTACCTGTAGCCCCCCTTCATCTTATGTTTGTACCCAGTACATACACCAGCCAATATTTCCAAATATATCCTATTATTTTCACCTATTTTGACTAAATTAATAACAAAACAAGTGAGAATTAATATTTAGTTTTTGTTTTACTGAACACCCATTCTCACCTAAATCTTAAAAAATCGAAAAACCAATCGTTTATCAGAGATCTCATTAATTTCACCGTTGTATATGATTAATGGAGTGTAGCTAATAATTTGCAATTTCGTTTATTTTTGTGTGGACTTAAAAACCTCAAAAAAAAAAAAACAAAAAAAAACCGGGGTTTCCTAACAAACTAGTTAAGGTTACTAATGCACAAGAGAGCTCATATTTTTGTTTAAATGTTTCATTATTATTCATTGTTTTAATGTTTATAACTTAATTATTGTATATTTGTACCTATTTTATTTTTATCGTGATATTTTAAGTAATTAATAATAATAGTATAGTAGGTAATCATAATAGATCCAAACAATTTTAAAAGTATTATAAAAAAAATGCTCGTCAAAAGTCTTGGTGACATGATGGCAGGAGACAGACTCCAAAAGATTTTAAATGTGATACCTATAATTTATACTATGTATTATTCAGGTTGGAATAGAAAGAGAATACATATTAGGAAAATGGTTGAGAGACCGGTACGACAGATGGTTGCCCAAAATATACCATGTTGATGACGTGTTTGTGCAGAGCTCTGACTTTGATCGAACTATAATGAGTGCTCAAGCCAATTTAGCCGGTATGTATCCCTCTACATTTTTGACCAATGACGATTTGAACAAGGTACCGATGCTAAGCTTTCAACCAATACCGATACATACGGTACCGATATTCGTAGACAACGTAAGTATATTTATGTATATTAATTATAATAGGTATGCAATTTTTACCAATAAAATAAATAATTCGGTGTAATATGTTTAACTATTGCATATACATATATAATTCCAATGGGCATTTAAAAAGTATTTATGAGTGAACAAAATGTTAAAATAACAGCCGGGTAAAAAAAAAGCAGGATAATTGTGAATATATAGGTGACTTTTGTATAGATGTCAAGTCAGAATGGAATAGAATATATTATATAGGGTAATTTAATTTATATCCGTATATGCGTACGATACGAGATTATCGTGAAGATAAGAATAAAATTAAGAAAAATGTTATTAGTAAATGTTATTATTCTGATATTCATATTATTAGATGCTGAGTGGAGTGAGGAATGTTTTACTATGATGGGTGAAATTTTTTAGAATTTTAGTGCAACGAAGAAAGTATTTCTTTAGTATTTTTTCTGATTGATTTCTATAATGTGTGTTTTTAAATTAAATTTCTTTTTTGTGTCACAATAACTTTTCAATATAAAAATCTCCATGGCATTTTGGATCTAGTTAGCGCAATTTTTATGTTGCATTTTAGAAGATATCGTCGTTTGCAACTTGTCCAAAGTATTTAAAAGAGTATAATAAACTATTCGATGATTCAAAAATACAGAAGTTTTATGACCAATATCAATCAATGTTCGAGTACATCAAAAATAATTCACAGCTTGAAATGGGGAAAAATGCAGTGACGTCTACTACATTACTATTCGATGTACTTTTTGTTGAGGTAAATATATCTAATATAAATATGGTATATATTCTGTGTAGTAACACCGACCTCGGTTAATAATGACCATCAGTAGGTCGCAGCACGTTTGGTTACATTCATTGACATTGAATGCAACACGTTTGGAATTAATGCATACACCGTAACATAAATAATATAACGTTTTCTAATGTTTGACTACATCTACAAAAAAAAGGTCTTTTTTATAAAAAAAAGAAAAAAAAAGCACTCCTTGGAAGACTAAAAATCCTAAAAATATTTTAGTAATATTTGATTACTTGTCGTTGTTCTAAAATTATTATTTATACTGATACATAATGTATAGATTTGGCTAATTATTTAATTTAATTTTGGACCAATTAGGGATGAATATTTTGTAACATCTCTATATTGAGTTAATTTAATACATTTCCAAGTCGGCTACATAGTATTTTTATGTACCAGTGAGATATTCGAATGTGTTATGTGTTTATGTGCTCAAATATGTTCTATATTTGCAGGTAAATATATTTCTATGTACCAAAAACGTATTATATCCGTCGGTATTATATCCTTTCGTGTTTTGGTTTTAGAATTTATCTTATTAATTTTTAAAGTTCTTAAGTTTTTATGATTTGTTTTTAAAATATTTTTAATTGCAAACAGCATGAGTAAAATATTTGTATTGACGTGTTGATGTATGTACCTATGATCACAGGTAAAAATATGTCCAGAGGAAAATATAGTCATTGAAAAAACTGGGGATATTTTCCATGGTCATTATTACCTAGACTCTATTAATATAATATGAATATACATCAATTTTAATAACACAAATAATAATAATGTTTTCAAAGCACAATAAAAGACAACTAATAAAAAAAGTCATTTGTTCGCCCGATGGATTTATAGGTGGGAAGTTGGAAAGTTAGGATATAGAAGTAATATGGTAGAATACAAAAATTTCAAGTTTTTTCACTTGACTATTTTTGAATTTGACCATATTTCCCTCTGGGTACTTCGTTTAATTTTTCCCATGGTCATTTTGTATTTGGGAATATCAATATATTGTCGTACCTATACTTATAATATCTAATACTAAACCGATATAGTCTATTATTTATGAACGTATAAGATTCAGGGGCGCAGAACGAAGTAGAATAATTGTACAAATTGTACAATCGTATATAATTGTCTCTAAATTGTTATTCTTACGGGTAATATTTTTAATAATTCAAAATTTCTGTTGGTAAGTTCTCGCTCTTAATCTATAGTTTTACCATAGTGTTAAAATTATTTTTATTTATAGAATTATAATATTTTGTTTTATATGATAGACAACATTCAACTATACCCTACCAAAGTGGACTAAAAGTATATATCCTGAGCCATTGTTAACCGTAGTCAAACAAAATATAGAATTGCCTACGCATACTCTCGCGTTGAAAAGATTACGAGGAGGTATGTATACTTAAAATTTTTTTTTACATATATTTTTAGATTCAGAGCATAGCGTTTGGTTTTATGATGATTTTTTTATTGTATAATGTATTTTTATTATTTGTATCTTCTCGTATACACTCGTTTTTACCTCTGCGGTTTTGGAGTTAGAATAAGTCCACAGTAACTCCTACTTATTGTAAGAGGCGATTAAAAGGAGGTAACGGAGGTAAGCAGCTTCGTTACTACCAACCATTGCCGATATTTGTAGCAGATATAACGGCCAATAATCAAGTACAACATATAATCTCTAAGAAACCAGGGATGAACCAAAATATTTTGGACTTTATCAAAATAAGAAACTCACTAAGAGAAACTAATTACGATGATTATAAAAAGGTAAAGAACAAAATAATAACTGAATGTAGAATCGCGAAAGGTAAATGGCTGGAGGAAAACTGCAAAGAAATTGAAATTGATTTAATAAGAAACAATACTGACAAAGCCTACGATAAAGTGAAAAAAAATAAATTACACTCCGAAAACAAAAAGTTATGTGGTTAAAGATAAATCAGGAAATATCTTATTTGAAAACGAAAAAGTAACAGATAGACGAAAAGAAGAATTACATAGAGTTACATAGAAGAGTTACACAGAAGAGATGAAACTGAAGATAAACAAATTTATATTGAAAGTGAAGAAGATGTATATATGAATGAATTAGGATCAGCAATAACCAGAGAAGAGTTATATAAAGCGATGAAAGATCTAAGAGATAAAAAAGCAACGGATATGGATGAAATACCAGCAGAAATATTAAAAAACTTAGACATTGCAACGACAGATAAGCTATTTAATATCATCACCGATTGTTATGGAAAAGGAAAGATCCCTAACGACTTCTTCACACGTAAATGCATTACCATATCTAAAAAGAGAAATGCAAATAACTGTTCTAACTAAAGGACAATTTCTATTTTATCTCATGTATCAAAAGTACTCCTAAATGTCATAAAACATAGGTTGAAGAATAAAATACAAAACCAAATAGGAGAGGATCAATTTGGATTTAGGAATGAAAGAAGGACAAAAGAAGCGATACTAGTACAACATCAAATTCTTGATAGAAAAATAGATGTAACAGAAATATATACACTACTTTCATAGATCTAAAGAAAGCGTTCGATAAAGTAAATTAGAGGTATTTATTTAGAACTTTGAAAGATAATGGAATTGATTGGAGAGATAGAAGACTTATTTTAAAACTAAATAAAGCTCAGACAACTACAATTGATATTAATGGAACAACAAAACAAGCTAAAATTGGAAAAGGAGTCAGGTAAGGATGGCCACTATCACCATATTTATTAATATCTTCATTGAAACATCGATATATGAAATAAAAAGTAAGACGGGAGGAATAAAGATCAATGGCTAAAAAGTTCACAGCATACAATTTGCAGATGACATTGTATTGCTAGCTGAGTCTCAAAATGATATGAATTAAATGTTCAACACCTTGGCAGATATATTTGATAAGTATAAACTGAAGATCAATTGACAGAAGACGAAAATAATGTTGATAAGTAAGATAAATAACAAAGATGAGGTACATATCAATCTAAGAAACAATCTGATACAGAGAGTTAAAGAGTTTTGCTATCTGGGAAGCTTAATTACAAATAGAAACCAATCAGCAGCGGATATAAAGAGAAGAATAACTCGCTAAACAAGCTTTCCTCAAAAAGTATAATATAATTAGTAATAGGCACCTCAAATTTGAAACTCGTAAAAAGTTTATTAGAACTTTTGTATGGAGTGTTATGGTTGTAAAACATGAACAATGACGCAGAAAGATAAAAACAATCTGCATTAATGGAGATGTTGTTGTGGAGGAAGATGATTAAGACCAATTGGGTGGAACGAAAATCAAATGAAAAAGTCCTAGAAGAAATAGGAGAGGAAAGAAGTATAGTGATTAACATAATGGAAAGGAAAATAAAATTTATTAGTCATCTTATTCGTCACAATGATTTTCTTAATAATATATTTGAAGGAGGAATAATGGGACGAAGACCAAGAGGAGACCTAGAACAAATTATTTCCATGATATAAAAGAGAAGATGGGCTGCACATCCTACCAACAACTAAAGTAAGCAGCAAAAGATGAGTCACATATGGCTAACTCGACAGACGTTACCTTTAGAACATGATGATGATTCGTTTGAACAACTTTTTTACTAGAAATTTTGCTTCAATATATCTGATGTAGCACTTTTTCTGAACAAAATTTTTATCTTGTTGGGGCATTTTGGATTAGCCTGGAAGAGAAGGAATTACCATGCGGACAGTCATTCCTTATCGCGTAACGTGTCATTCTAATTAATGTTTTTCACGCCAATTTTCTAGAAATTAAATGGCTATTATTAAGAAAATTTTGATCCGATATGAATATGTTATATTAAAATTTTTAGAATATTTGATATATTTTACAAGACGGCTATTTTGAAAATTTTAAAAAGTGGAAAAGTTAATTTTTTTCTGTGATTAATGGATGAAAATAAAAATTTAACTTTTCTCTGCAAACATGTCTCCTTACACAAAACCCGATTGAAAAAAAATGTAAATAAAAATGAATATTTATTGACTGATTTATTAGTACAAGGATAATATTGTTTGACACCCTGTATTTATTTAAAGTTCCAATTTGAAATCATATAAATCACGCTTTTTCAATTAAGGTGGATAAATATTTTACTTAGCTAAGCCAAAATGTTTGAAAACTGAACAGTGGGTTCGTAATAAGTTGTATTTTATATAAATAAAAAAAAAAGTAAAACGGTTTTTATAAGTATTTCAACAGTATTAGTGAACATCTTGTTGAAAATCGCAAGTCACAGCACTGTATAACCGATTTGCTCAGAATCACATTTTTTTAGCAATAATTATCGTTGTGTACAAATACAAATTATATAACTTTATGTATCTTACCCTTCAAAACTTCCCACCTATAATAATATCGCATCCATCTGTAGTATTATTTATTTTATTTTATATCTATTGAGAGAATGTTGAGCCTATATCCGTTTCCATTGTCTAACACACATTATAGGTACCAGTAGTAATATTTATGCCTGTACTTTCAATCGTGTGTGTTACACTGAACATTTTAAGTTTTCAACGTTTATGAGCGAGTTCTTATGTTCATCTGCATGCGATCAAAATAAACAGGTATACAGGTTATAGGTTACAGGTATAAATTAAATATCTTTATGTATCCCACCTTCCCAATTACCCACCTATAACAGTGGCCATACCTGTCTCCAGTATTAGCTCTTTTTTTATTTGCTATGAGGGTTAAATTTATTATCTTTGAATTTAATCACTATTAGGTAGCGTAAAAAATTTAATATAAAAAAAAAACCTACACATTTAAATTTTAAACAATGTTTTCTTTTATAAAAGTTGTTATTCTTATAAGGTCAATATGTATGTATAATGTAATTTTAACCCGATATTCAAACAATCATGAGTATAAATATATATATACACACGAGCTCATATATATTACTGTGATACGACGCACGTGTACAAGAATAATAAACGTAAACGAAGAATGAAGAAGATAAAATAAAAATAAGACGCGTATACTTGCGTTATTTGTATTACATTAAGTTAGATATTGTAGTAAAAAGCGAATCGGATAAGATATTGCAGAATATTGTTATTGCAGGATATTGGACGATCGTTTCGGTTTCTATCGTATCCGGGTACATGAAGGAAACGTATTATTATACCTACATAATAATGAATAATGATTATATTTACTATATACTATAAATTCGAACGCGTCAATTATTGCATTCCATAAAAAAAAAAAAAAAAAAAACAAAAATAAAAACAATTAAAGTTGTTTACTGTGATATATAAATTTAAATTATTCCTAACAATATTTTAAATTTGGAACGTAGCGAGATGGTTTTATATTTTATGGTTTTATTTTTATGGTTTTACTATGATGTGTTTTTTTTTTAGTTTAGATTCGGAGCGTAACGAAGGATTTTCTTTTTTCTTTTTGTTAATAATTTTATAGTATGAAGTTAGTAGACGGACATCGAGCACTAATTTTATTTCTAGTACCAATAAAGTTAAATTAGTGCTGGCAAACAGTATTAATTTAAAAATGAGTGCTCTGTCCAGAAAAAATTTACGCGGGAGCTTACTTTCCAAATGGTAAGTGAAGTTAGCGGATGCAGTACCAGCACCAAAATCCGCTGTAATACTAAAATTTAGTGCTGAATTAGTTCTGGCCAACGATACCATTTTCAAAATTGGGGCTTAATTTTCCAACGAGATACTGGGTTTTCCAAAATTGTTCACACCGAACGCAGTACTATAATAGTTTCTAAAGTTTATTAGTTTATTAAAGTTTAAACAATTATTTTAAATAATTGAGCAAACCCGATAGAACGGGGAAATTTACGAAAATTATGCTTTCATTATTTTTAATTTTGTTTTTTTTTATTGCTATTCTGTTTAAAATATTCTTAGAGACTTGATATATTGAAAAAACTTATGTTTACATTTTCTAGCTGGGACAAAATTTAAAAAATATTTAAACCATTTTTGAGCTATTTATAGACATTTTAATTTTGCGAGTTTTTATGTAGTTTTTACTTGATAGGTACAGCTGTGGATAAAATTGTTCTACGAAACAGAAATGCTTGAAAATTTAATAAGAAGTCTATTTTAAGTTGTTCTTAGTGGTAATAAAAATTGAGTGTAATGTAGTATTATTTATTTTATAAAAGTTTTAATATCAAACTTTGACGAAAATCGTAAATATTACGACCTTTCAAAACATTTATAATCGAACTTCGCTTTTCGATATTAGCAATGGGTAATCTTTTCTTACAGATATAAATTTAATAACTTTATGTATCCTACCTTTTCAACTTTCTACCAACAACAGTACAGTGGCGCACCCGTCCCAAGTATCAGCTCTATTTTTTGTTTACAATTCTTTTAATTTTTTTGAACAACTTAAAATCCCTATATTTTATAGATAACTAGGTATTTACAAGCTATATTAGTTATTTTCTTCTGTTTCTCTACCTTTTTATACCTCTGAGGACCATTCCACCTAATTTCCTTTTCCAGTTCGAATCACCGCAAGTACTTCGCACATCTATTTGTACTAGGTATAAAGAAAATATACAATATACATCTAATTGATCTAATCATTCTCAGTTCTCTTTCTGGACGCTTGTCGTTTAGTTAAATTTTCAGTATTAAAGTATAAATATTGATAATATTTCAGGTGCTTTACTCAATGATATTGTACATCGTATGGTTGAAAAGAAGAATCGGACTCTAAACCCTAATAGAATGATTTGGATTTATTCGGCTCATGATAGTACTATAATCAATTTACTCGACAGCATGGAACTTTTTAATTATGCAATTGTACCGTATGGTGCTGTATTGATGTTTGAACTCCGGTTAAATAAAACCGGGAGTTATGTGGTCACAGTGAGTTTTCCGCAGTTTAAATAAAATATTAGAAAAAAAAAACTTTTAACCTAATAATTATTTCTCTTAAAAGTTTAAACGAAGAAATGTAATTTTTTTTCATTCTTATGTTTTATCTACACATGCCTGTATATATATAAATATGTTACAGTTAAAATCCAAATCCGTCAAAACTAGTTTACACAAATCCCTTTAGTCAATTCTAGTTTCGACTAGTTAAAACTAGAACCAACTAAGACCTTCACCGGTAAAACTAGATTTAACTTATTCTTTTTTAGTTAGAACTAGTTTTGTCTGAAATAAATTGTTGAAAACTAAAATTGTCTAGTGAAAATCCGTAATTTTTATTTTGATAGTTTTAACTAGTTGCGCGAGACAAACTTACACGTAAACAACCACTATAACGAAGGCAAACGAATTGGCAAAACCGAAAACACTGGATAAAAAGCTACAGCGGCCGAATTATTATCTTTAAGGTATAATCAGTTGAAGTTATCATATCTAGAAGTGATTGGATGGACGATTGGTTAATCTTAATATTTTTGATAGCCGGCCCGTCGAATTTATGGATCAGTATTTATAGATCGTATGCGTTTAAGTTAGTGCCGGTTGGAATACATGCGTTTCAGTAAAATCTAGTTTTGACTGACTTATTTAAGTCTGTAATTAATTTTAGTTTGGACTAGTCGACACTAGAATTGACTAAAGGGATTTGTGGAAACTAGTTTGGACGGATTCCGGGTTTACACCTGCAACATATAACCTGTACATACCTGTATGCAAAATGTTTTGTTTTTATTTTTTAAATTAATTTAATTCTACGAAACGCGTACAAATTGAATGAAATAAGAATATGCCTCATTGTATTTATATTAAATTTAATTCATTTTTTTAAATAATTTTATAAAAAACGTATTTAATGAAAAATTATTTTAAATTCTGAGTGGAGCGAAGAAGCTTACGGTTTTACAATGTTAATTATTTATTATTGTTTTTTGTCCTGTAAACAAATTTTATATCAGCAATTTTTCTCCGATTTACAATGATAGCACATTTTCTTAAAGGAAATTTGACTAGGGAGGAACTTTAAGTTAGGTTAGGTTTGGTTATTTTTTGATTTTCTAAGGAGTTTTCTGAATACATTGGAAGAACCGGAAAATAAATGTAGGAAAAATGGGAGAACGGGAAAACAGATACATTATTTAAGAAAATGTTTAACGCATATGTAATTATTTTGACATATATATTATTGACCAAGCAATACTATCAATTGAACTCCACTCTGAATCGTTTATTCGTTAGAAATGGTTTATCGTTATTTAGGTACAGATATATATTAAATTCCCGTTTGTATCCCACCTTCTCAACTTCCCACCTACAACAGTAGCTGCACTCACGTACGAAGTATGTCCGTCTTGGTAAAACTTAAATGGGTATCGCGAAAATTATTATTTTCTTTAGTCACAAGAAAACAGAGCTAAGTCAATTTTGGTCATTTTTTTAAATTCTGTGAAGAGCCAGGAATGGTTTTTTTTTTTAACTGTAATTATTACAGCTTTTTTTTTGTAAACAAATTTTTCTACCAGATATTTTGCTCCAATTTTTAAGTGTAGCACTTTTTCTGAAAGGAAATCTAATTTGGGTGGTACCTTAAGGACGTTGTTTTAGGATTTTCTAAGGGGTTTTCATAAAAAATGGGAAATACCGGGAAAAAAGTAGGAAAAATGAGAAAATTTACGAAATATATTCTTTTTAAGTAATACAAATTTCGGCCTTTCAAAACATGTAAAATCGAACTCTGCTTAGAATCGTTTTACGTTAGCAATAATTAATTGTTGCGTGTAGACATATATCAAATTTTCCAACTTCTCTCCTAAAACAGTAGGACCTACCTCTACTCATCGTGTGAAGTATGTTCGTTATTTTTAAAAACAATTTTTTCTTTTATTTTTTGGTCTAAATGAAATGATGGCTATACGGATGGCTAAACATGTATGTATATTTTAACAAATATTATAGGTAAAACTAAAATATCTTAGGTTACTACATTGTACTTAATATACTTTTTGTTTTGGCGAAAAAGGTACAAGACATAATATTTATTACCTAAATAGAAATTTAGTCATTTAGTAATAATTTCTTAAATTATCTAAAAGTTATTTGCATTTAAAACTACACGAATTTCACTAAAGTCCTTCTTACCTGGGACCTTTTCCCCTTGTATTCCATAAATACAATAAGTATCTTCTTACGGAGGTGCATATTGGCAAGCGTCGGACGAGCGACGCTCGCTAACGTAATCCTGGTTTAAGATGTATTCTATAATACGTTTGATCTTGAATACAATACATATTTTGTAGTTATCGTATCGGAATTCAACCAAACACGAACCGCATTTATTACATTTACCCGGTTGCGATTCTGTTGCTTGCGAACTGGATCAATTTATTGACATCATAAGACCAGTGTTGGTAACCGATTGGGTTGCCGAGTGCAATAATGATAACGAAAATAATTGGTTTGACCGAACAGGTGAGTTAATTTTTTTTATCTAATCAATATAGGTAAAGGTACCAATTAGTACGTTTTAGATTCAAAACAAAACGAGGTTTGTTTCGTTTTAATGAGTTACTTGATAAATGAAATCGATATTTTTGAAAATTCTTCGTAGACCGCGATCATTTTGAAGTAAACGTTTTGATAACAGCAATTTATATAATAAAAAACATCAATATATAATTATACGCTTTATGCAAATTAATAAAATTAATAAATTCAAACGTGTCATCCGATTTCATACATATATACATATAAAAACAAAACAATTTGTTAAAGATCGAAAATGGGACACACGTAACCTATAATTCACACAATTTAAAACAACTTACAACTTTACCATTTTCCAACGAAACAACTTGATACAATTTTCTTTCAGAAAAGATTCTACACTTGAATTCCTCAACATTTCTGAAATAAAACAAAGCCGACAGTTTTTATTGACATAAACTTGGCGGTTTTTCCTATTAAATTTTTCTCAATTATTATGAAAACTGCTTGGAAACTCAAAAAATGATCAACTACTCAACAAACTAGATCCGAAACGCTACAAAGAAGCTCTCTTGTTTTGTTTTTGATTCGAATAAGATTTCTGGTAGAGAAGTTGTTTTTAGACACACGCACACAAATAAAACACACACAAATAGTGAAACTAGAATCTGAAATAAATAAATTATCGTAACAGTGATTAATCGGCTGGGGTAACATTCAACTTTAATGACGGAGCTCTGCTGCTCATGAGTTTTTTTTTAAATTTAATAAATTTATTTGTTTTTCTTCAGGTTTTTTAGTAGTTCTCATTATTGCCGCGGTCATCGTGATAATAATACTGTTTTTGATTGCTACCAATAAAATGGAAGTCTGTGTTCGAAGAACGGATTTTAATCGGACTGTTTTTCAATAATATGTGAGTTGTAGCTACCTACCTAGCCGTAATGGATACATGTCGTTTTTATAACTTAATAAACCTAGTAAATGCGATTAAAATCAAAATTAATTCTAATATAAATAATATTTACCATATAAATATATGTAACAAACGAAAAAAATAATTGGAAAAAAAAAAGTAATCATATTTTGAATTGTAGAATGTAGATTGTGGTTTTCATGTAAAACACAATATTATAATTTTTATAAACGTGTTATATATTAATATTAAGTGCTAGTGCCGAATCGTATCAGTTTTAAATCGTTTCGATATACCTATTAGTATATTACCTATTCATTTTAGAAGTATATTAATTGATATTATAAATATTGTTTAACATTCATAATACTATTATTATATAAAATATTTCGAAATTGTTGAATAATTTATAATGTAAACTGTGGCATGGTGGATTCAAAATCGCTGAGAGGTAAATATTTTAGATCCACCTTATTTAACAGTTAATAAAAAAAAAAATCCCATTTTTTGTAAGGACTATAGGCATAAATAAGGCGGAGCTACAAATCCACTCAAAAATACCCTCTTAAAGTGTTTTAATCTTCACGTCTCATTATCTCAGCACTGTAATTCATAATCTAATCGTGAATAGTGAACAGTGATTTTAAACACATACGATTATTTATTATGGTTGTTTTATAATCATCAATAATTAATAATAATAATAATAATAATATAAATTTATAATAATTATTAGAACTATCCAATTATTTTGTGAAACATAAATTAGCCACCCGCTTAAATAAGCATTCGCCATGCCACTGAATGTAAGTAGTTATTTATTTATATTTAATAAGTATGTATTTAAAAAAAATAATTATACATATATTTATATATCCTTATTTATATTTTTTAACTGAATTGAATTACGTATTAATATTGTTATTAACAGTGGCATAGCCAGGATTTTGCAATAAGGGTTCAGAAAAAAAAAAAAACAAAAACAAATAGATAAATCCAAAATTACACGTTTATTTCTTTTATTACATTTTAAAATATGAAAATAAACCACATACACCATAATGTTACTGGTCATTAACTACATGACTTTTGATATGTTATTAATAATATAATATTTTCATTATTTTCAAACAAGACTAACTACATGACGATAATGACGTTCTGTTAATTTAATTAATCACGTGGTAGGTGTAAGGGTAAAATAACTTTTAGTTAAATGAAATACCTAAAGGTTTATTACCGTTAACATACTTTACTAATTGTTATTTATTAGTGTCTCTTTCTATATATATTTTTACAAGTATAATTACCATGACTTTAATGTTCGTGTTTTATGCAGAAATATTTATAATTTAAAATTTTACTTTTGCTAAAATAATAATTATAACCTTAGAGGTATTTTTTTTTTAGTTTTATTTGTTTTTAAACTTTAGATTTACACAAGTAGCAAGAAAAAAAAATTAATAATAATAATAATAAACTAAAAATAAAAATATTATTAAAATCAAATGTTCATATTTTTAAAAAGATTTAACATAACAATCCGCAACTTTAATCATTTTATTTTAAAAAATTGTTCAGAGATTAAAAAAAAAGACACTCATTTACATAAATTATCGTCCGCGTACCAACAAATTTTACTCAATTGTCGAGTTTTACGATAATTTTGATAGTAAGTATTAGCTTTCCTATGTACTATATAAGGGCGTATATAATTTGCACATCACTATTGTTCTTTTCGACCTTTTCATAAGAAATTTACGCACAGTTAAATGGTTGAGTAGTACATCATTAGTGCATCAACATTTTTATCAATAAGAGATTGAAAGGGATAATTAGGAGTATCTAAAATCGCAAATTGTTTCCTAATTTTCAGCTTGATATCCAGTATTGACAACTTTGAAATTAATTGATTATAAAGAACATATTTTCAAATATAGTTATTACAGGTACACAATTTATTTCTGTCTAAAAAATATAATATGCATATAATTTATCAACCGTTTGGTATATCAGCCATGTAAATTAGGTACAGTATAGGTCCTAAAATACTTCTTGATGGTAATCCAGCTAATATATTTTTCCATTCAGTTATTGCTTTTTCATGTAGGACTCGGAATTAAAAGTTAGTATTCAAAAAGTGCGCTCTAAGTATGTGGTAGTTGTTCAAGCAGTTTTATGAAAAATTCCTTCAGTTACACTTCATCAAAAACTTTAATTATGCCAAGGAAGACTCCGCAGCAATATTTTTTTCTTTGAGAGCTTTACTTATCACGTTAGTGATGTGATGGACCTAATCGATTGTCGAATGTTTATTGCAGAATCCAAACTGATGTTTTGCTGCAAGATTTGCTTCTTCTATAATTGGTTTTAGACGTTTATGTAGAAGTTTCTCTAAAAGTTTAGACAAACTAGGAAAGAGTGATATCGGTCAATATGATGTGACGTCTTCAAGTGATTTTTCTAATTTGTGTAACAAGATTACTTGTGCCCGTTTTCTTTATATTGGAACGTATTCTATGTGAAAAATAGCATTGAATATGTTTGTAAGATAAATTATGGCCTTTTTTGGAAGCTCTTTTAGTATTTTTGGATTTATTTATTATTTATTTAAAAAACTGTGCAAAACTTAGCCTGTGCAAAAGAAACATCTCGTGTAACTGGTTTCGCAAGAATTTGTTATATGTTTTTTAATTTTTCTACTGTTTTTTTGTAAGTGGAATCATTTTCTATTTGCAGTGTGCCCTTCACTATAGTTTTCCTATTTTGCCTTTGATTTCTTAGACTTGGGGCATTTAAGTGAAGTATGTTCTTCACTATATTTCACATAAAATAAAAGTTTTGAGTATGACTAAAATTTTGGCAATTTTTGTATTGTAGCACATCTTTTTTTTTTTCTTAAAGGTTTCATTTTTATTTTATGATAACACTAATTATCAGACCATAGATGTTTTTGTTGTTTACTTGTGGTTCCGAATCCACAAAGAATAGCGGTAGCCTCATTGTAGTAAAATCACTATTCTTGTTGTTAGTTGACTAGTTTTTAATTTGAATGTTCGTGGCATTATGTAAAAAATGTCCTAGTTAGGATAATTCGTGTTTAATGTCACAAAGGTCGGGTTTAGAGTGTAATCTACGAATTACCACCTAAAATTTTTTTTCGTTTTAAATTGGTATTTGTGATACTCAACTTTTTGCTCATTTAATATTTTTACAGTGGTTATTTCAGAAATCTTAAGTTGTAATTTTTCGTTATTCGATTGCAATTCCACTATCATTTGATTCAAGGCCACATTTTCACTTTGAATTAGTGTTCGAACACTCACGTCAACTAAAATATTTTGTGGTGAATTTGCATCGTCGTTTATATTTTCATAGATTGTATCCGATCAGTTTGCGTGTGACCCACTTAAAATATGTTTGTTTATAAAAACTTACCATCCGTCCAAAAGGCTGTGTTCTGCACTATAAACACTAACATAAAAAAAAAAAAATCTATAATAAAAAACAACACTATTTCGGGAATTGCGAGAGCGAAACATACGTGTTGCTCGTTCAGGGTACACAAAAAAACAAATATTATAATATAATTAAAACTTTGTGTTGTATTTTAAACCTATTATTAATACGAGTATTTTATTACAGGCATATTACACTTTTAAAACGTCTTGATCTCTTATCTTATATACTGAGTGTTTCTCTAATCATTGTCCATCATCATTATTATAGTCAATTTATAACCCTTCTCTAATCTTCCACTCTGAATTCTAAACTAATAAGCGGGATGAATTCAATATTAGTATTATTATTGTGTGCTACGTACTATATCTGCATAGGAACATTGATAGACAATTATATTTTATTTTTTGAATCTGTGTCGAAAGCGAAATGAGTTGAATACCTATCTGAAATTATAAGAAGTAGATATAACTATTTTAAAATAGTGTTAAAATATAGCTCAAGCGATTCCATAATAAAAAAAAGGGGGAAAAAAAGAATCAAATTTATTTAAAATCGTCCACGAAAATTACAAGAATCATTCTGTATTCCTGTATTATAATTTATAAATATTATATATTTATTTAATATAACCTTATACTTGATATAACTGAATCACGTTATTTAATACTGTGCACTTTATTGCAAATCAATTAACTTACGTTCTAATTATTATTTTTTCCAGATCGATTATTGAATATTTATAAAAGTCTCTATATAATTCGAAACAAGTAAAATGGTAAGCATCTCGAGTTTTTAAATATTTGTGTTAATGTTTGATGATTGTGACAATAATATCTTTATTGTTTGTTTTTTAAACAGTAGTTAACTTAACACACAGAGAGCAAAAGAGAAACAGTCACAACTCGTACCAAACGTACAAATATTATTACCTATGTTATCTTTTATATTGTAAAATTTTTAGGGAGTCAATTTTCCGAATCCTTTTTTCCATATCTTTTCTCAACACCATTTTTTCCAAAAGTTTATTTTCTCAATGCAATATTTTCTAATAGTTCGTTTTCCAGTATCACATTTCTCGATACCACTAAAAATGATTATTTTATTATTAAAAAAATAGACTGGTACTGCTGATGGATGGGTGTACCACCAGCCAATGTAGTTATGAAGTTGGGAAGGGTAAATTACATAGATTAATTTAATTTATATTTATACACAATGATAAACCATTGCTAAAAAAAAAAACGATTCTATACTATTATGCTTGCTGGAACTTGGCCTGACGCACTTTTATGCGCTTTTATAATCAGTATTTATTTCTGTGAGGTTAGATAATTAAAATAATATGTTTTGATAATCCTGTAGAACTACAAAAACTGAAATATAAGATATGTTGTCGTACGCGCAACGATATTATATACGTAATATATTATAGTTTTACGTACAACAATTATTATTATTTATATAATTCAAATCAGAAAACAAATTTTAGAATATTATCATATAATAATATAATTTTATAAATACGATTTCATATTACCTTTATTATATTGCACATTAAAAATATCTCGAAACCCATCCGTAAGTATCTAATGATTAAGTATACGCAGGACGATATCACGGTGTCGATATTCCACGCGGCCACCGTACGTATGTCTATCAATTCAATTTTGCATATTGTTACATATTATCATAATAGCAGTGAATACCTACCTGAATAACGACTGATGGGTTAGTCGTCACAAGTTATATAATATAGTTATATAACACTGCGGGATAGGACTGTAACGTCAACCAAAGTCAAAACTAATAAAATATTTTAACCAGGTTATTACTTGTGGTAAACACACATAGTGTTATACATAACGTGTATCATTCATGTGCGTAAAATTATCGTACACTTGTCGAAAATGGTAATAATAATACTTATATAATAATAACAATACAAAAGTCTGATATTGTTGATACCTATATAGAGTAATTTAATGTATATCTGTGCGAAATGATAAACTATTGTAAGCGGAGTATTAAACGTTATATTTTTTTCCCTTATTGCCAAGATAACCTTAGGTCTGTGAAGTTAGCAGACGGATATTGAGTTTTAATTTTTTTCTAGTATAAATATTCAGTGCCGAAATAGTACCATTTTAAAAATTAATGCTACGTCCAGAAAAAAAAGGGGCTTACCTTCCGACTGCTACGTGAAGTTAGCGGACGTAAAACCAACACTGAAATCCAAAATTTACCAAATTTAGTGCTGAATAAGTGCTAGTCAACGGTACTATTTTGAAAATGAGTATTTTTTCCAGCGAGGTATTGAATTTTTCTCAATTTTCGATAGCAGTCGTAATACGACCAGCAACAAAATCCGTTATAATACCAATTTATAATTGAATTAAAATTGGAATACTTTATAGTACCAAAATTCAATGCCGAATTAGTGCTTAATAAAAATTAAATTATATAACATAGTGTTAATACATAATGTGTATATTTAGTCGCCAAAATGAAGTATATACATCATTGAAAAAACTTTATATCTCTGTAATTACGAAGTGACGATCGTTTGTTGTAAATACCTGTTTCTAATTTTGGCAAAAGTATAATAGGAAAAAATATGCACATGTCACATTGTCAAATTTTGAAAGGTTTAAAAGATCAATTTCATAAATTTGAGCTAACACTTAATTTTGGTGTTAAAACTGATTTTGGTTCGTCCATTACATAAAGTTAGCCGACGGAAGATAAGCCCCTACGCAACTTTTTTTCTAGACAGAGCACTAATTTTGTAAATAGTACCGTTCACGAGTAATGATTCAGCATTAAATATTGGGACTAGAAAGAAAATTAGTGTTTAATGTTTGTCTGCTATTCATATTAATACCAAATTGTTTCATTCAAAATCAAATAGGTGATTATTGAATAAATATTTGAAAACAAATAATCGATTAAGCGCTGTGTTTAATAACAAAAAAAAAGACGGATATACTTCGCATTACTTATGCACGTCACAAATTTTGTTTATTATTTATTGAAAACAGAGCAAAAAAAGAAGCTGTTTTAGAATAATGGGGACGAGTGCAGCCACTGTTGTAGATGAGAAATTGTAAAGGTAGTAGAGAGGAAATTTAATGTAAGCAAAGATAAACCACTGCTAACGAAAAAATGATTCTGAATGGAGTTGAGTTGATAGAGTTGCTTTGTCAACAATATATAATATCACATTATGGTAAAATAGCTACATAGGCATCATATATTTTCTTTAATAATATTTATTTAATATTGTACTTATTTTCCCGTATTTTTTTTTTTTAACTTTTCCCAGGTTTTCCCATTTATTGGGAAAACTCCTGGGAAAATAGAAAAAGTACCCCCCTAAAGTACCTCCCCAATCAGATATCCTGTTAGAAAATTGCTATCATTGTAAACCGGAGAAGAAAAATTATTTACAAAAAAAAAAAAAATAAATAAACATCATTGTAGAACCATAAGCTTCTTCGCTTCACTCTGAACTTAAAACTGTTTATTTAACTAAATGGTAAACTAATAGGTACCATCATAAACTAAAACCTGAGGAACGCATTTTTAGTATGAACAAAAATTCATCTGTGAGGTTCGATTTAATTTTAATTATGAATCAAAACTCTTTTATATTATAATATTTTTAACTTGCAGCAGCTAGTCGGTTTTCGTGACTTAAAAGTTCTAGTCTGTTCAAATAAATCGAGGGAATACTTCCTTATGGGACATTCTACCCCAACTTTTTATTAAAATATTCCAATGTTTTAAATATATAATTTCAAATATTTTGGAACATACAATCCGTGAATCTGTGGCCCAAACACATAATCATATTATAAAGTTGGACAACGTGGACATTTTTAAAACTGTAAATTTCAACTTTATTGAAAATTATTCTTTTACATAGTTATATATAGTATTCTTCCTAATATATATATATATATATATAATTATATATTCAATATAAATGATTTAAATTTTCGTTTAATTAAACAATGAACAAATGTTCGGTAAATTTCAATAATTTATATGAGAGTTCAACACTTTCTTAAATTTTAAAATATAACGATACTAACAAATTATGGTTATTTTTGAAGTGGAATACCACAGATTTTTGATGTATAAACCATGCACTCTGTATAATATAGGTAAGCCAAGACGAGAATTTAGATTGATTGCTAGCGTTTTCAGTCGGCCGGAAGCCGTTTATTGCTAATTGACTACATTTAAAACGTCGGTCTATGAAAACAGAATTCCGTCCAAACGAGCGGGCATTAACAAAATTACACCAAAACTATGTGTACACTATTATATATGACGGCTAACATATTTAACAAGAATTCAAGAAGATCACGTTTATTATCAGTTTTCGAATAAATTTCAAATAAATACTCGTTTTATTTCACTGTCGGAAATAAAAAATGATACTATATATTATTTTAGCCTAAATCATAGTCGTTTTCAAAATTTTAGGTTGTGTATGGTTAAATTTAATCTGATCACACACTCATTGCATAAGTCACGAATCGTCATATAGGTAATTATCACACTAAGTTATTATTTTTTTTACTAAGTATACGAGATTTAAGTCTTTGTAGGACTGTAATAAACAAAGAGGTATGTTAGCCTCTTAAACTTTATAATACCCTAGTTGTGGTCAATACATACCACTAAGAAACAAAATAAATAAACTAAGATTTTGTTAGGAAGTGTTATCCAATAAAACATAAACAAAAGAGCTGATACTGGGGATGGGAGCAGCCACTGTTGTAGGTAAGAAGTTGGGTTGGTAGGATATATAAGGTTATTTAATTTATATCTATAAGTAACGATAAACCATTTCTGAAGAAAGACGATTCCGAGCATAATTCGATAATACATAATTTGAAGTTCCGTAATTTTTTTTTTTCGATTTTCATTTAAATTTGATTTCAAAACGCTTAGTATAAAAAAAAAGTCAGATGATTTTAGAAATTTTACGACGTCTAAGTAAGTCAAATATAAGTATTCTTACCAAGTTTTAAGTCTGAACGTTACGTGCATTTAAAACCAAATTACAGCAAAAACTCACAAAAATTAAAATTCCTTAAAAGCTCAAAAGTGGCTCAAAAGTTTTAACGATGACACGATAAGAAATTAAATTTAAAACGCAACAAAAGATGTACCTTGTGACTTTACGACTAAATCATTTTTGCTGGTAGAAAACGTCGTCCGTGCTTTTAGAAAATAATGAACTCGTGAAATTGTATGTTTCCCACGTTTTTCCCACTTAAGTGCTTTTATTTAAAAAATGGCATCGAAAATCAAAACACAACCTTCTTAAAGTACCATTTAGACAGCTTGAGCTTTCATAAAAATTGCTATACGTAAAAATCAGAACATGTTTACTAGAAAAAAACGTGTCCACAGACTAGAAGAAGAAAAAAAAAGAAAGAGGAATAAACAACATTGTAAAACCAATAGCTCCCTCGTTACACTCGGAATCTAAAATCAAACAATGTTGCGTATATCCGATATATGACTGATCGGGCTACAGCTATATCTGGAGGTCTACTTTTATAGAGCATCTATGCCTTAAATAGAATTTAAGTCTGAATTTAATTTTGTCTGCCTCCCGTAAAATATAAATTTAATTAGATGATACTTGGATAATGGCAGTTAGGACGCCATTCGCCCTCGTTTTCAAACTTATTATGTCTGACAGATATTGTAAAAGTATATAAAAGTTGTACACTACTAAAATAAAATATACAAATATATTTTCATCACTTTTAAGTTTATACAGCGGTTAATATTTCATATTTATTCTTTTCAGAGACATGAAATTTGTACAGAATATTTATATTGGTCAGTTTTAGACGCGGGAAAATGTTCAAAAAGTATTGACGATTATTGAGCTATTTATAGACATTTGAAATTGTCTAGTTTTATTTTAATTTTTACTTGATATGTATAAAATTGTTCGATCAAACAGAACTGCTTGAAAATTTAACGTTAGATTCATTATAAGTTGTAATTAATGGAAATAAAAGTTGATCTCTCTGTAGTTTTTTTTTATAAACGTTTTAGTTCAAATTTGTTGAAAATCATAAAAATTATATTATTTCAAAACATGTGCAGATAACCGAATTTTGCTCAGAATGGTATATTATAATAGCAATAGTTTATCATTGCGGACAGGTATAAATTAAATAACTGCATGTATCCCACCTTTCCCAAATTTCTATCTACAGTGGCACACCCGTGCCTAGTATCAACTTTTTTTTTAAATTTTCAATTTCATTCAGAGTACCTACCTAATATACGTTTATATTATAATACATTTACTGATGAACATCGTTCTTTTATTTTATAGGGCTGTGTACAATGTGCATGTATAACATACTCGTATTATATCTATATATTATTATAAATCCAAGGGAAAAACTTTGACAGAATTGCGTTTTTTTTTTGTTCTATTTTATATTCTATAAAACTGTCTTCAATATTTTCATTTGAAAATGCATTATACATAGAAGATATAGATACTTTTTTTAACGTAATGGGTAGTTTCACTGCTTATACATACGCGTTTTAGAGTTTAGACTACTAAGGCGCACCAGGGATAATCCTTTTTTTTAAAATGGTTTTTGTTATAATGAAATTTTGTTCGGCATTTAATATTTGTATTAGTATAGAGTAGTATCTCGAATTGTTATATTATTATATTGTATAGTATATTATTATAATATAGTATTATAGTATTATCGGTACAATTTTTTGAAATTTGTATTCAATAGATATTTGGGTCCATGGTAATCTGGTATTTACTATTTTCCATCAAAAACTGTAGATATCTACGATTTATTATAGGTATTTCTCAAAGAACTTACTACTTATAATAGTATATGAATTTATTCCATGGCAATTCATTGTGAGGAAAGGCCTCACTATTTTCTCGATTTTTCTAATCGGGATGTTTGCAAAAAGAATTCATTCAAGAATCCGTTTTACCAAAATAAATATAGTATTATTTGTAAGTTGCACTATAATTTGACTTATTTCCGTAAAAATATATAGGTTAATAATTTTACTGCGTTAAATAATAGGTAAAAAAAAATTAGAGATGCATAATATACAAGTGATTATACTGTATATAATATGAATAACTACCAAAAAACAATAATAATAAAAAAAAATGTCGTTGATTACGTACCGAAGAATGTCTCGTGTCAAGTTTGAAGGCTGTCCCATAAATCATTGTAGTGTAGAACAGTCAAAAGATATTTAAGAAAAACACCGATTTTAATAAATTTTAAACTATTTCGGAACAGGGAAAAAAATAAAATTGACTAATGTTTAAACAATTTGTTTTAGCTTCCGTGCACTAGAAAACTGCCGGCTGATAAAGTGATATATTGACATCAGGTGGCAGTATTATAGTGAACATCGTATAGATATAGATACATATCTAACTTTTTTCCATTTCCATGTATGCCAATCATTTACTACCTGCAGATGATTTAAAACCAAAATTAATCTACAGCTGCAGTCCAATCTCAATTTGTTATTATTTATAATATATACATTTTACATCGTTTGGTTTATTAGAAATCAAATTACCGCTTCAAAGTAGTACCTTGTTTCTATGACTGATTGAAAATCTTTACACAAGATCCACAGGGAAACTTTCTGATCAATTTTTTTATTCCTTTATAACTAGGTACCCGACTATGGAGGAAAAATGTAAAAAAAACATCCTATATTATCGTAAAATCAGTATAGGTATCAATGTTACTAGCTCTGCTCAGAATCTACATCATTCGAGTAAATCAACTTTCTTTACTTATATGTATTAATACCTACAAGTTTATATGTCTATCATATTATAAGTAGTCGGAAAAATAAACCGTTGGGTTAATTTTTTAAAAAAATATTCTTTTGGTGAGTCTTTTATAAGACACGATCCTGCGAAGGTTATGAAAACCCTTGTAAAGTATTTTTTTTTATATAGACATACTTAATATTACAAACTTATTTTTGTCAGATTTCCATTAATGGATAGTTCATTAATAATCAAAAATGGCTAAATGTTTTAAAATTTAACTACGCCGAGAAAATTTCTGCCTGAATTTCAAATCTCTACGAATATTTTTAACTGAATAACAACAAAAAACAAAACTGAAAATAATATATTTAGTAGATTTTCCCATTTTTCCTATGGTTACAAATTAAAAAATGACCTCCCTAAAGTACCACCCAGATAAAATTTGTTTTGGGAAAAGTTATTCACAGGAAAAAAAAATCATTTTAAAACCAATTTATAATAGATTGTTTACTGAAAATATAATATAATATTACAGCGACAACGTATTACAATTTTGGTACATCCTATAAGACTAAAAAATATATATGTATACATATATTTTATTATGTTTAAATATATTTGTATATTTGTATTGCCTTCTTTATAGAATTTATGTATTTTATTTTTGTATTTAACTGCTATAATTTTTTTTAAAAGTCTATATACGTACCTACCTACCTACCTATATGTATCAAACCTAATTTAAACTTTTTTTCGTTGGACTTATTATATTACTTTTTAATCTAACAGATAAAACAGTATAATATTTTCATAAAAAAAAAAACTCATACTATTTATATAGGTGCTTATTTTTAAAATATAATATACCCAGTTTACATTTATGTCCAATTATTATTCATAATACCTTTTTTGGGTTTTAGTTTATTGTAGTACACTTTAAAATATTCAGGTTTAATATTCTTACTCGATTTATATAATTCGATAGTAGAGTACTAACGGGTGTATGTGTTTGAATTTTAAAACCGTTAAAAATATTACACATCTTTTTTTTCCTATCACGCTAATATAATATAATATTATCGTTCTTATTAGATAAACTGCATTAAGACGTATAATAATTTGTTTGCATGGTTAACGTCGATACTGAGAAACATTCGCACTTAGTAAAATATATTATTGTTAAAAACAATACGTCGGTCGTATAGGTTATACAAATAAAACAAACAATACGAGTTTTGGCAGAAATTTCGACTTTTTAATGAAAAATGTAATTTAACAAACGTCTTTGATTTAGGTTCTGTTTTCTATATTGGTCGATACACATTTTATATCTATAGTTTTCAAGTACGAAGCGAACGAAAATAAACGACGGGTGAGTCTAATATTTTATGAATTATCAAAACGCGCCTAATATAATAAGTGAATTTCGGAAACGCTTGACTTTACGACTTCAAAATCTGAAATATAATACGGGCATTGTTACTATTGTTATTGCATTTATAGTAGATACTATAAATCAAGGGTGTCCAACCCGTGGCCCGAGGACCGAATGCGACTCACATATTAAAACGGTAGATTGTAATATGTCCTTCACTTCAATTTCAAATCATCAATTAATTATATATAATATTAGAAGAACAAATTTATTTTAAGAATATAAAACTACAAAATATTAAAAATTAAAAAAACTTAATACTATATACTAATATATGAAAGTTTTAAATTTATTGGGATCCAATAGCGGTAAAGAAACTAATGTAACTAAAATAACAATATAATTATTTTGAAATTGTTTTCTTTTAATCATAAATAAATATATTTTGTCTTGTAAATATAAATAAAACGTAATAGCTATCAAAATATTTCTACTCATTGTTCACTATGGTGAAAATTATAAATAAAATGTATTATTATTAAAATGTACGTGGCCTACGATAACTTCTACTTACATGATGTGGACCAGTCTTCAAAAAAGTTTGGACACCCTTGCAGTATAAATAATCGACTTACAATTTTACAGTTCAATTACTACAAAATTATAATAGTATAATAATATAGCCGACTGATAGATCACTACGATACTATAAAAACAAATCTGTTTTATAAATAGTGAAAATTGCACTACAGAATATTGCTGTGAGCATAACATCATAATATTTTTAGTCCCAGAAAAGAAGGACTTGAGTCAATTTCGTATAGCTTTGAAGACAAGTAAATTTAATTTTGAGAATTATTTAATGTATAATGGCATAATTGTTAAAATAAATACAATTTGTTATAGAATGAATATGACTGCCTTTTTGCCAGACAAAAAGTACATCATAGTGGCTTAAAATATTTTAACTTTAAGTATAGCGTGTATTAGAATATTCATACACTTATGAGATTTAGATTAAAAATAAAATTGAACAAATTACACAGTGTACAATTACATAAAAAAGATTACAAAAATTGTATCTTTTTCCCTGTGACCAAGGCTATACCTGCGTAAGTATAATATAATGTATATTAATTATGTATTCATTAGAAAATTTGGACGGCATGAATTGAATAAAATTTAAAGTAAAATATGTATTAATTTTAAAGTAGTTTATAGTAAAATATGTATTAGTTTTTATATACTGACCTGCGGCTACGACCGTCAAAATACCCGCCGGAATCGCTAAGCCCAAGTTCATTTTTCCTTTTTCTTCTATGATGGCGACCATGCCCATGACTAGCCCGGTAATACCACAAACAATCTGAAATTCAATATTAATAATGATTTAATATTTTAAAATACATTATACAATGATGTGTACTGGTACAGCAGCATGAAATTCAAGGAATCCCAAATCAGGACCCAGGGTATTATTTTCAATGGACCAACAGTTTTATGAAAACAGGCAATGGCCTTTTTTTTTGCTTCAAACTATGCAAATTGGGCCCCAACTCTGATTATGCGTTTGGCTCTCAATTTAGTTAATTTAGAATTTGACATGAATATTAAAAGATCTAGTTACGCTATTGACGTTATATAATATATAATAGTTGTATACAAATATACATTATAAATCAAAATAATACGTTTTTAGTATTAATTCGTTATAGACGCTTAGTGAATGTGGCTTGGTATGATTAGATTGAGTTTACTGATAAAATAAATATAATATTACGATCAAAATTGTAGTGATTAATCAATCTTCTTCCGTGCAATGATTAATGGTTTACCGCATAATATTATCAACATAATTCGGAAATAATTTCTTTATCATACAATCATTTATGGTATACATAGTAGGTAGGTAGGTAGGTAGGTAGGTAGGTAGGTAGGTACTTAAATGTTAAACAAACTTCCGTGTAATTTTTTTGTTGACATTTTTCCAAAGGAATTTTCTCAGAATTAATAATATTATACAATCATCCGTTAATTTTATTGATTTATTCAGTTTTTCTCTTTTAATTGTTGGTGAGTATTGTAGAGGAATTATTTAATTCGATGAAGAGAAATGTAATTATTGCTGATTAATTTGAATATACCTGCCTATATAATTTTAATAATATTCTTCTCGATTTAAATATTATATTTATTTGGAATTCAATTCATTATTATATCGATTAAGTAATAATATATAGTTGGACATTTTATGGAATAATAAAGATGAAATACATTTTCAATTGTGACATTTACACTATCGTGATATATTGATTAATTGATTAATTATTTAGCATAATGTACGAGTTAATTTTACAACAAACGAAATTCAAAATAGGTTTTATTATTTTTAAAAATTCATATGTACTAAAAGCAAGTTATGTTAAGGCCCATATGATTCAATTATTAGGCCATATATTGAGAAGAGGTGAAGATGTGACAATTAGGTTAGTTATAGAGTGGAAACCTCAAAGAAGAAATTATAGAGAAAGACCCAGAAAAACATGATTTACGTAGTAAAAGAGGATATGAAAGCCTGGGCATTCAAAACTATTGAGAGGGATAGTTTAAGATGGCGAAGAGAAAGATAGCGAAGTGGCGAATAGTAGCTAAAACTCAAAAAGAGTACCGATGCCATTAGAAGAAAAGAGAGGTATAATTGCATTCTGACGGCCTATGGATATAGGCCGATTTCTCGAAATGGCGTTTCTGAAAACGACCGAAATATTACGACACGTGGATTCTTAAGGATTATAATTTCAGTGATACATAAATATTGTACCTATAATATAGGCATAGGTTTGTGTAAAAAAAAAACATAATACATAAAATAAAATTATAATTTTACTAAAATGTTGAATAGTTATAAACAGCATATCGATGATTTCGCGAAACTATGTTTCATGTTCAGCTTCATGCACACGCCATAATGTAAATAAGTCAAGTGACTTATTTTTTGAGATTTTACCTTTTATTTTGATTTATTAACGATTTTTAATCACCATCATATATAATGTAATTAAAAACTTTTTTTTTCATGTAAACTTTTATTAGATGGGAACACAAATTTATATTGATTAAAAACATAAAAAACAAGCGGACATACTTCGCACAATGAGTAGGCCACTGTTATAGGTGAGAAGTTGGGAAGGTAGATGGGAAATTTAATATATATATATTTGTACGCAACGATTAATCATTGCGAAAAACGAAAAACGTTTCTAAGCTGAGTTCGATTATACGTGTTTTGAAAGGCCGTAAACATTACACGACTTAAAAAGAATACATTGTGTAAATTTTCCCGTTTTTTCGTTTTTCAATTACATAACTTATGTCAAATCGTTTTTAAAAATAGATAAATTAAACCTTATACACAAAAACTGTAGAAAAGTTTAACGTCAAACTATAATAGGAATCCTTTTATTATTAAATTGTTTTTAAAACATATTTCCTTAACGATTTAATATTTCACATGGTCTAATAACAGTGACAAGTGAGTGAATAACATCATGAGTTCAAATCTGTCAAAATTATTTGATTCCCTTCTCCTATTTATGGATAAAAGAACTCCACCGGGTTCTTTCAATATGTATGTATAGGTATCTAGTGATCCAGCCACTCTCCTCCCCCCTACCTACCTACTAATTTAAAAAAGCCTTCGAGTTGTCAGACTCATTGAACTATCTTTACACCGTTACCGGACTAGTGCACTTTGTTATAGTGAATCAATTTTCATGTTACAGATACTATGCACTCATCATTTGAAACCCTTACATTAAACAAAATTTATTTAGTGCGTATTCTAGAATAATAATATACACGTATTACAGTAAATTATGAAGTCTGTGATCTAGAAAATACGTAACATGAAAAAAAAATTCAAAAGAACTTTTTACGAATTATACAAATATTATACTGTTCAATGAGACAAAAATATACATACTACGTAAGTATATGTGTTTTTCTTTTGTATTTTTTTTTGTGAAAATAAATTAATTTTTCAAAAAGAATACTTGAAAATATTTGTCATTTTATTGTTATTGCACTGCAGTGTTTCGACTTAGAATCTTAAAAATCTACAATTTTGATGTAAACTACATTTTTTAAACGCGTGGACCTACGATGTATAATAGCTGTATAATATAATATGCAGAATCCAATCGCTAAAGAAAAGTAGCTATATAATATAACATGCAGTGAAATAACACTCGAACCCATCCAATACGTGAAATGGAGAGCTATTTGTCGGTCTGTTATAAATGTAAGTGTTGTGTTAGGGTAAAAAAACTTAAAAAAAAAAAAAGTTACATATTCTATTATTCACTATTGAAATGGTCATTTCAATGACTTTTACATATAATATTATAGTATATACACTATACAGTGTGTCTACGGAAACAGGAAACTCTTTATAACTCTGTACCTTACGCATATTTTTGCATTTGGTTTTCGGAAAACGAAATTATACTACTGGGCCATTATTTTTTCGGACATATAATTTTTTTAACTCGTGTATTCTGCGTATACGCAACGCATTTTCTTTTTTCTTTTAAATAGGAACCCCTATTTTTTAAATTATATTCAAATTGGTAGAATTTTTTCAAGCCATATTGATTTATCAACTTGTATTCTAAAATTTAAAACTGACCGAATGAGAGCTATTTGAAATTATAGTAGATATAAGATTTTTTTTAACTACAAAACTACAAAAAAAAATCTTTATCCTACTATAACTACAAATAACTACATTTGGTCGGCTTTTAATTTAGATAAATGTTTATATATCAATCTAGCATTCAATGTATACAAGTTAAAAAATATTACGGCTTTTTTTTCCTATGAACAACTTTTCTACCAGCAATTTTTCTCCGGTTTACAATAATAGCACTCTTTCTGAAAGGAAATTCGACTGAAGAGGTACTTTAGGGAGGTCATTTTTTGATTTTCTCAGGAGTTTTCCCAATAAATAGGAAAAATAAAGGAAAAACGGAAAAATAGGTACAATAATAAACAAATATTATTAACGAAAATGGATAATACAATATATGTAATTATTTTACCATAATATGACATATATATTGTTAACAAAGCAACACTATCAACTGAATTCCACTCAGAATCGTTTTTCGTTAGCAATGGTTTATGTATGCTTAAAGGTATACGTTAAATTACCTATAACAGTTGCTGTATTCGTCCCCATTATCCTAGAACAGCTTTTCATAATTAAAATCCATCAAATACAATGTTTACAGCTTTTTTTTAAAATTTTAGGTTCAAATCGATTAAAATATACACACTAACTACACAAACACTAATTGTAAAACTAAGACACTCTCTACTTCGCTCAAAATTTAAAAATGATTAAATTCACTATAGCGAAATAAATTCCGGTAACAATTACTGCAATTCCTTTGATTATTTTCATATATTTCATTCAATTCGAGGTTCGTTATTATATCATTGCTGCAATCAATAAGTATTTTTGCTCTCAGGTTATATCCGTCACGCTCAACTTCTTTTTCGTTATTCCCATAGAGACAATCGATATAGAAATATGATGAAACTCGCGGGAATTGAATTATAAACGAAAAATTCGACAATAATGAAATAAACCAAGTTTTTTCCGAAGTCACTGAAAACGAATTACGTTTTTCACATTCTTGAATCCACTTCGAACGCAATACGCGCGTGGATATATTTTTTGCAATGCGAACTATTTTCAAGGTTTCCCGCGCTTGTACTATTATTTTGTTTTTATATTTGTAGAGTTGATATATTCATTTATATTTATTACTATAAACGATGTTTTACTTTTTTTCCTCTTGGTTACACGGAGAAAAAATAAATTCAATTATAGAAACGTGTTGCCAGTGTAATTTTATTATTTAATTTGTTTATCACAACTATATGTCCACAGCGATTTCAACCAGACTCAATACAAAGTAGCTATACAACATTATAATGGATGAAAGAAAATATTGGTTGGAGGGAGGTTAAGACATCACAAGTATTGAAGTATACCTCTATATAGAGATGAGGGCGGAAACGGCGGGACTCACATGACATTTTATAGATTTCTTTTTATTCTCTGGGTGTAACGTCGAATGATGATAGCTCGTATATTCATTCGTTTTGACGCATAGTCTATGCAAAAGTGCCAACTGCATACTACATAGTCACATTTTTTTTTGCAAACCTTCTGTGGGAAGGAAATAATATTCATTTTTTTCTATTTACATTTTACTGCATTTCAGACAATTGCACAATGAGCTACCTACTCCAAATACAGTTCCAAATAAGGTCTGGTATAAGTAGTTATAGAGGTCGTGTCAAAATAAGATTAATAATATGGGCGAGTTATGCATGATGTAAACAAGCATAATATTTAGCTATCGGAAGACGATTGAAGAAAACTCTATAAGGAAAATACTTGGAAAATACCTATAGGGAGGCCAAGATTAAGGTAAAGAAGGATTAATATCCTTAATAGACAGTAGAGCCAGAAATCCGGCGGAGAAAAGCTGCAGAGGATAGTGATAGATGGTAAGAATTATATTTAGCTGTATGGTTTTAAGAGACCCGGTGCCAGCGCGTTTTTTGGCTCGAAAACATGCCTTACGGGAAAAACTTCCATGCCTCGCAGAATGGTCCAATTTCGATCATTATTTTTTTTTATTTTTACAAAATATAATGATCATTCTACAGATAATAATAATAAACTCTAATATTTTCATTTTAAATTGTATAAAACATCTTTTATAAAAGGTCAACTTTAAATTTTTTTTTTACCAACATTTTCATAACATTATTTGAAATCAAATGAAAAATCGTAGTCCAATGCGATCTGTAGTGTTTTTGTATATATATTTAAAAAAAAAAATGGTAGGAAAATAGCATGTTGATAATGAGTTATCCCTCAAGAGAAAAGGATTTTACTGCATTTCAGTGTGTGATTTTCTAAATTTAAATTAGGCTTGTGAGTTCTTGCTTTTATACGTGTGATTTTATAGGTTTATTTAAATTCTCGGTCCTAATAATTATTAAAATAGTTTATATAACATACAAAAATATTATCCACAACAACGTTAATTTCATAATATAATATTAGGTAATGATGGAGTTGAATTTCAGAACATAAAACACACACACACACACACACACACACACAGAGAGAGAGAGACGTGCGAAATAACAATATAATATAACATAGAGATTGTTTATAATTGCAAGTACGACGTGTGTTTATTGTATAATAGGTATACCGAGAAGTCTATTTATTTTATTACGTCATAATTATTACCTATTTTATGATAATTCACGAAAAGTTGACTTGAATAACAAACATTCAAGTATACCTGATATTCTTGTGGGTATAAGTATTAAATAACAATTTATTTGCTTGTTTTTTTTTTTTTTTTTTTTTTTTTTATGTAACACAAATATTTATTATTTAAGATATATTATATTTTGGTATATACTCATAACATAAAATATTTCGCTATATATTTTGTTATAAAAATATTATATTGTTTTACATATTTCTTATTCGTGGCGTACCATCACCTACCCATAAAATAATACTTTTATTTGACTAAAAAGAAATTGAAATACGACGGTGGCGGCGGTCGTAGCGTTTCGTTATATTATAACGATAAATGATCCGTCAAAATAATGTGTTTTAGGCAAATTGTTCGCCAAAGTTCTTCGTTATACGTACGTGTGTGAGTGTGTGTCTGTGTGTGTATGTGTGTGTATGTGTGTGAGTATGTATTTATGTGTGTGTGTATGTTTGTGTAAAAGGCTTCTGATGCCCTTTGTGGTATAATTTTGTATAGATATAACGAGAATGATCGGCGAGATAAATATCGTAAAGACGTAAAGCCAGAGGATTTTGTCAGCTTTAATACACGCCCTCTTCTGATATTATACGTGCGATGATCCCGTATCATTTGTCATCGCGTGCATTTGGCACCTTATACATAATCTCTGACGTTTAACCCTCCTCCCTTTCCGTTACCCACTGTAGATAAAATATTTCTCGACTTTAATTAAACGAAAGATCGATCAAATCGATTAAGTTTCGGCTGATAGTCGTATTCGAGTAATGTGTGGTACTTTTTTTTATTTGTCACCTATAAATTATCAATTGGCCATTTTTTATTTATATTTTTTTTTTTTACTCATATTCGGCCATTGTGTCAGGGTATTTTTTCAGGAAATTTTCTGTGTCCAAATGGACATAAAATAGAAAAAGATTTTGCTTACGGTGTGTTTAAAACCTATAATAAATGGCAGATTACCACGTCCAGAAATACCGTAGACAAGTCGAATTGAACTAAACATATGATATGCAGTTCGTTTTTTTTCCAACATCATAACTATAACATATATATATATATATATATATTAGGAAAAAAAAATCGCTTTCAAAAACCGATGAAATATACGAGTATATCAATGCAATACACCCGATTAAATAATCGATATTAGTATTATTTGAGTTTTTCCACGTTATAATTTGTTTTTTTTTTCCCCCGGATATGTAAAATGGTCGTCGACATTTTATTTACATAGTACTCGATATTTTATAGTACTCGTATTTCGTTACGCGATAATATTTTTAAAACCACTACAATTTTCGAGAGCTGAACATGTATAGAATTTTAGAATATTGTGTTTGTATATTATATAGTTTGATTGAATTTTTAACATAAAGATAATAATAAATATTTATGAATACTTAACATTTTAATAGGATCATTTTGATTTGACTGTCAGTGCAACGCTGGTCTTAAAATTGTCTATTGAAACTGACTGTATTAAAGAAAGAAAAACAAAATCAATTGAGGAACCTGAATCATAGTAAAGGTATCAATTAATTCAATATTTTTACAATAGTTTTCCAATTTGCTTATGACAAAAATCAGTGCGTTTTGACTACATGGACTTATAATGCACGTACCGTAAATTATGTGTTTACTTCACTTATATTATGTGCATTCACTATACAAAATATGTATCTGTAGGTTTTGACAATTTCTTATTTAGAAAACTACACAAGAAATTATCAAATCCTGTTGATACACCCAGTATGTCATGAAACAAACTCGCATTAAGCCACATTAATCGAGTATAATAAAATTGAAAGTGGGCGATAAGTCATAATTCATATATTATTACATAGCGTGGTTGTCGTTGTCGTGTTATTGCCATTTTTATTAAAATCCGGTTATAATACATTGATTCTCGTTGAAATTATTATTACGGATAGGAATTCGTTTTTATCGTTATTTTATACGTGGCGCTACCTATATGTTTTTACTTTTATACGCGTAGTTTAGAAAAATGCCATTAAAAATTCATTGTACCCGTCAAAATGTACGGTATTCCTTCACTATACCTATACATTATTATGTGAACGCGCTGTATATATTCCGAATTTTATATACGAACGTCTGAAAGTTGCTGACACCTACAAGGATGCAACACAAGATGATTTATTAATTAACCTGCCAACTTACGAAATTGTGATTATTTTTGAAGATTTTAAGTATACAAACTTGAATTTTTATTTTCCCAACTTACCCGCCTGCATTATTATTTATTATGCAAAAATAAACACTATTCCTTGATAAATTATAATGTTCAATTTTGTAAGATAAAATATTTTAAAAATAATATGGTTTTGACGGGTTACTACTTATTATTGAACTTTTTCAAATGAGATAAATACATTGTCTCGAAAAATGTCATTGATCTTGTTTTATGGCCTCTCTCAATGGCTGTAATATAAATAATTTATTGAAACGCATAATTCACATTTAATACAAATCTAAACTATCGCTTTTTTTTTTTTTTCAATATTTTATGTGAACATAAAAACGTTACAAAAAAAAAAAGAATCCTTTTATGTACTTAAATTGTTTAATTTGTTTGGTTTAGGAGAACACGACTTTTAGAGAAAATCAGTTTTATACTCTTGGTTTGAATTTAAAAGAAAAATATAAACACTGCGTATTAATATTGATTTTAAAGAATGTATCTTTGGTTCGAGAGAAGAAAAGTCAATTTTTTGGAATTTTTTTTTTATAATAAATTATGCTAATTTAATCCATTTATTTTTGATCTAAATGACACGAGTGTATGTATTTTCAAAAATTAATTCACTTGTATTGAAACTAAACACGAAATCGACTTAAGCCCCGGGACCAAAGATACATAAATCGAGGTACATATAATCCTACCTGAAGTACACGGAGCCTAAGAACTACGGCGAACGGGTATATTTTCGGCGAAGTCGAATAGATTGCTTTGTCATCAGCTAACAACAGATTGTCTTCATTGAGTATGATCACCGGGTCTTTCCTGTGGTTTAACCGGATCGCCTGAAACACGCGCATAACCGTTGCATTTATAGTATTTAATAATTATTCGTCATTAATACACAAACACCGTGGTTTTATTTTATTGATTTCTGGGAGTTTACAAGGGCAAAAACCGCGATAAATGTGTAGTTCCCTGTAATAGACAATCTCGCACAATGTTAACCGAGATCCGATCGACCTTTCCGTTTTATAAAAACAGTATAAAACTAGTATTATACAATATATTATGTTAAAAAAAAAAAAACGTGTTATTACCGTTACCGATTATTGTTTAAAAACGTGTGGCTTAAATTTCACTAAAATCGATTATGTTTGATTTTTGTAACACATTATATAGCGACCGATTTGTATTTTACGGCCCGCCCGTTCAATGCCGGATGCACATTCGACCGAACAATCGGTTAACATTACTCGCCGAACAATTTAATTTATATTATATACCTGGTTAGTATAACAGTATTAGGTATATAAACTATTTAAGGACAAAAAGTCACGAGGGGAAGAATATATCCTTCTGGACCCTTCCCCCCCCCTCGTTTAACTATCTCTGATTGTAGTAATCTAATTAAAATCGAATCTTTTATTGTAAATAGGTATCTATTTCGTATATTCGTCGAATTTACATTTTTTATTTCTCGCTGTAAACCCGAAAATAACATACGTACGTTATTTTTCAAATAAAAACGATAATAATATTCAACTTCCTGTCTACTTTTTATTACGGCGTGTTATTATTCGTCCAAATTAAAGTATTCGCGTTATAATTATTTCGATATTGATTATTTAATTTTAGTAAAAAAAAAATGAAAATACCGTTAATTGGTGGGCGCATACAGAAACGAGATATTTTTATGTACTGAGCGCAGTTCAGAGTGTGCTATTTCTTTTTCTCTTAAATTTGTATGGAAAACATCGTAAATATTGCCTTAACGAAACCCTAAAAACCGGGTTGTATGACGTCAGTTTAAAGAGTTTGGAACCTTTGGAACATGTAGAACCCTAATTTCAAACGCGCGCCTACCTATTTTAATAGAAAAGAACCCGATTGTTTTTTTTAAAATCGATAAGTAAATAATACAGTTTAATATACATATAATATAAACGATAAGAACTGAATTCTTCGACGGAAATTACGAACTCGTGAACATGTTAAGCTCTGATGTGTCGATTAGGAATATCCACCGGAAAACCAAAATATCATACCTGTCACGGGTGGTTTTTAAGTTATAAGCACGAATAACCGATAGAAAAACCTTGGCCATTCGATTTTCAATTGTTTAAGTCAAATTCGCCTATTGCAGCTCTCAGATCTCGACGAACGATTATCGCGACGGCACTGGTATACGCAATCGACAGTTTTACTGTAAAGTAAAAGAAAAAACGGTAATAAAAAAGACGTCCTAGGATAATGGAGACGGGTGCAGCTATTGTTGTAGGTAATTTAATGTATATCAGTAAGCAACGATAAACTATTGCTGACGAAAAAACGATTCGGAACGCAGTTCAGTTGATAGTGATGCTTTATTAATAATATATATATTATATTATAGTAAAATAATAAAATGGGTATTATATATTTTCTTTAATAATATTTGTTTAATATTTTACCAATTTCACTGTTTTTCCCGGTTATTCACATTTGCTGGGAAAACTATTGAAAAAATCGAAAAATTATTTCCTTAACGTACCTTCTTAGTCAGATTTCCTTTCAGAAAAAGTGCTATCATTTTAATTCGGAAAAAAATTGCCAGTAGAAAAGTTTTTACAACTAATCAAGGGTATTTTGCGATTAAATTAGTCTGAATTTGGGTCTCTAGGTATCCGCATAATATCAGAATTTCAAAAAGCTATAATTTCGAAACTTAGTCAGTCCGCTTAATTCTGACCTTTCCATCGTTTTTAAATCGGCAATATACATATATTTAAAAAAAAAAAAAAAAATTGATAAATTAGATTTTTTGCACATAAGTTTTTACTCGAACGAAAATTTGCTATAATTGATAATCACAGTATGCTTACTGGTAAAAAAAATTTTCACATAAAAAAAATTAACATCATTGTAAAATCAATACATTCCTCACTCCACTCACAATCTAAAAATAGGCACATTTATAATATATATATTTATAAAATCATTGTAATTTTTACCTAACTACCTATTCCTACAATATTAATGTATCTACTAAGAAGTACATTTTGTAAATGTCTGTACCTGACTATCAATAAAACAAAATACAGTTCATCCCCCCCCCCAATAGGAAAAAGCTGAGCACGCCACTGGTATGTATGTATAACACAATACAAATATTATATAGAAAATTCGTTTATAACGTAAACATCAGTTAGGTACGATATTTCAGTACTTATTATAGACGGTACCGTTCACTAATGCATAATAGTATGTCTCCTTTGTGTAAGTAGTATATCGTTATATACAGACAAGAAAAGTATCAAATTGATCTTTAGGGTTAAAACAGAACTTACGCGAAAAGCCACTGTCGTCTTATATACTTCCATTATAACTTCCGTTCGATATAAGGTCACACTATACGTCGCGTTCACTTTGATGTTGTATCCAACCATATCGCCACAAGCATTCAATATATTGGATACATCTAACTACCTATACACAAAAGAGTAAAGCCAAGAAATGCAAATGCAAATAATAATAATAATAATCGAGCAATATTTACTATAGCACTATGAATAGCTGCCATGCACGCGTTAATAATTTGTGTCTAACATGAATTGCATCTGGAGCGATTACGGACGTTAACTTCGAGAATTAATAATAATTACCGTGGTGACAGGACAATATGACTTTTTTTCCCGTCATTCCGATACGAAATCGATAACCGCGAACCGACATTTAAAATCGAAAATCACGAGTTGGTATTGAAATATTAACCGACACGTCGGTTGAAAATCTGATATTTTCGCTTTACGCTTTTTTTAATACTCCAGAGGCATTGTAATGATTATCAGTAAATATTTTTATTCGAAAATTGTCCGATTGTCCAATAAGTACTTTCCATTAAAATATAATAATATGTACTAATGATATTATTGTACTTCGTACGGAGAACAATCGTAATTGTAGTTTGAATTATTAAATTTCTCGTCGATATTTGTATTATATCGAACAATCGGAGTAGGTTTTTTTTTTCACTTTTTTCTCTACATAAATTATTGCGGATGTACGCCGTCAACATCCGATAAAAACCGTCATTTTCCATATATACACTAGTCCATTAGACTGCGGCGGGCCAAGAGAAACAACAATTAATAATTGCATTTATTCGTTTTACCGCCGTTTTATTATTGTAATAACATAAATAATAGGTAGATACCTATTATTTAGCTCAATAAAGTTCCCGTAACTCGTTAAGTGAACATCGCGGCTCTCTCAGCAATAATTACGTCGACGTAGTACCAAAGTTAAAACCCGGTATTCTCACTTTTTGCCTTTTTTTTTTTTTTAGAAAATAAAATTTCTGACAACCTCTTTCGGAAAAAGTGTAGTGGCGCACGTGTATGTACAATTCGTTTCGAACTGAACGCGTATAAATTATCCGCATTTTGGATACTATAATATTCATCGCGTATAACTCCGACGGGATATCCGTTGCTCTGTAGTTCTTATAGTACACAACTCATAAGTCGCGTCATATTTCTATTTTTTTTTTTCTGTAGGGACATCGGTATACAAATAAATTACGTATAACAACGTTACATAAATAATATTATTATATCCGTACAATTTGTATTACATATCAGTGGCGTGGTTATGATTTTTTTACACGGGAAGAGGGGAGGGAAGATGCTCACAGTAGTAATAAAACCGTACATTAATTTTTGGATACGGAATCTCCTTAATAAAGTTAGGTACTCTAAAACCTATTTCATACGTCAAAAAATCTTGTCCGCAAGCGTTCAAATTTCCACCAAACATTTTCAGTTGTATATGATTTCCGTCGTGTTTTTTTTTTTTTTTTTTTGTGCAATCGCTTTTTGTGGTAAATAGGAACTAATTTTCAAATTTTTCAGAAGAAGTTTTCATAATAGCGTTGAAATAATGTTATGTTATAAATCATTGATAAAAAACATCCATAAGCAGCAGAGTTCTGTAACTAGAGTAGAATTTCCCTTTCATATTTTTTATTTTATTTTCAAAACAACAAATAACCGTATGGTATAATACAATACTGTATATAAATTATAATTTTACTATTTTTAAAAAATTCGAGAAATTTAAGGTAGAGATGGGGTTTAAATTTGAAAATCTCAAAAATTTAGAAACCTTGAAAATGACGCCAAGCATATACATTATTTCCACGACTTTATTTGGGGATCAATACGAGTGTAAACAACTCCTCTCTCAATATAATAGTAAAATTCTTATTGAAATTCAACCAACGTTTGATCACATCAATTCATCAATGAAAAAAATTGTATAATTTTCGAGTCTGATCTCATTTGGCACAGAGAGAGCCGCTAAAAGTGTCCGGAATTAGCGGGAGAAAGATATATACATTATACACAATAGACGTAATGCAGTCCTATCGAAAGTAGTCCGTAGTGTCAAAAAGGTTGGAAACCACTGGTTTATACGGATGCATCTTGAATTTCGGATGACGATAGTCTTCTGTCTTGTAAATATTTAACACCGGTTTTTTCGTCGTGTTTATGCGACATTTTATTTTACGCAAATTCAAAGTTATGTTTACGACTGCAGCGCTCGGGGAATATCACTATACTAAGTACTAACGGTTGGTTAAAATAATAATAATTTATTGGTGAGTCAATGTCACGTAATCATATGGAATGTCAAAGACATAATATATAATTTAGTGTTTTGCGTGTATCTTCGGATATTATCTACCTATCTAGGTAGGTACTGAACTCAGTATACAATAATTGGACTGCTGGTAGTTGGCGTTTTAAGTACTGTCATTCAAATACTAATTCAATCAGTGTCTGTTAAGTAATAATTATAATAAGTAAATTTCATGGCGATGTTTTAAAAATTTAAATTAAAAGTACTTATATATATTTGTTGTTCTAAAGAATTTTCTCTAATACGTATTTTTAATTTCAACGATTGCACATATTTGTATATGTATTTTCATAAAACTTTTAGCTTCGTCTTATCAAATAGGCGCAATTGAGCTGAAAATGTTATGAACCCTATAATATTTAGACGCATTGATACACATTTCCGAACCGCATTACTCGAAATTTCACAAACAGTTTTCTTTCCATATGAATAACATAAGAATTATAATTTTATATGTTTTTTGTGACTGCAGTACAAAAATATATTTCAAACAATCAATCCTTACATGTATAAGATATATAATATACACACGGAAATGAAAAAAAAAAAAAAATACAAAAACCAAAAATATCTTTATAGGTATCTGGTATATATATAGTTACAAAAATATGATACGCATGAAGATTTTTATCGTCGTGCGGGGGAGCTGTTGAAATTTATATGTCTTTTTTTTATTTTTAAGGGTGGATTTTAAAGAACATTGTATAGTTTCTATCCGTCGAAAATTGCAATACCATAAATCCTGCGATTCTTACAAGGGTTTGTCGCGTGACTATTATTTGTCGCGAATGGATTTTTTCTCGGGTGTTTTTTTTTTTTTTTTTTATTGTCCATTTTGTTCGGACGCAGAATATACAAAAAGTAGTTACGAAACTCGTCTCCGCTTTTTTAAATTTGAAAAAAAAAAAAAACGCTCCGCTTTTATTTAATATCACAATCATATCGGAATATTGTTATAACGTATCGTAGAAATAACAACAATACAAAATAATTGATAATATTATAAAACAGATATCTATAGTAAATTAAAATATATTTAAAATCGTATATCGAATTTTAAACAACACATTTTATGTAATAGACTTGCTCGTTGAAATTCATACATTAACTATAATTTATACTGTTTATAAATAATCTAAAACGCACAAGTATATTTATGCGTTCGCATACATATGTATTTTTCAATTAATATTATTAAAAATCTTTAGTCTAATATATCAACGAACTAATTAGGTTCATTAAAGTCGATAACGTCAACAACATAAGACAAGCTCATTAACTTTGTCTAATTAGTACAGATTCGTAGGAATGATTTTCGTACACAATGTGATTCATCAAAATGATCACTCTGGTTTTAAGAGTAATTTATGCATATGTTCAAATTCTGACTTTGGTATTTATAAGTGAAGTTATAAAGAAGACATTTTCGTATAATTAGATTTTTCACAATATTTAAGGAACGTCATGGAATGGTACCAAATTCGGGTATTTAAATAATAACCTATATAAAAAATGTCATAAATAAATGGAGTATGGAGTAAAAAAAGTTTGTATCGCGAAAAGGATACTTCTTAAATATTATGAAAAATCGAAGTATACGAAAATATCGTCTTAAAATATACTAAACATATATGCATAATTTACTCATAAAAATGGGGCCAGTATGCTTTATGAATCACCCTGTACAATGTGATTTTTTTTATCATTAATCATCAACTCGAAGGATTTTAATTGGATTTAATTATTTTTTTTATTTAACCATTATGGAATCAGTTAAGCTTTATTTTGAAACTATTTTAAATTTTGTCTCCTTTACTTTATACCTTAAATAAGTATATACTTTTGTTTTTCATATAGGAACCCCCTTTTTTAACACAGATTCGAATAGAAAATATTTTTCTAGACATTTTTATATGCATAACACTAATATCACATTTATTGTTTATGACTTAAAATCGTCAAAGTTTAAACCAGAGGAATAGAGAAGTTATCAATTTATCATTTAAAAATCAATGTGCAACTCACAATAACATAACATATCTAAATATCTGAAAAACAAAAGTATATACTTATTTCAGCTACATGGTGTAAGGATAAACATTTAAAATGGTTTCAAAATAAAGCTTTATCGATTCCGTAGTGATTAAATAAAAACAGAACTCAAACTCATTTAAAATCCTCCGAGAAAATTGCTGATTCATGATAAAAAAAAAAATCACCCTTTATATATAAAAAAAGGAAATTATTTTCAGTTTGATTCAAAATTCGATAGAATAATATAATCAGTTGGGCCCAATTAAAATTTTTTTTTTCTGTAATAGTGTTGCTTTTATCGTCACTTTTTACCTTTTGAAAATTTTTATGTGGTCTCATTACTAAAGTTTATATTTTTAAGGTATAGTAAAAAAGACATTTCGCGTTTTCACGATAACGACTCTCTAGTTGAATTTAGAGTGAAAGGATTCATAATAAATTTTATAAATTAAAATATATACTATGGATCCTACGAAAGATTTTTTTTAAAAATTTTTTTTTTAATAAGTTATTAATAGTTGGAATTAAGAGAAAATTAAAACACGTAAAAAAATGAAAATCTTTTAAAAAAAGTAAATCTACGCTTCTTTATAAAATCAGTATACTCTAAATTCAACCAGAGAATCATTATCGTATTTATTTCCATGAAATATGATTTAAGAGAGAAAAAAATATGATAATATATCGCTGTACAACTAATCTACCGCTACTTTACTTTGTACTTCAAATCTGAAAATAAAAATCAATAGACTCAATAAAAATGATTCCAGACAAAATAAACTGAAAATATATCATGATAACACATACTCTCGAAATAATATTAAGTAAAAATGCATTACAAATGAATTTCTCTTTTAAGAAGGCGCATTAAATAGGCAATTCAGATACACACTTGTTTTCTGTGACCTTTTTTCTTTTACACGGATAGCTTAATGATTTTTGAACAATATTACAGTACAATTTTGGTGACGTAAATCACGTTATTCGTCGATTCGTCATTTTATACCAATGAAGCTATAAATAATCAATATTTTGTCGAAAACTATTTTTATTTCTATTTACTATTTTTGATTCGGTAAATTATATAATACTATCCAACTTTCAACATTGTATTATTTTTAAATATGAAAAACAAGAACACAAATACGGTGTTATGATGAGCATATGAGGTCAAAATTAATGATTTTATGATGTTTTTGTTTTTCTTGTTTAAATCACACACTTGGTCTATAAATATTATTCTATATGTATAATAATGCATAACTCGGGTTATCAGAATACGTATTGATGGCATCAAATCAATATTTTCTCGGTTAGCAAGCTGCAGACTTGCACACATAAATTAAGTCATATTGGTGTCTTATTATATTATTTATTATGTACATTAAGGATATAACTCGTATAAAATACCTAAGAGACTATCTAATATAATATGGTCATGGTACATCGTCTACAATTTACGTTTTTACGGATACGTATTTTCCGACCCGAAACATGGCGGATCGACGCATCAAATATTCAAGTATATTTTAAAATTCTGAGTTTTATTTTTTGACCCTAAGAGTCGATTTTTTTTCACTGAAAAAGATATAATAATTAATTTTGTATCATAGTGATCTCGTTACCACAGTATATTATAATATAACGTATTAATACTGCTGGTTATGTGGTTTAAATAAAACAATAAAAATGTGTGCAATTAAATCGCACAAAGCTATAAAAATTAATATTTTAATATATGTACACTGTACAGATTAAAAAAACTCGTTACTGCGCGGTGATTAAAATCATGTCGAAATTGTCGTTATGACGCGTCTTATCAGTGTTTTCCATTATTATTTCCACTAATATACACTACTTCCACCTAGGTACCTATTAAAAAAGGTATTATTAGCGTTTTATCTTTAAAATAAAGTTAATAATATTAGAAGCACAGATATTATGTATAATAACTAGATACCCGACTCCGTGTATACTATTATGATGCCCACCGTCATTTGTCACTTGGGAAACGTTTACAAATTCTTATCATTTATATACTGTCCTAGTTACAAATAATTATAAACATTTCATATTGATTATCAATTGTTGCCGCAGTTCATACTCATATTATATACGAGTTCAGAGATGCAAATAAATTATAAATAATTAATAATAATTATTAGACAAAATGTAATTATCTTTTTCCACCATTTTTTGTTTCAGTGCGTGCATAAATGTGCACACCATGAACACATTGAACACACTATATTTTATTACAATCGAGTATTTGGACTTATGAGTTAATACATGCGCATCACAAATTAAGTATTATAAGAAAATCACAACTGACAAAAATTGTGCCATTTCTTAGCATTCAAAAGATTAGTGAATAATTAGCAATGTTCATTGCTCAAATTGTGTATAGCTACCGGCATTGCATTATTTAAAAAAAAACACAATTGGCTAGCTTGCTAATGTTTTATTTTTGGTCCCAAGAAAAAAAAAACAAGTTGATATTTTTATAGTTTTCAATACAAGTGAATTAAACGTTTAGAATTGCTAAATGGCTAATTATTGTAAAATAATATATATATCATGCCTTTTTTGCCAACGAAAAGTACATCATAGTGACTTAACATATTTGTATTTTTAATAGTTATAACGTATATTAGAATATGAGAATATACACTTTAAACCGTTTAGATTTTAGACCAACAAATAAAGGAAAAAATTATGTTGGGCAAAATTTAAAAAAAAAAACCTCAACAATTTATTATAAGTTCTAGTTCTTTCCTGGAATTAAAGATTTGTAACTGTGTTTAGAAATCGATTATACTATTGACGGAATTGTATATACCGAGTCCCTATATAGACCACATAATTTGTAATTTTATACTGTATCTTATAGTTGTAGATATATCTAATCACGGTCGCGTTCAAATATTAAATCCTCCAGTGTTGACGCTTGCGTTTATGACACACATTTAACGATCAAACTTTCGTGATATTGTTTTTTCGCGTGCGGACGACGACGTGTTTCTATATTAAATTATTCCTCTTTATTTACATATTTTATATCGGATTTTTGACGTTTCGTTTTTCTTACACTGCGTCCCGACGGACGCAGCAACTTTTGAAAAGATAAAACTACTATACAGCAAGACAGGTACCTACCTAAACGATTCGTTTACCATATATTTATAGATATGTAAGGATTGTAAACTTGGGTTTATTAAACAGACACGAACTGTTAGGTGTATAACTTATGTAAATGGACAAATATACTGTCATTTCATATTTTATATAGTATTTCGTTATAGCCTTATTATAGGTGGGTACCAAAAGTCAAGAATTATCCATACGACATTGCCGCAATATTATATTAACATACCTGACCGAAATGTTTATACATTTTTTAAAAATAAAAATAAAAACCGAAGTCTGTATTTGTTATTTATAGATAAAGGTTTTTATTATTTTCAAGTACAAGAATCACTGTTACGTCCGATCAGGACTACGACTCACAATATTTGCGGAAGGAAAATATCTCATTCAATTCTGTCCGAAATCAAATATTAATATTGTAGTATGACGAATCCTATATAAATGTATCTATATTATATATATGTTATATGTATAATATATATATATATATATACTGTTTTGATATTTATGTTAAAGGTTATATATTTATATGTTATAAGGGTAATAGGTTTGTATTGTCGTTTAACAGTATTTTTAAAAAACGATTCGAAACTCGAGTTGAATTATTATAGGTATTTTAAATAGGTATTTTTGAAAAATATTTTTCACGCGACGGTTTACACTGCATTTTTGATCTTAATATTTCTACCACCTACACCAAATGCTTATGTAGATATGATTTTTTTGAGAGCTCTCTTTAACACCGCAGTGGCCTTGATCGAATTCTATGTAATGTAAAACGGTGTGTATCATGTTATTATTATTACCTATATGGTATCTATCCTATACATCATAATATATAATAAAATATTGACATCGCAAGCCGTAAATAAAGGACATACACAATATTATACCCTATATATATATATAGAGAGAGAGGGAGAAACGGTTTTATAGTAAAAATTATGTTGAATTTTCTAAAGGAATTTTTCACGAGAAGGTAGGTATTCGGTTATTATATTATACAATATTCCAGCTTTATAAAAGCCGTCCGTGATTTAAACGTTATATAAACACTCATATCGTCTATCTATTATATCCACATATGTCAACGCATAAAACGTTGTTGTAGAAAATGGTTTCTTATACAGTTATACGAAAGTAAAATGGCCATAAAACCGTAAAGGATAAAGGTTAAATCCTAATTGAAATATATAATTAAATTCAGAGTTAAAATTTGATGAAAGGGAGTAGTGCGAGGTGTCTTTTGGGGACTCTATTTTTCCTGTATCATAAAACTAGCTCAGATGCTAAGTTAATGAATGGCTCGAAATAAAATCATTGTAAATTTCTTAGGTAAATAAATAAAATAGGTAGCGTATTATTAGTAATTCGAATGCGTACCTGTTCATCGTTTAATCAATGATAATTAATGATTACCTATTAACGGTATTAACCGCGGCTGTAGATAGTATGGTTGGGAAACGGTGACATAAGTAGTGATTAGATTACTAATCTTACAATCAGAAATAAGATTGATAAAAATAAGATAATGAGATTTTTAGATTCTGAGTGGAGCGAAGAAGCTTATGGTTTTACAATGATGTTTATTTTTTTATTTTTTATTTTTATCTGTAAACACTTTTTCTACCAGAAAAATTACTCGGATTTCTAAGTGTAGCACGTTTTCTGAATAGAAAATTGGCGTAGGAAGGTACTTTAAAGACGTCATTTTACGATTTTCTCAAAAATTTTTTCATCAAATGTGAAAAACCGAAAAAAAAACGGGAAAATATAAGAAATGTAGGTATTAGTAAAAATATATTACAGCCTTCTTTTTTTCGGTAAACAACTTTTCTACCAACAATTTCACTCCAACTTTTAATAATATCAATGTTTCTTAAAGGAAGTACCATTAGTGAGGTAGTTTAAAGAGGTCATTTTTTGGTTTTCTCAGGAGTTTTCCCAGCTAACGTGAGAAACCAGGATAAAACATGGGAAAACCGGAGAAAACGTAGAAAAACTGAGAAAATCGATACAACATTAAACAAATATTATTAAAAAAAATATATTGAGCCTGTTTAATTATTTTACTTTAATATAACATATACATTGTCGACAAAGCATTACTATTAACTGAACTTCGCTCAGAATTCCCTTCTATATCCTACCTTCTCAACTTCCCATCTACACCAGTGGTTGCACTCGTTCTCATTAACTTAGCTTTCTTTTTTGTGATATACTATTTGTTAGTATAACGTCTACCTAAAATTTAATATACTAATACATCCTTGCAGTTTAAGCAGTACGGTGAAAAAATTAACTGATCTGTCCTAAATAATTTTACACTTATTTAAAATCTTGTAAGGCGCCCCGTATTTAATTTCTTTTACCAGAATGGAAATATAGCTCTATACAAATTCAGTAATTTAAAGGCGTTCAACAGTAGTTACACTCCACAAAAATATTTCTTCGAATGTATACATTTTATTTTTACCTATTTTCACGTTTGCATAAAAACCTAACTTCCTAAACGTTTTTTTTTTTTTACAATTTATAATAGCTAAATAAATTGATTCATAATTGCCTAATAAATACGAATTTATTGTGATCCGCTTTGAATTGAATATTATTTAATATCAATAATTTGAAGAGTATCTAAAACCATGTTTAAATTTTGTAACGGCAGTGTAAACAAATCGAACAACTTTGTTTTGGTGATATTTTATAATTAATTATTATTATTTTTTTAGTTTTGTATTCAAATAACTGATTTACCTCCGTGGTAGAATATTGAATTGTAATATTTTAAAAACTTTTATTTTTACGGTCTAAAATGAACAAATTTTAAATTTAATTTAACTCTTCGAGGTTTTTTTTTTTTTGCAAAATTTGGAGAGCCAATTAGTAAAATTGATTTTTAAAAATATAGCGAAAAAAGTTTTTTTTGGCATCTAGTTATTTTCCTTATACAAGTTGTTTTACAGGGTTTTTGAACATGCGGGGTTTTCTCTCACGTTCATATAAAATAGCTTTGGTATATATAAGATTGGTTTTTATCCAACAATAATATTATGGTAGGTGATCAAGAAAAATGTAATATTTTCTCAAACTTCAAACAATAATATACCTGTATATATAAATATATAAAAAAGTAAAGTTTTATTTTCGAATTCTTTGCCGAAAATTAATTTTACAAAAAGGCTGTTTTGAATTTTATCAAAAAAAGAAAAACAGTACAATACAATATTTTACTTTTTTTTTTTTCCATTTCAAAACCTCAATAAGTTTAACATAGTATGTATGTATACTAATGTATTAAAAGTTATATAATATTTTGCGGTACATACAAATAAATAACTAATTATTATTATTATTAATATTACTAAAAAATGTATTATTCAATTTAAAATTATTTTACGTATTTTCCTTAAATACAAAAATTATTTTCATGTATTTTTTTTTATTAATAATCTTCCAATTACATTTTAACGAACAAAATTCAAGTTTTTTAAACTAACCAATCTATATTCTATATACTTTATTGCTTATATACTTTATGAAATTTAATAAATAATACAAGTTGTCAAACATTTGTCAGAATATTTACAATTTATTGCTATTAACGCTAATCTATATTATAGCGAATTATATACAGATTAATTTAATTTGTTTCTTTTTTTTTGTCATAATCCAAGGATTATCTGTACATATATTGAGTAAAATTGATTTTGGTTTTTTATCAGTCATTTTAAAGATGGTTTATCATATAATTAACAATACTTTCAAAATTGTAAAATTTTTATTCTACACACCATAAACATATATTGATTTTTGACTTATAAAGAACATCCCGCACTTTTCAAACAAGACATTGGGAAAAAAATAACTATTTTTATAAACATTGCAATATGCATAACAATACTATAATATTGGATTTGACGTATATGAATAATAATGGTTTAAAATTTAAACCGGAAAAGTAGACAATGAGAGTCATCATCTAAAGATTATTATAACCCTTCTCTATTCTGCTGGTCAAATTCCAAACTGTTTTTACTCGCAAACGGTATATCCGGTATCCGTGCTTTATTTCAGAGGGTAAATCACTGATTAATATTATGTATACCAGATTCTTCAATACTATGACTTTCCCGATGATTACCATTATTTCCAGTAAGATTTCCTGCTTTATAGGAATAATAAAATCCAGTATCCAAGATGCATACATGGAATATACTCGTATTTTACATAGAGTGTGTTCGTTAACGGCTGTACGAAAATATGGCGTTTTAATCTCATACTGCAATTCGAATTATTAATAAACATATAATTTTAAGAGAAAAAAAAATATGCATAAGTATTTCTAAAATACAATTTAGTGGTGTATAGTTATATGGTAATAGGACATATATATTGTTGAACACGTGTATAACCAAACTCCGCTCAGAATCGTTCTTCATTACGCAATCATTGAATACAGATATAAATTAAATTTCCTCTCTACTTTCCCAACTTTTCATATATAACAGTGGCCCACACATCATGTAAATTCATATGTCTGTATCTTTTTTAACAATAAAAATATTTCCGACGATAAAATATATGTGGACAAGTTGAATAATATAATATGACAAGTACGTAGGTACCTATACTTTTGAAAATTTTGGAGACATCGGTTTATACACATAGTTGACGGTAGAAAAAAATCCAATTTTTCGCCCACCAAAACGTATTTGATTTTCGGGTCAAAAAGTTTTCAATTTCGTATACTTCAATACCTGTAATACTCGTTTTATAGAACACCACATATATATTGGTATAACAAGAAATCTTTATTTTTATTTCACTGATTTTTATTTAAAAATGTTCTGGTTAAATCTTTTAATACCCGTTACTTCGTTGAAGTTAAAATTTGATGTAACCTGCAAATAATTAACATTGAACAAAACTGGAGATTTCCATTTTTTAATTTTAAGATAGTAATTTAATGAAATCCATACAACTATATAGCTTAGCTTTTACATCAATCCAATGGTACTTACTTAACAAATCGTTTTTTCGAATTTAAATTACAATGCTAATTTCCAACCAATACTTTTGGGAAGCTTAAAGATAAGAATATAAGCCATTAGGCCCCGTAATCGTACAGTGCTAATGAGATTGTAATCTACTCAAAGTTTATAATAATTATTAATCTTTTGCTATAACTACTCCGAAAATACGAGTATAGGATAATAATTCTTTTAAATGAATCTGTTTATTTGATTGTTTAACTATTTTGTGTTATTACACCTATCCTTCCCTGCAAATTGGATCGCAACATTTTTCACTCTTCTCAGATAATATGATCCTTTTATATTTTTGCATTGCAATTACATTTAGGCTTTTAGCTATTTGAAGTATGTTTTCCGGTAGCAATCTTTCACTATGTAATTTTTGCCTACCATACGCATACATTTAGACGCCCTTCTTGCATAACTAATCCAAGCATTCTATCATGAAGTCTCGTAATCAATCTACTATTATTATTATAATTTCTTCGCTTTTATTGATATTTTTCCATAACATAGAGAGATATTCCGATAGTTCTTATCATAGACACTTATATATTTTAATAATTACAGTACTAGGTAGGTAAATTTTGTTAAATTAATACAAATTAAAAAAAATAACTATATGTATATATATGTATAACACTATGTTACGTACAATTTATGAGCGCCTAGACTATCTTAAGTAAATTATTATGGAACCACTAGTTTAATGCGATAACACAAAAGTCACAAGTATTATTAGAAAGATAATCATAGAAAACTACATGACTATGCGTCAAAAGTTACTTTGGACCATAAAACACAATAATAAGAACGATTTTGCAATTTAGGTTAGGAAAAGAGTGCGTTTAACCGTGTCAAAGACTGTCATTTATAGCAACCGTCCCCACGTATTAATCATATACAAAAGGCGTATATGAATGGGAATATTATGTAAAACATCTAAATATCCGAGTTTTAATGCATTTTTAATCCCATTTTTATATTATATTATTATACGTTTTTATACTTCAAACTTTAGTATTATAAAAGCTAAGCCGCATAATATATTCGTATTTATATATTATATATTATAAATAAAAAATTACAACAATTTAAATCGTTGCAGCCGTTATATTAAATCTGCTGGGGGCATAATATTATTTTAAAAAAAATTAAGAAATTCTGATTTGAAATCACTTGAAAATTGAAACGCCTCAAACTATTTTCCATTTTTTATGAACAAAAATATATTTTCGAGTGTTCTTGACTGATGCCATTTTATATCGTATACCATTATCTGAAAATGTTCTCCGTAAACCATTATCGATTAAGGAATCGATTAATTTGACAATACATAGAAACATGTACGTCTTCGAATGAATACTTTCGATTAACATTGGAAACGAGACGGAATATAATATACACTTTAGTACACATTAGTACACGTTCAACCAATGGCTAGATAAACAAATGACTTAGAGTATTTATATTGAAATATATCTATGCTAAAAAACTATATTGTAGTACATTGATTGTATTGAATTTATCGATAATATAAAAGAAATACATGAGAGTATTGGATTCGACAATAGGTACTCTTTGGGTAATAGATTGTTTAAAACTAGATCGATAGTTTGACTTGAATCTAAATAAAATATTATTTTTCAGCTATATTTTATAGTCGAAATGTATTTGTATATATGAATTTTGAAATATTGAAAAAAACAACTTATAAACTACTATATCATATAGTAATAATATACCAGACTTGGCTCAAAATCGTTTTTCTAACGTGCTCGTTTATCATAATGCATAGGTTATAAGCTATGTAATCCTCGTAGGAAAAGGGTAAGGGTTCATTTGTACATAAATAATATATTTTATGCGTTCGCCACGAATAATATAAACGAAACAAAAAACGCGTGAAACACAAAAACATTTTTACATGCATAATGAATTATTTGGTTTGATAACTATAATAACATTAATAATTAATAAATACCTATACATTATAATCATTTGTGAAAAACTAATAAATGTCAAGATCGATACGACTTCGAAAAAAATATTTATGTTATAATAAAGTTTTAAAAAATGTTATACTATAAACCGTTTTTTTTCGATTTATTAAATTCAACAGTTACCTATATTTCGATTTTTGTAAAAGTAATAATATCAAATTTTACGCCCTAAAAAGAAATCGTATTTTCTAATCCGTAAAACAGCAATAAGGACAATTCTCAGAAACACTAATAACATTAACCGTCGTTCACGCGCAATAACTATAAATGGATAGAAGACTATAAATTAACAAATACTCGTTTATTGTTAGTGTATTGGCTAAAATTCAATTATTACATAAACAATCTAATTTATTCGTAATAATTATTTGTTTTCAACAATTTTGCATTATATTGTCCCTGAAAATAAAATCTATACACTGCATAATATCTTTTGTAAATGGTGTACTCAGTATTAACGTAATGATAATAACTATGTCAATATTCATTTTTTTTTCAACCTGGTTTTGTGCGAGGAAGACACTTGTAGAGAAAAATTACATTTTTATTTTAAAGTTAAGTTTACTGTAGGGAACCCTATATATCTTATTCAAACTAATTTTGGACACTTTTAGGGGTAATTAGATTTGTTGTATAGGCAAATTATTGTGGGAGGAGGGTATCTGTTGAGTTTTTAGCACCTCTGCAGACAAACTAAATGAAACCAGGGGGATGAAATGGTGTAAATGCATGATGTTAATATCAAAAATGTGCCTTTTGGGGATTTAAACTTTCAACCCCTACTCCCACCATATTTATGATCAAGTTTTATCATTTTTATTTTCTGGAAGAAGTATAATTTATTATAACACAATACCTATAGTATAGCATTATTATTATAGTTTTCGCTTATTTATTGTTTTACAAAGAATACGAGTGTTTATCGAATGTTAATATAAAAAAAAAGACAAACGTAATTCGTACGTGGGTGGGCCCCTGTTGTCGGTGAAAATTTGGGAACGTAGAAGATAAATCTGATGAAAATCTGTAAGCAACAATAAACCATTTCTAACGAAAAAATAATTCCGAGTGGAGTTCGGTTGATAGTGTTGCTTTATCAACAATATATATGTCATGTTATGGTAAAATAATTATATATTTCGCATTGTATATCTTCTTTAATAATATTTGTTTAACATTATACTTGTATCAGTATATATGTATGAGTGCAAATGTGAGGAGTATACAATAAGTATAAAACATTACCTACGTAGGTAATTCCAAATATGTTATGTTATTTGGTAAACCGATTTTAATGATTGCATTGTGAGAATGATATAAAATGTGTAGGTACCCATATAATTAAAAATTTAATATTAATTACAAACCGATAAAACAAATATGTCGTATTGAAAACTGTTCTTTTCAGAAACAACCCTATTAAAAGAGCCCTCTTTAAGACCACCAAATTTATAAGTTTTTTACAAAATATATAAAAAAAAATCCACAATGTCCATGAACACAGTTGAAAATATGAAAATCGAAAATCTGATCAATGGAGGTTTTTCTAAGACGGTATACAAACAATAAATCTATGAGACGATTAACGATATTTTGACATTTTTATCTCAGACCCAAAAGCCATACTTCAACCCACGATTGCGATAATGTTTTATTTATAGACTATAGTTTACATTGAATGTTAAGTTAAAAAATAGTTCAGAATTAATTATGAGGGGATGCGGAGTCCTCCACACCCACTTTTGGCAAAAAAACTGCTATCAAAGTAAGGTTAGGTAAAAATATAAACCTGATGCGATACAATTAAATACGTGGCAAATTTTATTGGCAAATTAACGAAAACAAATTCCATCATTATACATTTTTATATTTTCTGTGGCGCATAAAATATATAAGAACAGTTAGGTCCCTCTATATTTTATAGGAATCTGTTATGGAAATTTCAATTTCTAACGTTTTCACAACGTATGTATTAAAAATACAGACCCCTTAATGCTTTTATTCTATTGGAGGTACACAATGGGTACACGCATACAGTATACTCACCGCGGTTATATTACGAACAAATAAAAACAAAAATGTAAAATCGTATCGAATTTCTGTATAGGTACCCATATTAATATTAAACCACATTAAACCACATTATTGCGTATTATTACAAAATATATCACGGGTCCATAGGATTTGTCTAATTGGTTTTGATCCAGGCGATCGAGACGATGATGCTTTCCCGGTATTTTTATTGTTATTGTCTTTATTTACAAGTCGTATATATGGAATTATTGCGATAGGTGCAGGGTATGCCGGAGGGATATAGGTACATTAAACTAAGCAAAAATTGTTGTTCCAGCAAATAGTGACTGCGGCAATACGCTATACACGTTTAATGACCGGCAACGGAGGCCCGGGCAGATTCACGTGCTTGCCGCGATATTTGTCTTATTTTCATACGGAGTGTTTCTGAGATAATGTACGAGTAAACTGTAATAACATTTACTCGACGGAATAACGATGCTATTTTCGGAATTTTTTTTTCTCTTCTCCATAACCTTCGTTTCATTGATTTATTTTCGATTTCGCTCCAGAGCGTAGCGAGGGATCTATTGGTTTTTTGTATAAAATACTTAATATAATACTATGTCAATGAGAATTTTTCGAAAATGTCATTCGAGTAAGTATTTTTTTTTACATTCAAGATAATAGTTATGCTAAAAATAAATCGATTAAACTCAAGTTTTTGAGTAATCATCACGTGGACACCCCATTTACGTTGTATACGCATTTAATATAATTTCGTCGTTCATTTTAGAAACACTCTGTATATATATATATATATACTCTGAATATATACACGTCTTAAAACTGTGTAGATGATTAACCAACCATGCGGTACGTTGTAGACGTTTTATTGGCGCACTGTTTTTATGACACGCATATGTCGATTTCTCAGACAAAAATTCAGAGATAAACATAATACGAGTGTACACTAAAAATAATGACGTACAGTATTATATACTGCAGTGGCTTGGTTTTCTATTAAAATACTATACATAGATTAGATTTCTCGATTTAAAAAAAAAAAATTTTAATTTTATTAGTTATTATCTTTATGATTTGTTTACTGTCACAAAACAAGAATCAAATTTCTTCATTTTTAAAATCAGTGGTTTTAAATTTCGAGAAAATTATATTTTAAGATAAAATAAAATTATACAAATCAAAGGTGATTGAAAAAAATCGAGGACTATTCCGAAAAATATTTCCGTCTAAGAAAATAAAAGTTTTATTCCACATGCACGCAAGGGTTAACATTTGAAATGGGCTCAAAATTAGTATTTTACTAATTAAAAAAACCCATTTCAATCAAAGCCCTTCTGGCTCAAATATTTTGTGTTACTATTTATATATACGCATTTGACATAGGTATTCAAAATTATATTATTTTTCTTCTTCTTCTTCTTCTTCTTCTTCTTCTTCTTCTTCTCCTGCGACTTCATCCCAGCTACTAGAGGTCGACCACCCTCGTCCTAAACTTCCACTTGACCGAATCTTTCACCTCGCATTTACCGGCTGTCCTTATATAATTCTCAATCACATCCAACCACCCCTTTTTTAGTATTCCACTTTACCTCTTTGCTACTACATTTATCTTCATTACAATTCTTACTACTTCAGAATCTTCTATCCCCATAACATGCCCAAACCATCTTATCTCAGTCTATTTTCTCTCATTTTGTCTACTCAAAGTTATATTAACTTTCGAAGATTAAACGATAAAAAAATCAAGAATTTAATGTACAATTATTTAATCCTTATCTATACGCAACCATAATTCATTGTTAACAAACAAATAAAGAAAATTAGTTAAACGTCTTTGTAATGCCATTATTTTTTTTATTTTTTACCAAAATTTTAACCTAAAACCTCCATAAAATAACCACTACATTGAACTCAATTTACCACAGAGTTTGAATTAGTTTGATAAACCTCCTGTTGAATGTTCAATGATTTTTTTCTGAGCTGATAAATAATATCCACATTAACCAAATAAAAACTAAAAACAACTAGAAAGTTTAAAATGTCTATTTATAACTGAAAAATCGCCAGATTGTTTTGAAAATTATACTACATCTCGGAGGACTTGGGAGACTTCTACACAAATAACCGATCTTTACGATTATCTTAACTACACGAAAAAATAAAATACAAACTAATAGAAATTGCAAAAAATTCCTGGTTTTTCGACGTTTTTTCTTGGCTTAATAGGTAAATCTCAAAAATAATCAAAAAACTACCTAGACAACATTTACCTTTAGGGAAGATGCTATATAGTTGATGGTTGGTTCATTTCAGATAGGCACAAAAGTTGTTCACAGACAAAGGAAAATAAAAAAAACAAACACATTATCTTAAAGCCAATCAATATTTCTTGTTGTGCTTAGAATCGAAACAGATTCAACTAAGCCGATCGTTTTCGTAATTAAATTTTTCTATTAATGGAGGGGGAAATTTTATCTGATAATTAACAAACAAAATAGTTACTGTTCGAATACGTAAATGTATATTTTTAGTATTTTTTTTTTTTTTTTTTTTTTTTTTTTTTTATCAAAAATATAGCAAAATATTTTAAATACAAAAGCAAATTTTAAATAATTTTTTTCGAACCAAAATCGATTAATAGTAATTCATCAAAATAATAATAATATAAAACCAGTGAACGAACGATAATAATATTTTCGCTTTTTTTTTATTTCAACCCGAAGGTATATTGCAATGACTCTTAAAAAAACAGCATATACATTACATTTTTTAAATAAACAAATTCGATATAGTAGATAGGTACTACTCGGAAATGGATTTTTAATACGAAGTTATTTTTGAATTTCAATAAGTATAAACCAACAAAAAAAAGGAATTTTAAATTTTGTTGTTAAAACTAAGATAAATGTTTGAAAAAATATATTCAAGAACATGATTGTATTAGTATTGTATCTGATTGCCATAATAATAATGAAAACCTTTAATTATAATAAATTAAACCTTCTACAATATAAATAAGAAATGTTTATTTATTGTTACCTATAATTGTGAAATATATTATGGTAATAACTGCAGGGAACTGTGGTAGCCGAAGAGCCACTCATGAATCGATAAGACATTTAGGTAAACTTGCAGGTACGCACATATTTTATTTTACACTTTTACATTTTCCTTCTAATTTGTGTCCAACTCAAGCAACTCCTCGTAAGGTTTCGTACATAAATGGAGTAATACGTACATTGAATTCTCGTTTGTGCATGTTCGTTCATCGTCCTGTTGACTTTATTTTATTTCCATGGTTACTCAATACTTACCTTGATTTAAAAGAAAAAAAAAAAGCTGACATTGAAGACGTGTGGTGCAGTTACTGTTGTAGATGGGATGTTAGAAAGATAGGATACAAAAAAGTTATTTAATTTATGGTTAATTGAAATGATAAACCATTGCTAACGAAAAACGATTTGAAGTGAAGTTCGGTAAGACAAATTTCGAATGCAGTAATTTTTAAGATTTTCATCAAAATTTAATCTTTAAACGCTTATAAAAAAAAAACTAATTCGTCAAATTCAAATTTGTTTTATGAGTCACTAAGTATAACTTATAACGTACCTTGTGTTTTATTTTCAATCATTTCTCGTAAGTCATCAGTTACATAATTTTAAGAACAGATACCTACCAAATAAAAATACCTATAAAAACGTGAAAGTATTAAATACCTATAAATAGCCTAAAAATAGTTAAAATACTTTGAAAATGTTATCATGTCTAAAAATGATCGATATAAGTATTTTATAAAAACTAACAACCTAACCTGGAACTTATCAACAAAAAACTCAAATGCCGTACAATTTGCCGTATTTCATACTTTTTTCGTACTGTACTGTACGGAAAATCAAACAATGACTTTAAACATTTTCTCTCAGAAAATATGTTATTTTTGAAATTTGAATAAAATTTCTAGTAGGAAAATGTAATATTAAGCATTTTAAATAATGAAATAGTTGTGCCATAATTAAAATAAATGTCGTTTTTGGTTTTTCCCAATTATTGTTAAAACTACTTTAAATATCAAAATATAACTTTATCTGTTTATGACTAAATATTAAATGAAAAATAAAAATCAATAACTTTTAATTTTTCAATTGTTTAATATTTCTGGTAAAAACAACGTTCTCAAAAATAAAAATAATTATACCGGGACGTCAATTTGCCATAAATATTAATCAATTTTAATTTTTTGGTTTTTCCAATTATTATGAAAACCACTTCTTTTCTTAGTGAAGCAATATTTCTGATAGAAAATTTGTTTAAAGGCAGAAAATAAAACAGACATAATAGTAAAACTAATAGATCTCTTGCTACGCCCAGAATCTTAAAAACCATTACGTGGTATCAAAAATAACATTGGATAGTTGAAGAAGGTATGAGTGTCAAACAATTTAACTTGGGTTATAACGAGTTTTAAGTCGAGGAAAAATAAACTGGCACAATTATTATTTTCATACCACTGCATTTTGTATTGACAAAATGTGATAAATGCTAATATTTTTTTTTTTTTTTTTTTTTAATCAACTTTCTAAGTAAAAAAAACTTTAACAAATTAAAAAAAACATTTATAGTGCTATTCAATTGTCAATATTTTATTAAAACAGAATTAATTAACTTAATATTATTAAAAGTATTAAATATTTATTTTTATTTTAACTTTCACTTTTTCGAATTATTATTAAGCGTATCGAACGTGTTCTAACTGGTTTTTAACAATATACAAACATTATAATTCCATAGATAATGGCGGTATTTTTACTCAGTTTCCCTATAAATTGATGATGCGATGCAATTTAATATAACTATTCTAATAGGTGTTTAGAATCGATAAACGTTATTGTGTTACGTTAATCGATATCGAAAGGGTAGTACGGGAGTCAGGTTCTCTGCTGTACGGACCTATCTATAATCTATGTATAAAACCGTGGTTCACGTGCGTTATACTAAAATTATACAGGCAAGTACCGTTTTATTTTGTGACGATATTAAATTATGATTATCGTTAATCGAATTAATATCGTTAAAATAATAGTGATTGTAATTATACAACAATTTTGTCCACCCATAATATTATTTTACCACGCACCCTTGCCCACAATGTTAGAATATATTATTATAATATATTGCAATTGTTTATTAACTCTATAAAAGTAGGATGTATGTAGTTACTTACATTATGCAAAACATTTTAAATCGATATTCGTAAATTTTAAATTCAATTTAAAGGCGCCCGAAAGACGAATAAAAAGTATTAAGGTGACAGATATATTGTCAACATTTTAACCGTTTTTAAATCGGGTATTATATTTTTATTAAATTATACGAAATAGATCCGTGCTCGAATAAGGGGGGGTAGGGCTGTAGGCTCGAGCCACAAGGTGAAGGGCTCCAATGGTTTCTGTCTTATTTTTGTATTCTCAGATCATAACCATTATATATGAGTGCATAATAGCATCATTACTAATATAGAAACCAAGTTTAGTTAAGTATTAATGAAGAAATACTTCGAATAAGTTTATTTTTAATATAAATTCCGATTAAATTAATCGTATGATATTTAAGGTAGTGCTTCTGAGTTTGGTTCTGGGTTTAACTAAAGTCAATGAATCAAGGCGCTCGTATGTATTACAGGTTCAACATCTTACAGTCTTTGAGAAAAATAAATAAATGAAAACAAATTCAAAATACTTAGATCGATATTTTCACGGTTAAACTAGGATGACCATATTTCAAAAAAAAGCCTAGTAAACAATTCAAGGTTTAGTTTGAAAAAAAAAACCTCCACATTTTTTTGTAAAATTTTTATAATTTCTGTAACGTTTAAGATCACATCTAAGTAATTTAATATTTTAATAAAACATTTGTCTGTATTCTATTTTGTATTTTCTTGCGCATATAAACAAATTATCAAAATATTCTTATTTTTATTGGGTTGATGTCAAATGTTCATCGTTTTCTCTGATACAATCTTTTGTGTTAAATTTATTTTTTTTTTTTTGTGAATTAATTGCGTTTAATAATTATTTTGGTTGTGTAAAAAAATTCATGAAAATAATTACAAGAATATTTATATTTTTTTTTTGGTAAATTGTTTAGACATCACACCATATTTTTTTTTTTATATATATATATACGAACACAATTTTTCTGTCATTCTTTTAAATTATCAATAATTTCTCATTTATTATGTCATTGACTACATCATACATGATTATAATTATATATGATTATCATTGAAAAAATTATCTTCATCTTCCGGTCGATTTGTTTTTTATTATTTTTCGAAACTAATGTTAAGCTTTCTTGAATGTCATAACATATTGTATTTTTATTATATTCCATGTTCCAGTTTTTAATTTAAACACATATCATAATATGGAGATAAGAAGATTAAAAAGGGACTATTTTCTTAATATGGGACAAAATTCGTCCCAATTTAAAGTCCGTCGGCACAACGGAACATGATGATCTAAAAAGAGACAACCCGTTTTAAATAGGACTTATATTCACCCTAGCGTTATACCCATTCAATTTTAAATTTCGTATACCTATTCGAGTGTTTTTAAATAGATTTATATCGAAGATTTAAAGTTTTTTTTTTTTTAACGATAACTCGTCTTTTTTTTTATCTTTAAGAACAGAATTTTTTTTAAAGCCATAGATTTATAATGCTTCGAAACTTTTCAAAACACGTATTCAAGATCAAGAGGTAGGTTGGTATAGTGTAGTAGGTACCTACGCAATGAGTGCTTTATTTGAAACGTTTTATTTATTTCCCTTTATAAACTATACACTTTATTTTCAAGAGGATTAAACTGACATGAAAAAAAAGAACAATTTTTGACTTTTTTAACAGTAATTGTTTCCTTATTAAACTCACTTTGAATAGCAACCAACGTTTCATGTACCTAAATTTTAACTGTCAAAAAAATACTCAGACGCACCGAGAAATATTATAAAAACGGTTAAAAACATTTTTAAATTATATTTCACTAAAAATGTATAATATGTATTTATGGTTTTCGGAAATTTAGCGAAAACATGTCTTACTGTAATGTTTATATTGACACGGATATTTCGGTCTTTGTCAACAACCATTTTCAATCGCTTTTATATCAATAAAGAATACAATATGATCCATTTTTATTATTATATTTAAGAAATTTATTTTTGAGATTAAGATGTTTTGATGTAAGAAACTTTATTTATAATTTTTTTTTGATGTCGTATATCCCTAACATTGTATTAATATAAAAGTGTTTACTATTTTTATATATTTCAGATCAGCTAGAGAATATCTAAATAAATTAAATAGTTCATCTTAAAAACAATATCGTCTCAGCTACATGTCAAAGCAAAAACATAAATTAATTAAAACAAATCACATCCATTTTGGTAAATGTATTTAAATGTTTAAATATACGAATAAAACAAGTGTCATTTTTGTTATTATTTAAAATGTTTAAATATTAATTTAATTAACTTCAGGGAGCATATGATGCTACAGATTTAACTAGTCCAGGCTCCCGAGATTCTGGGAAAACCTAGTGGAAAGCCCAGGTGAGTGATTTTAGTAGACATATGATATTATTTCTATAAGGTGGAAGAATTCACTTTATAATTGATAATACCATCCTCCTTATGAGAGGGGATCAGATTTCTCCAACAGTACCTCTATCTGTCGTAAAAGCCAACAAATGGGGTTTTGTCAAGTCGACAGCTAGTGTAAAATTCTTTCAAATAGTATGAGTAAATGAGTCAATCCGCGAATTGTCCCATTTCAAATGTGCGCAAGGTCAGCAGGTGAGAGGACGTGCAATGGTGCACGATGTTTACAGTGATATAGCTTTGATAGGAGTAAGTCTGAAATAAGTTAACAATAGGGTTGAGAAATAGAATATTGCACTTGAAAGAGAGTGAATACTAAGGATAAGTAAAAGTAAAAGATATTTTGAATTTAAAGGAACAGGACAAGACAGCTAACGGCGATAAGTGATCATAAGCAAATTTGAGAGTTTTAAGTACCTAGGTTTTTTTGTACAAAAGAACGATAGCTTATATGAGTATGTGAAACATAGGATTAAGTGTAAACGAGAGTGGCAAATTTCAATTAATTTGGATAAAGATGAAGGAAAAGAAGAAAAATATATTAACGTACCTAATTAATAATAAAGATAAATTTAATTAATCAATAACGATTGCTATGTAAATAATTCATAAAGATAAACTTATTAAACTATGTAAAGGTAATTTTATAAATTTATTAAAATTTAATAGAAAAAATAAATTGTAGTCGATAACTGATGATCATTTAAAAAAAAAAAAAAATACGTATACAACCATGTAGTTTTATATTATACGTTTTATACGTACATTTAATACGTATTTTATATGTTACTGTATTATTCGTTCCAAACCTGATTTTAAGTGAATTTGTTCTCTGTTATTTTTTTTTCAATTGTTATATGAAAACATTTAATCTTTATTTTAACATTGTTTAAAATTGTTTACCACCACTCTTTGTACCTACGTTAAATAAATATTACTTTTGATTTACAATTAGGAACTTGTAATAAACTTCATAGCTATCCATTTTATATGACTAATTGATTACAGCCATCCCTACTCTAAGTAAAAATATAGATCTAATATTTTCATAATGGTTGAAAATGAAATCAGAAATCAAATTTACTAAAAATGCTCCAAGAAACCTGTACTGTATATTATAATATTAATATTTTAACAAGAAGTATTATATAGACACATACTGCATTTTATCCGATAAACAAATAACTTATAATATATAACGAATTATGTAATAACAAATATTTTTTAAAATACTGAAAGGCGCGTTTAATACGCATTCGGTATTCGAGTTGAGAACGGTTTTTGAACTGAAGCAATATAGTACCTACGCAATACGATTTTTAAGTACCTACTTCTGTTATACAGAAACAAAATTAGAACTCAAATAATTATTACTGACTATATATTAAAAATAAATAGATAGCTTTGTTTATTTCTCCTTCTAATAAAATTTGGTTGTTTTTTTTCTTATTTCCATAATAGTGATCGCGTTCGTATAGCGTATTCTCTTTAGTCTCTTTTCTTTTTTAATTTTAAACGTAATCAAATTGAATACATATATATATACTGAATATTATGTATGCAAATGTACAATGGTTCCAAGTAGAATGTATTTGATTATAAAACATAAATAATTATAAGCGGGGCAAGAGAAAATAATAAGTTAGTTAACAAAAATACTCGAAAACAGTATAGGTGGTACTTATTTAAAAATACGATGTTTTATCGCTCTATAAATAAGTCTGACCCGTCTGACATTTTTTTTCTAACAGTAGGTACTTTGTTCTTAATTGCGATTCACACATGAAATACTGCGGACTAATAACCCAATGTGTTCGCTATAAAAACACCAACTACACAAATTTACATTTCACATAAATTTACTGTATTATTATAGACAAATTACTAACATATTTAACCGGAAAAATACTTAAAAAATGTATACAAAATATTACGTTACGTCATAGCCATATCTACGTGTTTTCGCAGTAGTTCGTGACAAAACACGAATTGTTATATTCCAAAGCAAATGAAATACTAAAAACGCTGGGTAACTTATTTGAATAAAGTGCATTTTAATAATATTATTTTGGCATAAATAATTTGTAAATGTTTAAACCGATTGTTGCGTAGAAGTGGCTATAAATATATAGGTACGCGAACAGCTGTGACGATCAAATGATTTTGTCATGGGTGCGGGAGGAGATGAAACTGATATTATAACAATTATTAAAATTTAATATATTTTGTTTTTATAAATAAATATAGTTAATATAATATACAACATTACTTATTATAAATAATTAAAGGGAAAAGTCACCGAACAGTAGGGAGTATATCTACTGTAAATTAGTAAATTATACTGCCTTATCCGCCCTCCTATTTGATCACCCTCGACGAACAGAAAGTTTTTTTTTTGGTTGAACCCAAACCGAAACGAGTAGGTAGTAAATTTGTCGATTCAAATCGTCTATAGGGCGTAATCCCTAAAGACAACCAAACCGACGGCATTTGTCGGATATCGGGCCAAAATAAATACGTTTTAATTTACCGTCGCTTCACGGTAAAATCGCGTTTTATCAACAAACCCCTGCGCGCCAAAACACATGTCTTTGTAATTTCGTGAGTGGTTTAAAGTGTATATATACCTAGTGTACCACTCCGAGTTTCGGATTGACCCTAAGGCAAAATTATTGTATGCATACAAAAGGCCATATAATACAGCAGAACGGTTTAATTGTATATATTTACAAAAAAAAAAAAAAAAACTCACCAACTGTTAGATAGGTATCTAACCCAACCTGGTCCAGTCCTTAGTAAACCTATAGGTATTTATCTGTCCCCGAGCGGTTTTAACACTTTCACTGCTGGAAAATTCCCTAATCTATATTCAATGTGTAAACAGATTTATTATCACTTAGATCTTACAATCATATGTATTATGATAATTGTCAATCTTTAGTCAAATTATTCAGATGACTTTATATTGATATTCTTTATTATCCAAATAAATTGGAAAGAAATTATCTAACATAAATAGTTAAATCATCTAAACAGATATTTTTAAATCATTATTAATATTTGTGGAAAAAAATGTATCAACAAAGAAAAGAAAATATTTAAATTACATAGATGTGGTTTATTAATTAATTCTAAAGTTACATCAATCACAATAACTTTTTGAAATACGAACGTGAACCGTATCTAATATACTTCAAGCACTTCTGTAATAGGAAACAATTTTGTTTTTTTCATCAACCAAAAATATTTTTGATTATTATTATTATTATTGTTATTATTCTTGATCTAAATAATAATTGTTTTAATAATCATATCACATTTTTATTTATAGATAAGTTTTTAATTTGTCTTTACACAACACTGCTTATTGTATAAGCATAAATTGTCTATTTATAAAATTGTCAATTTATTTAAAAAAAACTTAAATGATAATATCGAATACCAAAATAGTTTTGCATATTCATAGTTATACACTGCAATATTACTATGAACATTGAGCATTGAAAATAATTAAATTAGTTATTAATGTTAAATTCTGAATTTTTAGACGCAACTTACTTGTAATTGTTTTAATAATTTTCGTTATAGAAGAATATCAATAAATCTATAATACATTCACGTGCCAATACTTTTAATAATAATTATCATAAACACTGCCTTAACTCGTCACGAACATATAATTATTGGAAAACGAAGAATTGCGAGAATTGAATAATATACTTACACACGGTACATAAAGTAATAAGGTAATGGATTTTCCGTTTTCCCATCGTTTTAAATTATTTATTTCACGTGGGACATAAAATTTTAATGACTACTGTATATTAATATGGAAAAATGGTCTAATCGTATAATTTTGATGGTTGATTTTTTTTTCTTACTAATAATATTGTTTGTTTATTATTCTAACTTGAAAGACTTCAAAAGTAAAATAAACAACGCGCAGTATTTCTCCCTATATTTATTTTATTATTACGTCGACTTTTATTAAATAACTACATTTTGTAAATTATTTATTTATATAAGTATCTAATAATTATATACTTAAATAAATTACTCGTACGGTTTGTTTTATGCATTTTTCATTCTTAAAAAATATTATTTTTAATTTGTACTATATAATAGGAATATTATGTAAAAGTAGTATTAATTAGAGATACTATATACTATTATTTCTTAACAACCATAATAATAATTCTTTCAACATCAGAAGAAGTCGAACGTGAATTTGTAGTCTCTGATTACCTATAACAAGCAACATATCAAAAATGTGTTCCAATAGTACTCAGATCTCATTGGTCGTATATAGACTTAATTTCGGTGTCAAGAAAGACATGAGAAATTCGACTATACATTTTTATAGGGAATGTCTATTTTTTAAATCATAATTTGTCAATTTTATATGATTTTTTCGAAATATTCGTAAAAATACAAAAAAAATCGGTGTGAAAAAAAAACCGTTCAATAGACGCATCGGTACAATTTTTAATGTTTATTTTGGAACCGAAATTAAGTTTATACAACCAACGTGACCTGAGTAGGTACAATTGGTAGTACAAAAACACAGTTTTGCCATATTTCGCCCGTTCGATAGACAGAGACGACAAGTGCACGTTCGACGTCCTCCTAACTAAATAATTTACGATGTAGCCATGTAGGTCGTTTGTTAAATAAACTCACGCTATATACCTATTAATTATTAGGTATATATAATTTGTATTGTTACAAAACTAATTAGGTATTATTACCGTCGTAATAATGATGCAGCAAAGTTTTTATCCGTGAAAAATTATACGTAGGTACCTAAACTACATCGTTTTGAAAATATACTTGAGTCAGTTATATTATAAAAACCATTCCGACAAATAACAACAAAACAAGGTACTTAATGAACGTGTGGAAAAAATAATTGTGGAAATAATATTCTATACGCGATTTTTGAATCGGTATTGATTATTTTCTCATTTCCCGATCCAGATTTAAACAATAGAAAAACAATAAAAATTTTAAATATAATATACTCAGTTTAGTTCAGTTTATAATTTCGTTTATATATTTCATATCATATTATTAGCGTATAGTATATATAATTGTTTAAAACAAAAAAAAAAAACAAATATTCACAATATTTGCAGCTATTATTTCGTTATACTTTCCAACAAAATGCGAAATTAACAATCGTTAAAGAAACTGCGACTGCGTCGTTTTAATATTATTTACGCAAAGATAACAAATATAATATAGTAGGTATCTAGAAACCAAAAAAAATGAGCTGCTACTGGGAACGGGTTCGGTCACTGTTATAGGGGGAAAGTTAAGAAGGTAGGATATAGATAATCTAAATCTGTGCGCAACGATTAATCATTACTAACTAAAACGATTCTGAGCGAAACTGTGAATATTATTGCTTTTTCACCACAATAACGATTGTTTAAAAAAGATTATGAGATTAAAATAATACAAATTTAATAATATCAAAAAATAAAAACGGTTGCCAATGACGACCTTATATTTAATCTTTTAATTTAATTTAAACTAAACAACCAATTTTTCCTTATTATTTCGAATGAATGAGAATTTCAAAAAATATCATTTTAAAGTATTAATAAGAACCAAAATTCAACAAAAAAGGTCACTTGTCATGTTTCAGTTGGAGTAAGATTTCTTGGAGACAAAATGTTTACGGACAGAAAAAAAATATATATTATAGTAAAACCACTAGATACCTCGCTTCACCTACAATCTAAAATACTACCTTAGACAATTACCATCGCGTGATTAGTATTTTCCACCATCACATCGTTATAAACTATAATATAACATTAGAAAATTCGAAAAATCAGAGCCAGATGGTTTATACACGGGCGTAAAATTTTCAGGGGCGTATTTTTGTTATGTTCACTTTTAGATACATATTTTATCTACCAGTATCATTGATGACTAGGAGAGAAATATTCTTCCATTTTATTAATATTCGGACCAGAAAGTAGGTGTGGGAAACATCTAATAGGGTGTATATTATTTTTATCCCCGGATGTAAAAATTCCTATAGTTACGGTATTGCGAAAAACTACCTCTTTAATATCGCGCCTTCATGTATAATGACCCCCGTTATATTTGAACCGCATGTATACACAAAATACCTTTTACCAGTTTTATTTTTTCTTACTCGCCATGAATAATATTATAATAAAAAATTCAACTAAACGGTAAAACGATTGTAAAGCATCGTTATATAAACGACAAATATATCATTCTTTATATTTTAATAACTTTGAATTCGTATACACGCGTATAAATGGCCACAATAATGTGCATTAATTTAATAGGTACCTATTAAGTAAGGCGAAAACCGCACGTTTCGAAATTTCTACACGATTAAGTATAATTTTTTCAAAATCCAAATATATACCAATTTCACATCCCTGGCCTGAAGCTAAATTACACTAAAAATATAAGTAAATCATAATTTATATAAATTCCAAACTAGAGCTTAATGATTATTATACCTATTATATATTATTATTATATATGATTATTATATTAGCTTAATTATTACTCATATTTCAAAGATATTTACAAAAATTCTGAGTGAAGTAAGTACCTAGGAATAAAACTATTTAGTTATAAGACGTTTGATCAATAAACAATTATTGATTAATTTATACATATGAAATTATATTGAAAATCTAATTATCCTAATGAATTTATAAAATAATCAAGTTTTAAAGTAGAAAATATCGTTTAAAATGTAAACTTTTAATAAAAATACTACTATAAATTTAAAAACAATTGTGTATAAAACATAGAGTTTATCTCTCGTTTAACCACTTCATTACCTTTTCTAAGTCTGCAGTCCTGTATCAAAGTGATGAGTGCAAAAAAAAAAATACTTGCCCACAGAGACATCACTAAAACGGCCTGTAACCTCTCGCCTATTAACCTTTTGCGGTCGGAAATATTATATTATAGAAAATTAAACTAAAAAATAAAAATACTTATATTGCGAATAATTTCTCTCTCGCATCACTCCTATATACCTCCATTCACCGTATATTATAAAATTATTATTTTAAAACCGTTTTCGTATTCATAATCTTAAAATGACTTATAGTTTTATGAAAATACAACATTTTCTTAGATCTTTAAGATTATTATTATTTTAGAATCGAAACAAACAAACCAAAATTCACCATTAAAAAGCTAATTTTTTTTTTTTTAATTTTTGTATACAATAATGGGAAAATCGAAAAATAATTTGCATCCTAATAAATTTGCAACCGCGGAAAATGGGCAGATAAACTTCAATTTCGAAACGAAACGATCATTTTCTCTTACACAAATGTATATTTACACAATCACATACATACAAGTATAATATAAACCCCTATTATTATATTATACCATTGTAAAAAAAAAAAAAAGACGCTTTCTTGGTCTACTTGGAATCTATGATAACACAACTGCGTGAACAGTGTTAACAATTTTATGTAACAAACGTTATTTTAATTTAAATATATAATTAACAGTTCGGTATACATGAAAATTCATACTTAAAAATTGTGTATATATATATATACATATATATATTTCCATAGGATATTATATGATATATTTGTCGAATTTTCCCCGGAAATACAGACTCTGCACTATACAACTTCTGTAAATATATACTATATATTGTATCTTTCCGGTATTTTGGATATTTCCAACTGCTCCCTCTGAACCAATTGAGCTCAAACTGGGAAATTAAAGAGTTATTTTTTAAACAGACGTATTATATGTTATTGCGAAGAAATGATGTTTATCTAATTTTATACACCCCTACAAAACCCCAAATGAAGCCAGAGAAATCAAATGGTGAAATTATCAAGAATGTGCCTTCTGGGTGTTAAAACTTACAACTCTTTCCTAAACTATTTTTATGCTCAAATAGCGTGTTTTCACAGGAAGTACCAGTATAACTAGAAATACCTAATACAGACTAAAACGTAACAAAACTCTGGAAACTATAGCTCTATTCTCAATTATTAAAAAAAAAAAAAATGAAATGTAACGGTGACAAGTCAGCTGGAGGAAAATTCGACTCTAGTGACTGCTCATGTGTGTTTTTTTTTTTCAGTAATTAATTTCATATTTTATTCCAACAAATACATTAAAATAAAAATAAGTCGGTTTTAATATTATGAGAATAAAAAAATAAATGATTGAATTAATCGAGTTTCAATTAGAAATAATTATTGTAACGATATATTACTATTTTTATAGATTGAATTTCACAAAACGTAATGACAGCAATATTCGTTTTCTTTTTTTATATTTTACTCTGATAATACATAAAATGAACATTTCCTAAACATTTTGATGGTAAAATATTAATAAAAACGGATTCAAAATACCTAGTTCTTAAAAATTATATTTGATTAGTTCCGCAAAATTAAAATGTCTATTATAGCTCAAAAGTGGCTTAAATATTTTAAAAGTTTTACGACTTCTAGAAAAATCAAGTATAAGTTTTCTGTTAAAATTTCAAATCTTCACGAATATTTTAATCTGAATTACATTTAAAAAATAAAATTTAAAATAATTATTTTCGTAAATTGTTCTGTTCTTTCTACGTATTTTTCGGTTTTGCTCAATTAATAAAAAATAACTACAAAGAAAATCAAAAAGTGACTTTCTTGGTTACCAACTATATTAAAAATGCAACATAAAAGGTCTCGAGTCGTTTTTCTATTGGAGCAATATTTTTTATAGAAAACATAAGCTGTACAAATTTAAAATAATGAAATCGTTGCGCTATAATTTAAAAAAAGTCATATTTTCATCTTTATGGTTTTATACTACTGTGGATATCAAAAAATGACTTTCTTTGTCATTGGCTATTTGTTAAATGGAACAAAATTGATTTCTTATAATTTTTCGATTGGTAATTTTTCTGGTAGAAAACATAAGTTGTAAAAATTGAAAATGGCAATGCCGTGGCGTGTCCTAAATATTTGCTGTTTTACCTATAATTTTCTTTCCGGTTTTTTAAAATTATTATGAAAATCCCTAAAAAAATCAAAAAATCAACCATCTCAAAGCACCAACTATATAAAATTTCCTTTCAGAAAAAGTGCTACACTTGATATTTTGGAGCAAGTTTTCTGATAGCAAAGTTGCTTACAAGCGCACAAAAAAAAATACACACACTAAATAAATCCAATAAATCCCCTCGCTACGCATCGAATCTAAAACGATCCGAATCGGGTTAATCTGCGAATTATAAGATTTTTTCCTGTAAATCGTATTTTGAATAAAAAAAAAAACAGGTCGTGCGCTTAGCCTTCCTAAACATATTGATCAGTAAACTTAAGAGTTTTTGATCGGACGAAATACGAATTTATAATATAAAATTGATCATTGCGATAAAGATGGAATAATTATCAATTAATTATTACAAATATTTACTTGCAAAAGAAATACCACGACCATTTGTAGGGTAAGCCAGTTAAGTAGGTAAATAATATATGTATGTACGTATATGTGTGTGTACATTTGCCAGCCACACCGGAAACGAATAATTTTTGATTTACGATTTCCTGAATAAATAACACCTACCTGCCCCAATATACGAATATAACACCTAAAGTTTTAACTAAATTTATACACCTTCAGTTTACCGTCCTGGATTACACTTTTTATACCTGCACTATATTACTCTCTTATATAACCGCGCATTGTAAAATATTATAATATTGCACTGGATTTGAATTTTTATTTTACCCCGCGTCATAATATTCTGTCAATGGATAAATGTAGCAGTAGGTAAATAACTAGAAAATAAATATACGTAATATACAATATATATTTTTAACGCGATATTTTATTACATTGATCTCTGACCGAATTTACCATTAAAAATGCGGTGTATTTGAGTATAAAAATTACAAAATCATGTGAGCAAACATTTTATTATTGTTCTAAAATCGAAAAATTTAAATTATAAAATCGTTAAATTCAAAACTCCGCACAGTTTTATAAAATGTTCAGAATATTACAATAATGCTTGCATTTATCTATTATTATTGCAATTTTATTTCGGTTTGTTTTCAAAATTTTTAGTGTCTCCGACTGGAAAATTGTAAAAAAAAAAATTCCTCTTCAGTATACAAATGACCTATAACAACTATTCGGTATCTATCCTATAGATAGGTAATGTTTTAATCGTTGAGTACTTTACTAAAAAGTGTTTTTGTGGTTGAAGTAGAATTTAAATGAGTATAAGAGACAAAATACTACACTTTTAATTTAATATAATATTGCATTACATTTTATATGGGAACCTAATAATAATTATTGCCATGAAATTATACATTAAAAATAAATAGGTAATTTCACCAACAATAATCGAATTATTATAATATACATATATACATGTACTACTTCTTGTCTCTTGGCGACTTAAAGTTTTAATTTAATAGAAACTTATTCGGTTGATTAATATTATTAAGTCGAATCTGTATAGTTATTATTCTTTTGCCATAATAGATAAATCATTATTTCTGAAAATAATTTAAACCATTACCTAGTGTCTTAAGTTATGGATGCGAAAATCCATAATATTTTAACTTTTATACAAACCAAAATAATTAATTATGTATATTAACTTAAAAATAAATAAATTTACTATTTTAATAAGATTTTAACCCATAAAGATTTGTTTTATAATATAGTTTCACTCAATATTACTGCGGTAATCACTTTTTTTTTCTGGCTTTTAAATTGTTATATTTAATCGATAACATATTAATTACATATACTAATGATTAGTAATAAAATATATTGAATAATATATATTATTATATATATACTCACGAGGTCTTCCATATTTCACGTAGTGATGGTCAATTCGGCGAGCGATTTTCAAAATTACCGATTTGTTATTTTACTAAACTTTTTATTTTATTTAATATCATAGGTACGGTTGCGTTATCATCATTAAACGATAAAATCGAATATATTACGATACGAAACATTTTGCGTTGAATCTTGTGACGATGAAATAACGTAGGTACCTACTTTATACGGTTGAAAAGTTAAAACTAATATCCACCAATAGCGCCAATAGTAGGTAACGAAACACTGACTTTGCGAACAAAATTACGACGAACGAAATGTTCGAAATAGCGTTTGAACGCGGTCAACGCTCGTCTTCGCGCTAACGGGACCAGGAGGAAAATGATACTGAAGGGCTCGCCGCCGTCGGGGTGTTCATCGCACACCTACACGCTCCCTTCCCGCATGTCACGCATTACTCGTAGCACGAATACCATCCCGTTCCGAAACCAACATACTTACATGAATTTAAACGATGGTAAATGTAATAATAAGTTATTAATGGTTAAAATTGAAAAAATTAAAAACGATAATTTTAAATCGTTCGTAGAGTAAATACTCTTATTTATGAAATATGTAATAGGTTCCTTTACCATAAACTCAAACAGAGAGTCGCAATCGTCGATATTCGTAATGCCTTTGATACCTTATTACGTGTGAGACAAGCAAAGAAAACGAAATAAGTTGTGACGAACTCCTTTATAGGTGGAAATTGAGGTTGAACTATATTCGCTATTTTAGGTGTAAATACCAACTATGTCATAATTGGACTTCCCCAGTAAAATACCCTACGTCAATACATAATATTTCAAAAGACTATATAAAAATAAAAATGGATTAAGAAGTAATACATTTTAGAATTTTGAATGGACCGAAGAAGCTTATATGATTTTTTTAAGATGTTTATTTTTTTTTTCTGTGGACAACTTTTCTACCAGCAATTTCTCTCCGATTTACATCTCTCCGATGATAGCACTTTTTCTAAAAAAAAATCTGACTGGACAGGTACTTTAAGAGGGTCATTTTTTGATTTTCCCAGGAGTTTTCTCAGCAAATGTAAAAAACCAGGAAAAACATGGGGAAACTGAAAAAATCGTAGGAAACACGGGAAAATTGGAAAATATTAAACAAATATTATTAAAGAAAATATGTAATATTTATTTAATTATTTTACCAAAATATGATATATATATTGTTGACAAAGCATCACGATCAACTGAATTCCGCTCAGAATAGTTTTTTCGTTAACAATGGTTTATATTATTCACGACAATTTTTTCCTGATTACCCCGAGAAAAATAAATATACCAACCATTTATGTGTTACTAATTTGATAATTTTACGTAAAGTACACCAAATAAACTTAATTTAAAAAATAAAAATGTATCATATAAATGTAATGTCTACGTAATAGAACTTCTCACAAATTTAATACTTTGACCTATACCAATTATGAGGAAAACATTACCGTTTTGGTATAAACATTTATTTCAATTGGCAATGCATTTTTATTATGCAAACAGGATACTTGCAGCTGAATCTCAAAATTATATAAAGATTTGTACTTACTGATGATTTGGTTGTTACATTTTAAGATAAATAAAATAGTAGTAAAACCGGAATATATTATAAAAGAAGATAGTCAAGAATTGATTTCTTTCCGGTTGTATAATTTAAAAGTGCTTGACAAAGTATAATTTAGTATCAAATTTAAATCTACACAAACAAAAATAAATGACAAATTCGGTACGTGTATAGTTATATAATTTAAATCAACAATACTATGTAAGTAAGTCATCGGTATGTGAAAGTGGTACACGGGGATATTTTTTTTAAAAATAGTAAAAGGAACAATAAATCATTTTACGAAAAAACGATTCTGTATATAAGGCTTATTATAAAACTAAAACTTGATGCTATTCTTTTTGGGATAGATGTACCTATGCTTTTTTCGCAGATTAAATATCAAACCGCAGAGATAAATTTCTATAAAAATCATTTGCGATTAGTTAAACTAAACTATAAATAGTTCCGGAAGACGTTTATTTTAGAACATTACTGGCCAAAAAAGTGTTTCGCTGAAAAATAACAACACTAGCACTTTATTAGGCCTATCGAATAATATATACATTCTTCCTTTTATTTTTAAATTCGAAACATTTTCATGATCTTGATCGTTCATAATATCAACTTGTCAAATAAATTAACTATTAAACTAATAGTATATTCTAATTGAAATGGAAAATACATGAGATCAACAATACAATTTAGCGAACAGTATAATATATTATGTTAACAATAATAATCAAAAGTGTAAAATTAGCTGTTTAAATTAATTATAAGTTAATTCACCAAGGAAATATAATTTTTCGTATTTAATAATATTTAAATTTTATATACGATTTAACAATACCTAGTATACAGAGTATACTTATATAAGAAAATAATAGATATTTAAAAGAAAATCGATAAAACCTAATTCGGTGTTATTTATGGAAGAATAAATTCTGATTATTTATTTTAAACAAAATTTTAAATCTTTATTTCAAAAATAACGACAAAAAGTCAATAATTTGTATCACATTGGATCTCACTATACAGCATGTATTGTGTATTGTGTCTGAAGAGCATAGGATCGAGGAATTAAAAATCATTCGGAATAAACATTATTTCGGTAGCAAATCGTGACCCATTGATAGTCGGCATAATAAAACACTAAAACAATACACTATTATTATGAGATTTCAAGAGGAAGACCATCGTCAACCAAGTCTAAAATAGGAGGTATGTTTATGTAATATCAGTTTTTTTTTCACTTTGATAAATTCTATCATAACTCCGTGGAAATTACAGGTTAGTGCAAAAACGTTCAGGTATTTTTTAACCCATTGCTGTCATAGCGGGTAATACAAAAAGTTTGGAATAAAATTTAAATTTTGTTGGTAAACTACAATAAATTCAGTGTTGAATACTGAATTGAGTGATTTGAAAAATCACAAACCATTTCGATTTTAAAAATTACTAACCTAAAAATATCTATGAAAAAGTGTATAATTTTAGACACAATAAATAATATTGATTAATTTTTAATATTGACAATAATATTCATGGATTGATCTATATATTGAACAAATTAAACATATTTTTATTGATGCACTATTAATAATATTGTGCGATGGTGGCACAGTTCACATTTGTCACATTTTTTTTTTTTTACAAGATATAATATATATTATATCGAATGTATTTTATTTTATTTTTTCGTTTTACAATATAATAATATATATTTTTTTTACCTTTACAAAAAAAAATTATTATAAATATATTATCATAATTTTTGTAATCATAATATATATATATATATAAATATTATAACTTTCCAACATATACTTAATTTGTACTATTATTTGGCAGATATGCTCTGTGTGAAACTTCTACGTCAACACATAAATCGTTTAATCCTCGTACAGTGTGTTACAAAATGTTAGACGAAGAGGTATTACCGTAAGAGTAATAGTCAACAAGGTTTCCTCGGTAATCACATTCGCCTTTATTGTAATAAGTATTAGTTAATACAACTTGAAGTAATTATGCGTATGTGAATGGGGAGGTGGGTCAGTTGGCCCGTGCCGGGTGGCTGGCTTGTGGAAACGGTCCACACAGGCGGTGTCAGACCTGCAGATGCACGACGTGAATTATAACGTGAGACTTATTGGCGGTTCGCGGTATGCGCGCACAATATGGGGAGGCAGTGTTCGGACCCGGTCACGGGTTTGAAGAAGTCGTGGTTGAAGGCGGGACTGCGGCGTGGCCTTAGAAGGTATACGTTGGAGGGGGGGGGCCGTCCGGACCGCTGGCTTGGAGAAGCAGCGGTCGTTTCGGCGGTTAGCTTCGTTGGGAGCGGCGACGGCTATATTGTTGACAATACGAGCATTTGGGCTGTGTCCGGGATCAGGCGGCGTTGGCAGCGTGGCAGTCAGCGGCGGCTGCACTTTTGCGGCAGCGGAGACTGGACGGCGGCGACTCAGCAGGTCAATGGTTGCTCGTATCACCCCCTAGGCGATATAATTACAATGGTGGCCCTGAACGGGGCCCTTTTGGGGAGACGCTCCCGCCGTTACAAATGGCTCGTGATCCTCTGTTCTCTTAAATGATCTGTCATAATTTCGGGCATCATCTGTAATTCGTGCCCGGGATAGGTGTCATCCACTTCGTTATTTCGTATCACTTCGTTAATTTTTCGAGGAAAACGTAATCCCTCCCGTCATTAAATTAAATAAAATATCCTTTCGCTCGTGTCATATTTTTTTTTATACGTCCCGGAGTGAAATTCATCCACGTACGGCTCATCGACTGGTGCGCGTTTGTTGTGGCATAAAATAAACAACAGCAACAATGTATTAAGAACTGTGCCCCCGGTATTCATTAAGAAACCGGGTGCTTTCACAAAATTAAATTGATTCCCGAAACCGGAATTGGTTATTCCGTATTCGGTTCGTTACATGATTCTTATTGTCTCGGGTCCACACAATTGGTGTGGGCACGTCACACCTAGGAAATTATGATTTTCCTAATCGAATTAAATTAATTCCACGTACCTTTCTTTGGTGGTGTGGCTGTTTGGTTGTTTGGTTTGTTGCCCCGTTCGGATATCGCGGGTCCCAAATAACTATGGGCTCACGCGCGTTTATCTACGGGAAGCGTGTAGACGCGTAACAAAATGTGCGCATTGCAACGATTTGTCGATATCTACAGCCGTTTTTATAACTCGCTCCTCGTGCGTTGAGCAACGATCTTCTTGCGAACTTCAAGCAGATCACTAAGATAAACGATACCTGTCACATTTTCGAAATAGAATATTCATTAGAACAAATGGGCATAAAGAAATAATAACCATCTACGATAGGTAATAGCCATCGTCAATAATTAATATAATACGTGTTCGTATCGACAAAACGTATACATACGACTTTACACATTACATACACACATGTCATATACATACATATGACAATAAAATCCGTATGACCACACACGCAGAAGACAAAACCATTTTCGCACACACTATAACAATCTTACAGCGTATTACGTCGAAAGTCTGTTCGGGGTCACATTCGACCGATTACGTATTGTGGCGGTTATCTGAAAACAAAAATCTCCCGAAAACAAAAATCCCTGGAAATAAATCCCCGAAACAACTGCACTGTCGATAATAATAATATTTAAAATAGTTTACATACATGGTTCAATTTTATTTATATTTGTAAATTATCGTTTAATCTACTTTTTCAAGGGAAGCCCACATAACTGTAATTTGTTTTAGTTGCCAAATATCCCTGTGCCATGAACAATCTATTTATTCTAAAATCAATTATTGTTTTAGAGAGATAAATTATGGAATTGAGAAAATATAGTAGATTTTTTTTTTTTTTTCTGAAAACAGTATCCAATACTATACGCAAGCGAACTGACTGATTCGATATTATATTTTTTTTCAATTATTTATTATTATTTTTTACAGCTTTGTGCACAATATTAAATTAAATGTTTTAAAAATAAAAAGATAACTCTCATGTTTTTGGAATAATAAATATTAAAAACATGAAAACTGAAAACACATAGTGACAAAATCAGCTCCAGCCAACATAAGTAATTTAGAGCTTCACCGCTTACCTAAATTCAAAAGCAATGTCAATAAGTTTTTTTTAATTATTATTTTATATAGAAAAGTAGTCGTATTTTATTAAAAGTTTTTGATAAATTTAATGTATTTAAATTTAAAAATGTATTAAAAGAAAAAAAATTATAATATCTTAAAAACTAAAGATTCTATAGGGTGTAAAATCAAAATTTAATATTGTTCAAAACTTTAAAATCGTTTTTTTTAACAATTACCTTTTTCCCGTCAATGCGTTTTGGCAAGAGACCGTACGATATGTACTAGGTGCATGTGTTATTAGTTATTACCTACATCACGGTGTGCACGTAAGTATAATTCATTATATATATATACCTATATTTTTGTATTAAGAAGAAAACCTAGCTTGATTATCTGAAACCGCACATAAAGTCCATGGGACATCCATCACAGGGTAAACAAACAATGACAATTCTATTGAGTTCTATCAAAGAGCTGTGTAAACTAAAACTTAGATTATTTTAATACTCATTGAAAAGCTTACATCGAAGCATCACAATAGGTAAATAAAGTGTTTTTAACAAATACGTATTGCGTAGCAAGCATTCATATTCTATTTGATAATATAATAGAAACTAATATTATACCCGATATGTTTATTAGATATGTATTAAATTAATTAATCAATTTATTTTTGAATAATTTGTTTTATTACTTTCTACTGCATATATTTTTACTATACTTCACAATATGTTTACTGTTCTATGCGAAAAATAATAATAATTGTCGTGATTTTCTTTATCGAAATGTGCAAACGTCCAAAGGGAAAAAATTATAGTCTCGTAACACTGGATAGAAACTCATGTGGGTGCAAACGCTTATCATAACTTACAACCTCACTCTCCAATATCTTACTAATATTTTACCACCACGAAAACACGGTAAGAATTAAAATTTGAAAAATGTATTAAATTAAAATTCCATATCTCGTCATCAATCATAAAATCACTAGGCGTCAATACCAATACAAGTAAGTAGGTAACTTTTAGTATTACAAGAATTAACATTATTTTTGTATTTATTTATTTTGATTGCATAATTAATACATAGGTGTATTAATTTATTATGTTATTATTTTTTAACATAATTTATAAACAATGTATGTTGACTAAATATTTAACTTTACAATTGATCTCTATATTCAAATGTATTTGTAATATTATAAAATGGCTTTTTACTTAGTTTCCATATTGTGTCACGTCTTTTAAAGATTTAATCATTACTAAATTTAATTTTTTTTAAACGTACTTATAACGAAGTGTTTTGGTATGATATCAGCTATTTTTTTTTTTATAAAATAAAGTCGCGATTTTATTTGACTTTGTTAAACCCGAAGATGAATTTTGATCATTTTTTTACGTTTTTACGTAGATATTTTACGATATTTTCGTCGAATACGAAAAATCGGATTTGAAAGTACTTAAACATTTTTGGTTGTAACTTTTAATCCATCTAATCAATCTGCTTGCGAGTTTCTCTATTCCCATAAACACAATATTTCTGATCGATTGATACCTTATACAACTTTATATGTTCGCCCGTTTGCCCTGTAGAGCTGGCCGATTGATTAACAAAAATTAGCACGGTTTTTCAATGTTACAACTCTATTTCTGTTACTATACGTTAATGGCTATTGATAATAGAAACAAAATCGATATATTGTAATTTTTCGATTGGAGCAATATTTCTGGTAGAAACCATAAGTTATGAAATAAAAACAAAGAAATCGGTAACGCTGAGGCGAGCCCTAAATATTTATTGTTTTACTTATAATTTTCTTTCGGGATTTTCCTAATCATTTCGAAAATTAAAAAAAATTTTTAAAAAAACCTTAAATGCACCATTGCACCAAATAGACAAAATTTCGTTGTAGAAAAAGTACCATACCCTATACATTGAAGGAATATTTCTTTACGAAAAGTTGTTTACAGACAGGAAAAAAATTTAAAAAAGCACATAATATCATAGTAAAACTAATAGATCCTTTGTTATGTTCCGAATTTAAAAGAACGAGTCGTTTTTTTTAAAAACAAGTAATGAGGAACAGGAATGAGTTTCTTTTAAAAAGGAACTTTCTCAATATTAGTTTTTAATCGCCTTAAAGCTGAGAAACTTTTTCACTAGTTGTCAATAGTAATGATTACATTTTTTTTCTGATTTAGCAGCAATTCCAATTCATAATGATGGATTATTACACACAATAGTTTTTTCCACCATACCATTAGTAGCTGTAGCCAGTATGTTTTTATTAGGAGTATAACTGAAAAAAACTTCCTCACTTATCCTATGTAAGTAGTTAAAATTTAATATTTTAAAATAGTTATTAGGTATATTGTTTTAACTTTATATTCTTAAACACTATTTACTTAATCTTCCCAAAAAGTGTTTCATAAGGTATTTTATACCTTATGAAACACCTTATAAGGTGTTATAATGTAATATATGTAGTATTTTATAACCTTATAAGATATTTATTTTCTTTACATACTCAATCATCATAAAATGTTTATTTGCATACAAAATTAAAGTGAAAACTTAAGAATAAATAATTATCATTATTTATAGATAACCTTGGTATTATTTATATTATTTAGTATTTGTGCTGTATTACTATTAAAAAAAAAGTGATCTATTAAGTAATATTTTCTTATCTTATATCTATAATACTATATTTATCTTAAAGGATCATTAAAGGATAAACTATAAATGCATTTTGGATTTCATAATTTTATGTTCAAAGATAATTACAGGTTAAAGAATATTTATTTTTATATTTAGTATTCTTACAGTTAAATTTTTTTGTTTTGTGTTTTCTATTAGGACTAGATTAGTATTTTTTATTTTATTATTGTTCCGTATTTCTTTGAATGTATTTTAAATTAAATCAATATTGTAGTCACAAATCAAATTATATTTTATTTATAATTACATTAGAAGCCATTTATTATGACATTCAAGGACCTGATTAAAATTAGTCATAAAAACCGATTGTCATTACAACCAAAATTAAAATTTAAGAACTTGATCATGTATATGTATTTATAAGAACATAATATTATATTATAATCAATGTGTCATATTTTTATCATTAAATTGTGACTTCAGTATATTATGTAGAAAAAAAGAAATAAAAAAAAGTTGTAATTTTAAAATTAAATTTACACTGTATTTAAAAAATCCTGCCACTAACAGTATTTGTCTGTGTGGCGTCCTAATAAAACAATTTACTATTTAACAAATCATAGTTTTATTTATAAAATACACGTGTCCTGTTAACTGATTTACTACTTTGGACTGGATTGCAAGAATGTCAATGTATCTTTTACATGATCAATTACCCAGTAGTCTTATCTCTTTAAGAGGTGATCCTTATTGCCCAGCGTGCTCGCCTGATTTGTCATATTTGAACTTTTACAGTATAACAACATTATTCATTTCTTGTATATTACTACTGTACAGACGACAATTAATTAATTCAAACTAATTTTTATCCACCTATATAGATATAAATTACTAACCATAATTTCAATGTTAAATGGGTTATTATAGTATTATAGTATCTTGTTTGTTAAATGATAAACATTTCAACCAGGGTAGTTATTAATAATTATTTCAAAAACTACCAACCAATATTATTATAGCAAGTATTTAAACCAAAAACTACAATTAGAAGTTATCACCAATGGTAATACTATTGGAAATATATATAAGTAATTTAAAATTGTATATAGCATTACCAATAGAGTAATAATTATATAATACAAATTAACTGTTAATTTTTAAGATTTCCATTAATTACAAAAATAATACATATTGGATGTAAAAAATTGTTGTGTACAAATATGTTTTTATTTTATAAGACAAAATTGTCAAATTTAACATAATATAAAAGAAATTATTTTCAACATAGTCATTACAGAGGCTCGGACATTTCAATATCTCTACATGTGGAGCTTTCTAACTCGCGACGTATGTCTGGTGTAATAATTGGATGCGATTTTGATCTTAGTAACTTTAATAGTGCTTTTTTCTGCTCTGAGCTTATATCTGTTTTATAACGTTGAACGAAAGTTAAAAACGACTGGTGCCATAGAACTGGCATTTCTCTGGGATCATGTTCAAATCTAATTTAAAAAATAGTAACAACTATTATTTGCTATAATATTATTATATAAAGATAATAAAGTTAATTTAATTTTACCCAAGAAAATGGAAAACAACTGCATCCACAACTCTATATGGAAGAGCATATTTTTTATCAAAAAGAATTCTAAGAAATATTGATGTAGCTCCATTATAATCCATTTCAGCTAATTTCAATATAGCTGCTGCTGAATGCAACATTGGGATGGAATTTTTTCCTACTATTGATCCAATAATGATTGCCTCTCGTAAAGTACAAGTGCCACTCTAAAAAAAAAAATATACAAAATGAAACTGAAATGTATAAATTAGCTGCATACACATACTTCGCATAATGGTATCAGTATTCCTTTCATGAAAGCACCAGGTTTGAATAAAGACTTTTTTAATGCTTGATAAAGATGAAAATTTAATTTCTTGTATTCATCAATATCATCTCTTATTCTAGGTAATAAAACAAGATTGTAAAATCTTTGGGCCATGTTTTCTTTCAAATTAGATGCAAATATACGAACTCCCTGATACATCGCTGCAGCACTCCATGTAGAAGGCTCTAAAAGGAAAAATAAATAAATGGACAAATGATATAATACTTAATACTGTTGAAAAACACACTAGCAACTAACCAGTAATGTACAATATTTGTTCCCAGTTCCTTAATTTTGGAATTAGTTTAAATGCTTTAGGCAATTTGCCACTTCGATAAGTACTCAATACTTGTTTAACACCTTTATACATCTGCACTACTCGCGGATCAACATCTTGCAATTGAAGACCTATAAATTATAAATTATATAAAATACCAATTGTTCTTAAAATAATAATAATTCAAATTTAGTTTTAGTGGTAAATCACAAGGTAGTGAATTTTTCTAATATAATTTGTAATTTCATTCACAGCATAAATTTAACAAACAATTACAGAACATTTAACCTATTTTTGCCATACGAAACAGTATAAAACAACAATGAGCAATGTTACGGAAAATGGTAAATATAATATATATACTATTAAAATGTTTCTTTAACTTTTTATGTTGATTATTTTATTTAATGATATCAACCACTAGGTATTTAAGTATTTTTTTTTACAGGCTTATGAGTTAGAGTTAATTAATAAATGCAGCTTTATAGATAGAAATAAATTAGGAAAGTGCACTCTACGAGCGAGCTTAAGTTCTCAGTTTCTAAACTTATTTTAAACAATAAACTATAGTTTCATACATAATTTAGAAAGAATTTGGTAACCTAGTAGATTTTACTTAAGGGGAATAACATAAATAAACTTAAAATTTTTAATTTTGTAAATAGTTGACAAGGTATTTTTTAATTCTTTAAGTACTTCTAATATTATCACAGTTTTAATATTACGGACAGACACAATAAGGATGTAAAGTGTCTAAACTTATGTTGAGAAATCTAACATTAATAATATTATAATCCTACTTTCAGCATCTGTAAATTGAGTTTGTATTTCAGTTTGTTTTTCAGTAATTTTTTCCATGATCATATCCCCCAAAGTCAATCGAGTTTCAGGGTTTTTAGACATGAACATTTCTAATGCTTTTTCATCTTCTACATTAATTTCCTAAAAAAAAAAGGTTAAAAATAACATAGAATAATATTTATTTTCAATAATTGTTTTACCAATTGTTCATAATAATCTTTATCATCTTCGCCAAACATTGATTTATCTTCTTCATCTTCTTCAGAATCAGATCCTGAGCCTAATGATATCAGATTTTTTTCTGTGGCATCTAAAACCATAGATAAATAAAAAAGTATGCATCTCACTGATTAATGTTTAATAAATAATATTGTTTAAACTTACCATTATCAGTTATTTCTTGTTTTTGTTCTCTGACTTGATCCAATATCCGTTTGGATAATTGTGAACTAATAACCTAAATCATAAGATTATCCTTTATTTTTAAATTTTATATCTATACTACAATAACACATAGTAATGTCATTACCTCTTCACTTTCATCTTGGCGTAGTCGTATCTTAGGTTCCTTTTTTTTGTTGGACACTATTTGGTCCCCGGTGATTTGATCAGCTAAATTTGTATATGGCTTCGCCACAAAACATTTAGGTACTTTTTTCTTTGTTTTACCCATTTTACTGAAAATTGACACAAAATTTCACATGTGATTGACAGAAAGAAATGTGTAAATTAAATATCAACAACTAAAGTAAAAACCATGTTTTAAAATCGATGACAGTGTTAAAAAATAAATCTTATCATCATTGAACATGCTGTAATCTAAAATACCAAACTTATTACTCACTTATAACTGAAGTCTACCGTCTGCGGCTCTAATACTCTATTATAATACTTGAAAAATAAAACAAATTTGGTTAAATTATTAATTATTAAACTATAGTATAGTAGCGTGTGTTTATTTTATATTTTTATCAATTATCACACTTAACCACTGTCACGTTTCTGGTCTATAAAATATAGTTGTCTATGACCGTCATTACGTCTTCACTATGGTACTATATACAGAACACACCATTAGACCTTGATTGTAGTTATCGTTATCAATCTAATCAAACGTTACCCAATGCGATATTCGTTATCACTGTTATCAGTTATAATAATATCAATAATTTAACAGGTATGGATATTTTAAATTATACAAATTATTTAAACACCAGGCACTCTTAGAGCCAATATTTTTAAAAGTATGAAATTTTTATAAAAACATTTCACGTTACAAAAATGTTTTTATTTGAGTCAATTAATAGCTGATGATAAAAACAAAAATCAATCAATATAACATATTGTTTACATTATAAATTTGGCCACACTGTTTTTGTGAGAAATAATCCTTTTTCACGGGGTCGTCCATATTGTTTTTGTTGTGAAAAAATCACTAAAAATTCTTCTTATAAAATGTTGTTATTGCATATTTGTTAATAACATTGCTCTATGTATTGTGTTTTGAATACTTTAAGTTCGATAAGTGTTGATGAATGGTATGGTATTGTTCATTGGAGGACGTTAAACATTTGTAAAGCACGGGTCGTATAAGAACATCGTAATTATTCTGAGGTAAGTGATTTTGAACGAAAAAAATGTCCATAGATTATCTCCGAACAAAAATATTTACATTTTCAGATACCTATTTTAATCAATTATGCACAGTAATGTTCTTCTATGTTCAAAATCGACAATTATTTTAATCACGGTTTGAAATAATTAATCGGCAATAAATTATTTGTTTTCTATTATCAAAAGACCTAATTTGGCCAATTTATTACTAGGGTTTAGAATTTATCAGGAAGATAACTTTTTATATTGTCTTATTAAATGATACTACCTGTCTATTATTTATAAATTATAATAATAGTTTATTAAAAAAAAAAAAATAAAATGGATAGAAGCCCAATCGCACAGATGAGAAAACTTAGTATCATTATATATTAACTAAAATATAATTATATTTTGTATATTATAATTACATTATTTTCTAAATAATTTTTATGATAATATTAATGTATGAAAAATTGAACAAATATTTTCAAATAAATTTTGTGTAAATAACATAATGTACATTTTTATTTACAACCTTTATAAACAAGTGTAGGTTCACAAAAAGTAAATACCATAACAATGATAAGCAATATTTAGTTAAATGGGAAGAGTAAACTTAGTGGGCAGACACTCAAATATATCATTTGACAGGTTCACATTGTCAAAATATAATATTTCAATTTAATAATATTTTGACTATTTAACAGACCATGAAAGGTAGAATGTTAGTAAATAAAACAAAACTATGATAGAAGAATTTAAGTGAGAGCTAAGTTCAGAATATAATTCTGTTAAATTAAAAGATGTAGATGTTTACTGTAAAACAAAGAAGTCCCTATAAAGATAAAATAGTTTATTTTAACTAAATTAGATTGTATACGAATTGGTAAGACAATGAAAACACTAATAGCTTTCACATTTAATCTACGTACTTTTACAGTTATACTTTCTTTTGGGGCTCCCTCTGAGTCTGCTTCTGGTTAGAACTCAAAAATATTAATTTTATTATTATAATTCCAAGTGTTTTTCATAGTACTTATTTATAATATTAATCAATCTCAGAATAATCATTTGTTTACCTAATCTATATTGATAATTGCCCTTTTTTTGTTTCAGTAAGTATTAATTTATTAAATTAAATTTTCCTATTTTAAAAGTGACTTTGCTAGTTGTTGTCACTGGATAATTTCCATAACTATTCGAAACAATCTTAACCAATTTTTTTTTTGTTATTCTTTTGGCACTCATCAAAACCTACTTGTGCATATTTTTGTGTAGATTGTAGATATTTTTTTAATTAAAACTAAAAATTAGCACTCTAGTGTGCACACATTTTATTATTCAAGTTCATATTATTTAGTGGTTTACTTACAGATACTGAAAGCATGAATAAAATACCTAATAATCTGTTAATTTGGCTGCGGTCAAGTGTGTGATCTACCTGTGGCGAGAACATACCAGTAAAATTGTTTCTGTAAGATTAAAATTTACCTACGTTTTATTAGTGAATAATAATTATTTTAGTTTTAATTATTAAAAACTAATTTTATAACAAAATAATTTACAAAGCTGTAAATATTATTATAAAATATAAATTGTATAATGACATGCTAGCAAAAAGTCATAATCAGAAAATAGTATCAATAAAAAAACATTCTTTATATTACTTTCTGATAATAATAAATAGATTTTTCACATAGGCACCTGCATTATTATTTTGAAAAGATAATACAAGTTATATTATTATTATATTATATTGTAAAACAATATACATTTTATGCATAGATTTTCAAATTATTGTTACTATAGAAATATAAAGTATAAGTAGCATACACTTAATACATTTTAGAAGTTTTAATATAATTACTTCAAAGGATTGAAAATAGTATACTAATGTTTAAAATATCAACTTTGATGAACGATATATGTATTATGTTTTGTTTCTTGAAGTAAAATTTAAAAATAATAGTTTTTTTAAATAAAATATATTATTGAGTTTATGTTTATTATATATTAAACAATATTTGTTAAGAACTTTCATAATTTGATAACAACAGATTTTATTTAAATAATTTGTATTCTCTTATTACTTATAATCTTTGAAATTATGTTTTCAGAAAATGAAAAATAAAATTTGAAAATGAAAAAATAGAAAAGATCTTTTTTTCTAAAAGAGAGAAAATAAGAAGAAAATGGGACAAACATTATGGTTATGGATAAGCAGTATTCTTGTGATTGTGACTATATGCAACTGTGCCAGTAGCAATAACCAACCAACTATTACTAAATGTGAATACTATAATGATACTTTATGTGAAATTTCACATGGCGAAGATGGCTGTGGAAATAACTCTCAAGAATGTCAACCTGCTGAAAACAAGCCATCATATTGTTACGCTTTTTGGATAAATAACACTTTAACAAATCAGTTGGTTGTAAAATTTAAGGTACCTTATATAACCTTATTTTTGTTGAAAAATAACTATCATATAAATATCTTTTGAGTATTTATTTAAAATTATTCTTTTGAGTAGGGGTGTTTTTTGAACAATGTTGAATGTCAAGGTCAAAAACAATGTAAAGATAAAAAGGAAGAAATTAAACCTAATGGTTTCATGTTTTGTTGTTGTGAAGGAGACTTATGTAATTCCGAACTTCTTTGGGATCCTGTTCCAACAACTCCTCGAATAGAACCATGTAAAAAATAATATACCTTATGTCATTAAAATGTTATTTAAATTAATGTACACAAATTTAAATGAAACAATTTTTCTGATTTAGCAGCAATTCCATTCCATGATGATGATGAATTAGTACACACAATAGTATTTTCCACCATACCATTAGTAGCTGTAGCCAGTATGTTTTTATTTCTTTATTGGGTTTATAAACGGAGAAAAATTCCTCACTTTTCCCATGTAAGTAGTTAAAATTAAATATTTTGAAATAGTTTTTATATTATTATAACTTTACATTACTAAATACTATTTACTTAATCTTTCTAAAAAGTGTCTCGTAACATATTCAATTACCATAACATGTTTATTTGCATAGAAAATTATAGTGGAAACTTAAGAATAAACAATTAACATTATTTATAACTTCTTATTTAGTACTTGTGCTATATTGCTGTTAAAAAATATATCCTTGAAAGTAAAAAATACAACAAATTCTTAAAAAAAATAGTTCTTAATCTTATTTACAATTTTTCGTTGGCGAGTTTAAGTTATTTAAAGTTGACATATGGCATTATAGTATTGGATTCCAGTTATTATCACGTGGATATTACCTACTTAATGCATTTTGGAGTTCTAGGGGTGAGAAAGAGTCTAAATATTGAGTAATTTGCTGTTACTGCTGATATCCGTATTTTAGATTTCGTAGGGTCGCAATTGAATTTCTTGATAAGTCCTCATGCTTTACTACTGCTGTGTTTCATGTCCGCATTGTTTAGAAGTGTATGCCAGTTTGTCCTTCTTACCTCTGTAATGTTTTCTAATAAGCGTTCTCCTTCTACGATTGTATCTGGGTTGAAAGGGTCGTCTTCATATCGATTTATGTACAATTAGAACTGTTCTGATAGTTTAAAGGTTAAACCTGGTATATATCTTGTTCTACAAACTCAGGGGATAAATTTCCTTTAAATATGTTTCACATTTTCCACGAAGGTGTCATACTGGTCACTAATCGCTGTCCGGTGTGATATTTCTACGCCTAGACTTTTTGAAAAATCCAACCAATTAATCCTTGGAAAGTTAAATCCCCTTTAGAATAATGTTATGTTAGCTCTGATTTCATGGGTTATTTCAAATTATATGGGTCTATGTTATGACCGTGGTATGTGTTTTTCAATTCTGATTGTCTGTTTCTTTAGGGAATCACTGACAAATATTAGGTACAGGTTGTATCACTTCTTCCATCGCCCACTATTAAATTTAGATGGAAGTTTGGAGTCGTGGATCAGTGTAAGTTGCCATGCTTTCACCCATTTTTATCGTTTTCTATGTATCCCCGTGTAGTAATATGGCTGTTGAAGTTGCCAACCTACTATTTGTATTCTTTGGTTATTAAAATTACCAGGATCATGAATGGGGAAAGGTGTTACAGGGAGTTTATAAATCAAGGTGATAGTACAATTCTGTATTTCAATAGTTAAAATATCTATGTCTAGTTCTTCTGATAGTTTATCAGATATTATATTCAAGTCTAGTCTTATAAATATAGCGCTACCATATTTGCCGTGAAGTCTTTCGATTACAGGTTGCTACATGCCTGAAATTTTTAGTCTATTGTTGTGAGGGGCCCGATGTGTCTCTTGAATACATAGTATGTCACATGCTGTATACTTACACAATTCTGCTAAGTCTTCTTTGTCATTTGATAATCATAATCCCTTAATATTGATTGAAATCATCTGGAAAATTTTGGTAGGTGACTCTAAAAAGAACCTTTTTGACATTGTGGTTGTCTAGTTATGCAAAGATTTGACTGTGCACCAATATGGTTCTCTGCTTACACGGAGATAGATCTTTAGGTGGAAGAGAAATAAATGCCCTCATCTAGGAACACCTATAACTATGATGAGCTATCCATTTTTTGATTATCATTCTAATTATGTAATAGACTAGGCTTCTTCGTTGATATTGTTACACAGTATTCTATTGTGACTATGCTACTATATTTGTCATTGTTATAGTTCATTATAATATTATAAGATTTATTAAAATATCTCTAATACCTCTACGTCCCAACCCAATAAACTTAATAATACACTCATAATAGTGGGTAAATTAAGTTGAAGATTTAATATTTACATGTATAAATGCCACACAGTGGGAGAAATACAAGTTCTAGCAGACTAAAACTCATAATAAATTTTGTTCCAATTAAAAAATGACGAGAGATCTAATTTTTACCTTTAAATAATATCTTACCATTTACACAAAAAGCCATTTTTTGTAATAATTGGGAAAAACCAAAAAAGATGATGATTTTTACGAAGTATGGTGCAACAATTTCATTATTTTAAATTTTTAAGATTAATATTTTTCCACCAGAAATATTTGTCCAAATGTCAAGAATAGCATATTTCTAAAAGAAAATTTTGTCTAGTTTATAAGTAAAATAGTTGTTCGATTATTTATATACTTTTCCTAATAATTATGAAAAAACTTAGGAAATATGGTAAAGAGTACAAAATTTGTTTTGTTTTTTTTTTTTTTTTTTTTTTTTGTTATACTGTAAAAGTCATATTTTGTAGTACCGATGGATTGAAGTTAAGAATCAGCCAATCTTCATTTTATTTTTAATAAATTTGTTATAAGTTCTGTTAGATGACTTCCATCTTTTATTCAAAGAACTACAAAACCCAGCTATTTTACTTTATAGAACTTTATCATTGAACTCGTCCAGTTTAACCCAGTTTAAGATTTTAGATATTATAATGCTGAAAAGATGTTGTCTTGCCTCTGTAAAACAAGGTTTCGAAATAGTTTTATTTTCTTTCTCTGATACAATAAACAAATGATGATTTCTTATCATATTTTCTAAATAAAAAAAAAAAAAATATTATTTTGAAAATAAATTTAAAATTAATATCATTTTTACTTTGTCAATTTGTAGATATATATTTCTAAAATTCACTAGTTTTTTAGTTTTTTAGCAAATCCTTAATCCTATTAGGGTTAATAGGACAAACATATTAAATTATTGTATTATCGTCAGTCCTTGATAAATGCGCAAAGTTTAATAAATCTGGTGTTTTAAAGTGGGTGAAAATCATATTTAAAATTTTCATTGCAAACAAACATACAGGTGTTAAAAGCTATTAAAAGCATATTAAACAAATAAATAAAATAGGATTTAATAGTAAATATTACACGTCTGCCATATATGTTAATATTATTAGATAATGATAAAACTAGTGTATTTTTTAATCAAAACTATTTGGATTCAATCTATTTTTACAGTAGTCTTAATAATATTATTTAATTATAGACATGGTGGCTATTAACTTTGAGCTATATCAAATCAATGATCAATATTAACTGTGTATTGTTGCCTCAAATTCTCCACAAATATACTACTCCCGATTAATAACTTGAAAGTTACATGCATATGTTACAACACCACATATTTTATTGTTTATTTAATATTCTTTAATTAATGAATTAACAAATTATATATATTATAATTATATAAGCAATAAACAAATAAAAAACACCCGTGGACAAGAGTCAAATTTTCTTCCACCTATTTTGTCTAATAGAAATTTTCTTTGCCAAATAAATAACTGAATACCATAATAACACTACTTACAGATATATGGTGAAATTTGATCATTTGAAAATGGTAGGGGTGGTAATTGAAATTTAAAACCCCCAAAAAACACATCCATAATAATAGCAATATTCATGTACAAAATTATATTCCTCTGGCTTCATTTGGGGAATATTTAGTGGTGTACAAAGCTACCTTTCATCTGCAACAACATTAATTCATATTGAAATTCAGCCCAACATTTAACACTTCAAATGACATACAAAACAATTAGCTGTTAGAAATGTCCAAAAGTAGGAGGAAAAGGTATATATGTACAATACTGTGCAATAGTCTTTATTTTCGGGGAAAAATTCAACAAAAATGTATTATACATAATTTATAATTGATTCTATATTTTTATTTTTGTTTTTTTATTATTCATTACTTACTTTGGAATTTAAATCTTTAGTGGGTGAGTTTGTTCAATTAATAAATTACCTAACACAATTTGTTTTACTTGAAATATTTTTTATTATGTAATAATAAATTATTTTCAATATTATGTTAAGGTTCCGTCATCTGATAGCTCTCATTTAGGAAATTGTTCTCCTATATTGAGCAATCGCCCTATTCAACTAGTTGAGGTAAAAGCACGTGGTCGCTATGGTGCAGTGTGGAAAGCTCTTCATAAGAGGGATACAGTAGCTGTTAAAATATTTCCTCCTCAGGTAAAATAATTGTTTTAATTTGTGTTTTAAAACTAATGTGTCTTATTATTGTTATTAAAGGATAAAAATTCTTGGTTGGTTGAACAAGACATTTACCAATTGCCTCATATGCAATATGACAATATTTTATCGTTTATTGGTGCTGAAAAACATGCTAGTGTCCTTGAAGGCGCCAAAAACGAATATTGGTTAATTACTGCTTATCATGATTATGGATCACTTTGTGACTACTTAAAATCAAACATATTGACTTGGGATCAACTTTGCCATATTGCCCAATCCATGGCTAGGTAACAATATTTTAAAATTTAATATTTTTAAATGTGTTCAAATTGTAATTTTCTTTCAGAGGTTTGATGCACTTGCACGAAGAAATTCCATCTGAACGTTCAGATCAATATAAGCCAGCCATTGCTCATCGAGATTTCAAAAGCAATAATGTATTACTAAAACACGATTTGACTGCTTGTATCGCGGATTTTGGTTTGGCTTTAGTGTTTCAACCTGGCAAGTCATGCGGTGATACACACGGACAGGTTAATGCACTTAATCAGTAATAAACATAAAAGTAAAATCTAATTTTTACATTAAACAAACAGGTTGGTACAAGAAGATATATGGCACCAGAAGTTTTAGAAGGTGCAATCAATTTTTCGAGGGATGCATTTTTAAGGATTGACATGTACGCATGTGGCTTAGTACTTTGGGAATTAGCAACAAGGTGTACAGCACAACAAGGAGTTGTACCGGTTTATAAACTACCATTTGAAGAAGAAGTTGGACCGCATCCATCTTTAGAAGATATGCAAGAATGTGTGGTGCACAAAAAACTAAGGCCAGCTTTTAAAGACACTTGGAAATCACATCCAGTAAGAAACGTCTACATTTAATTTATCATTAATATATCTAATGGTTTAATTTTTATATGACATTTATGCATATAAATATAAAATATTAATATTATTAATGTATCATAATATATTTAGGGTTTAATTGCTTTATGCGATACAATGGAAGAATGCTGGGATCACGATGCCGAAGCTAGATTATCGGCATCTTGTGTAATGGAACGCATTGCGTGGCAATGTCGTCAGTATAATGGAGGAGCGATAACAACATTAGCATTGGCACCATAAGAGATTTATTTTTTCGTGTTAAGTGTATAATACATTAATGGTAAACTAGCTCCTACAGGTTAGAACATTATTGTTTAATTTTATATAAAAGTTTACTCAATCGTATTAACTTAGAATGCTGTTAAAGAAGATTGAAACATTTTATTTACATATGTGACAGTACACTTAAATTATATCGTTTTTATTATTATTATTTTTTAATCTAAGATAAATACTGAAAAACTTATTTATTTAAATTTATTTCTATTCTAATTTTAAAAAATTATTTTTTTTTTAGAATACAATTTTTACCAATCAATGTAATATGTTTCTTACATAAATTTTCTTGAATACTCTTCATCAAAATTACAGTGATAGTGAATACTCAATATTAAATATATAATAATAAGTATATTTTTTTTTCTTATTGTACTTTAGCCATCTAAATCCCAAGACTAAAGTTCATAATTTTTGTTGTCATAATTTAATTTTAATTTTCTTTATTATTCTTATTGCAAAATATGGCCGATTATTTTCTTACTGAAAATTATTTTTGACTTTTTCGTGTACATTATTGCTCTCTAATAACCTTATACATAGTTAATAATTATTTTGTTCTACCTCAAATTTTCAATCTTATATTATAAAAAAATGTGCCAATAACCATAAGGTGGTCTTTATTGAGTATATAATATTGTACATAATATTTGTGAAAAAAAAGTTTTTAATGATATCTGTTATTATTGAATTTTATGGGAAATTTTAAACAATTATTCAAATTTAACATTATTAAATAACAAACTTGATAAAAAAAAATTTCTTGTGAGCTACTCTTAATTTTTTTCTCCTTTATTTATTTTATTTTACATTGATTTGAATTATAATTATAATAATAATAATATGAATTAAATGCTGAAAGCCCTGGAATGGGAAGGACACAGGAGTTAAAGAAAAATGGACAAATCTTTTGAAATAAATCAATCTAAAAATTGAAAAAAAAAAACCACTTAATATTTCTTTAATTAATTTTCTAGCTGTTATAAAGGTATTTTAACTTGTTATTACTGTAATAAATAGATTGGTATGTTTCTAATCTTTTCATTTCGCGTAACTATTTAGCTGTCGATAAATTATGAACTTTGCGCTAAATACTATTTATTTGTCATTGGGAAAGCCTGCTTTGACAAAAGCTCAGCATCCCTTACACTACTTTGGATATCTTAAGTCTTGCACACTATTTGGTATAGAGAATTAATCTGTCTGTTTCAGAAATATTGTTAAAATATCATAATATATACAAACAATTCTTCTAAACATTATTTGGAATAAATGAATAGTGTCCAGCCCAATTTGAGTGTGTCTTCCATTTAGTTGTCTCTTTTTCCAAATAGGCATTTTTGAACCATACTTAAGACTTTAAACACACACATATTTACTGAAATTGTAAAGTTGACTGTGGCTATGTTAGACGTTACAATACTGCCTCTCAGTACTGTATTTATACAAGTCTTTGATGCCAGATTAATTTGAAATCTGATCTGTTGTCTCTAGAAACTATATTATTATTCAAGGAAAGTAAATAAAATTTGGATTTTATTTTACTTCTCCAGAACCACATTCAATTTGTCGGTTTTCTTCTCTACTCTATCAATTCCATATATTAGTCATTTTCTACATTGTTGTCAACTTTGTCTTCACTTTTATCATCAGAAATTTCCAGAGTGATCTGTATACGATTCAAACCCCCTTTTCCTGAGTGTGTTAAAAAACAAGAATAATTATTATATAATATAATTATGTCATTACATTGTTGCCATTAGGCTTTGGTTATAAATTATTTAATAGTATACTTTTTTAGGTACTAATTGTATAAAATAGTTCCTTTATTATTAATCAATCTCTCTCCTTTTTTATTTATATTTTATAATATAATTTTTTTATTCTTTTTTTTTTTTGTTCCTTACAAAATGTTTTACAAGTTAGTACAACTAAAAGCAAATGCCAAGACTGCTGCTTCATACACAATAGTTGATACATTGAACAAATAAATCTGCACATAATTTAATTTACTACAAAAATATTGTATATAGAGAAAAATAAATAAATTGTAATTTACATTTATTTTGTAAACATTGTTAAGGAATATTTAATTTTTTATTTTTCAAATATTGCAGACTTTATTTTATTATAAGAAAAACATTCAATTATGTAATACAGATAATATATTTATATGTGTGTGAGTGTATGCGTGAGTGAGTGTGTATTAATATATTGTAAAGCTCTTACACAAATTTTTGTTTTCCTTTTTCATGGTACAGGGTGCGAATATTTTGAAGGTTATGTTTTTATTAGGCGGTTGCCAAAATAAATCTAGACATTTTTAAAAAAAAAAACTACAAATAAATATTTATGATATTAAAAAAAAAAAAGGGAGAAATTATTAATTTATTTTTAAACAATATTACTATGGATAGTAACAATCCTAATAGATATTTAAATATAAGACATGCAAATTTGGACGATTCCCTATCGTTGTCTAAATCACCAATATTTATATTAAAAATATAAATGTCTCTAATGTCATACAGTTTTCATTAAGAGCCTAAAACTAGGTACTAGTAATTTGTTGTTTTATAAATTAGTTTTTAAGTTTTTAAATAGTAAAATGATAAAGAATTTACAGTTTTATATGTAATATGTATACATGGAATTGTAAATAAAATATAAATTATGTGTGTAATATAATATAATTAGATTTAAATACATATTTTGTTTTTTATTTCACGTATCTGTATCAATGTCACTTTCCAACGTACTAGATGTGCTGCTAGTGTCTGTACAATCTTCAGTTTCTTTGTCCACTACAATAGTTTATATTATATACTAAGCACTTGTTATTTTGGTATTTTGTTAATAAATATCAAAACAATATTAATTTATTCACTTACTCATTTCCAATTTGTTTGTCAAAAGCCCTTGAAATGTCTTTATTGTCTCGTTTTTCTGTTCATAACTTAAAACTGTAAATTAATTAATGTGTACCTTTATAATTAACTAAAATAGTTTCAGATACATATTATGATAGTAGTGGTTTTGTATTTACATACTTGCATTACAGTAGTTTAATGCGGTCCCATAGTTTTTAGCCACTAATGCACCGTGCATCTGAAATATTATTAAAATATCATTTTTTTTTTTTTCAATATTTTTGAAATGTTAAAACAAAAACATTACTTTTATAAATAAATCCACTGGTGCTTTATTAATGTCCTCCATATTTCCTATTAGGTTACTTATCTAATATACTGAAATTTTTCACTAGGTATATTTATAATTTTGTTTTGTGGTTTCCATAGAAACCGAGATATGACCTTATGCAGTTTACATCACCCTAGTTACCTTATCTCTTATTTTATACTTAATTTTTTTGTTATTATTTTACTTCTGTATTCTATGTAAATATTCTTTTGTTTTTAAGGGAACTGGTGAGTTTTTCATTTTTATTGTAGCATGCACAAAATATGTATCTTACGTCATATTATTCACTAAAACATAAGAGCTAAAAAGCCGGATACCTATTTTTGATATTTTTCATGCTTTGGTATTTTCATATCGCATTTGTGGAAAGAAATTGATATTTGATAATGATATATATTTGTAATTAGTACTTACCTGCAATAAAATAAAAATATAATTTCAGCAATTTATTTCTATTATTTTTCTCAGCTGGGCACATATTTATAAATTAATTTTAATATCGTTAATAACATATACATTGTTATTTTTATGAAAAATCTTGATTCAAATTTCAATAGTAGTTTTCTAAAAGGACACTTCGTCATGTTTGTGATTATGAAAGCCGTTTTTTTTTTTTTTTTATTCTATTTGATATACCATGTAGTTTTCTTAATAACTGAGAAAAACCGGTAAAGTTTACGAAAATAACTGTTTAATTATTTTCAATTTTGTGTTTTTGTTCATTGAAACCTGCAAAGCATTCTGGCGACTTTTGAGCTATTTATATACATTTACATTTTCTAGTTTTTATTTAATGCTTACTATGTGATTAAACTTATATGACTAAACTTGAATATTTGAAAAATTTAACACAAGGTTCATTAGAAGTTTTAGGTGCTTACACTGTCTTTTAAAGTTATGTATTAATTATTATGATCAAATTTTGACGAAAATCGTAAATATTACGGCATTTCAAAACATGTATAACCGAATCTATAGGTACCTTATAATATACATATCTATAGACTTTCTTTTTCGTTACGTTGATCCCCCCCCACCTATTATTTTCCATCGTGTCGTGTTTTTATTTAATTTCAAGAAACGCGTGTCTGCGAGCATGTTTCATATATAATGTAGCCATCATTAGGGCCGAATTTAAAGTGGACAACGGTCCCGTATTACTCGTGACGGCAATATTTAAAAGGACGGCAAGTATCATTTAAAATATATATATTTTTTTTTTTAGTTGGCACTAAGGCAACTATTGTATCATTAGTCGAAATTGAATTACAGAAAAAAAAAAATCAGTGGTTTTAAGCATAATATTTGTTTATATTTCATAAATTTGTTGTGCCTTTCATGATAATTGATAAAAATTCAACCTATCACTGTGAGTGACTACCGCTCGATTAACACAGACAACACGTTTTCAACGGCGGCGAACGGAGTGCGGGGCAGCATTGTAGCCAGTGGAAGACCCGCATTCTAGGTACCTTCTGTGTGCCACGGTTAATATATATACTAGTATACTACAGTAATAGTTGTATTTATTAACCGTACCTGTGTGATATTAAATTTAGAACTATATTATATTATTGCTTACGAAAAAACGATTCTGAGCGGAGTTTAGTTGATAGTGAAGCTTTGTCAACAACATATATGTCATTTTATAGTAAAATAATTAAATAGGCTTTTATATTTTCTTTAATAATATTTGTTTAGTTTTGGACCAATTTTCCCAGTTTTTCTACGTTTTTCCAAGTTTTCCCAAGTTTTATCCCGGT